TAATACACTACTATTATTTGATGTTCAAGCACTACTAGGATAATTACGCTGCTTACAGTGCTTTCGGCTTAGTTAATGTTAGTACATCAATCCCTTTTCGGCTTTGGCATCTCTATTTACATATTGCAACCTTGAAATTTTTTTTCCAGATTGATGGGTAGGTGAACCGTTTACCTTTTTGGGTTTGGTTAACCTCTTAACACCGATTCTATACCTATGAACAGGCTCAAGGCAGTATGACAGTATGGCAATTAAAAAACACTTATTTGAGGAATGAGTTTTTTTCATAATTTATGAAATAAAAATCTTACTTGTTACTGGGGTTTAATGTCATAGTCAATAGATGCAAAAATCTGGGATCATCAAGTTTAAGAGCACACAACTTGACTAGCTTTTCACAGTTGGATCTTACACACTGTTGTATATTATTTTTCCACGATGATACTGCATCATCTGTTAATATCTTTGTAAAAGATACTGTGAGAGCATCAGTGTAAAATTTCTGACACGCCGCATTGTGTACATCTTCTCCTGTTAAGCAAATAATTTAATTTGTATTATACTCTCTATCTGATAATAATTATCAAACCTACAAATTAAGAGACAGGTTTGAATTCAAATGAATTAATCTTTCATTTCAAATCTTTCCTACACAAACATCTTTATGGAGTTGATTGACTAATTATAAAATTCTTGAAGTATATTTTTCCAACCAGTGAAATTTTCGCGTTTTAGAGTTTGCTTTTGCAAGCAACACATTTAAAGTGTTTTCATAAAGTTTCCGTCGAACTCGTTAACTACGACGAAGAATTCGTCTAGCGAACTAGTCAATGGCAAATCACTGCGTGCGTTTCTCGTCCGATCTTTTCAGTGGGTCGTAATTTCGATCCGGTGGTAGATTCTGCGAAGCACTGGTCTTGCTAGGGCTATTGTTGGCAAATTCTCTTAGGTTAAGCCCGTTAGTTCAACTACTCGTCCGCCTATAGTTAGAATAGCCCCTTGGGCTACCAACGTTTAGGTAGAGATAAAAAAGGATGCTCCGTCCATCCAAAAAGCGGGGGATCCAATTCACTATTCAATGCAATTCTCACCACATGCTCTGTGTTCCTCTATTGCTTACGTGTGTGGATGAGCTCATGGCCCACTTGGTGTTCAGTGGTCATCAGAACCCATTGCCATGAGTCCTCTCTAACGCAAATTTAATAATTTGTCCTCGAAATTATTTAATAATTTGTTCTCTAAGTTTAATGTTCCTGCTTTCTACTTTATTGGTTGCTTGATATATTTGGCTCGATGTTCTTTAACTTGAAATCTTGGAAAATTGGGTTTGGTGGATGAGGAGACTTTGACTATGAACAAATGATGACATCTCTTTATAGTAAAGGTCTCCTTCCTCGTGGAAACAGTAACAATAGTTCAACGGAACGAACCTATGGGTTTCCACTTGATAACTAGATATGTTAATAGCATCAAGGATTCTCAGTTTAATAGTGAAAAGAAAAAAAATTGAACCTTTTGCAGCTAGTTCTGTTGCAGCGACTAGAAGAGCTTCCAATTCTTGTTCTGGCAGCACTGGTACAACCCAACGGGGATGTGAAAGTTTGTCTTCCAGTGCCTTTAATTTCGCCTCAGGGAATGCCATCTAAATAATATAAAATTTGATTAATTTATATAAATTATCATGTAACATCTGTAACCGTATGACATTATAACTTAAGACATCCCTCCTCCGTGTGACGTATTCCTCAGTGCTGAGGGTCGTGACCTTTACGGGGGACTTTTGTTAGGACTATGTTCTTCCATTCACTCCTGTCCTCTGCGCACTGGATAGCGACATTGATGCTAGATTCCCAAGTCGTCTTAATCTGACGTTTTAACTTAAGACATACAATTGGATATTTAATATATTTATATTCATACAGCTATGAGGAGGGGCATCCTAAAAAGACTCAGATGAATTGTGTGAGTGCAAACATGACGTATGATATGCCAGAATGATCTCACATAGTAGGATAAGGGCAAGAAGAAAATTCATACAACTATGCACTTTCACGTCTTTTGTCCAATTGTGTTCAAAATCTATACTGGACCTAGACTTTATACCAACAGGAGAATGATAGGTTTTTTCATAGATTTATTAAACAATCACCTGCCTTCGCTGAATTTCACTAGTTATTAACAGAAAATTACAAAAAAATATTAAAAGTCAGCCATAAGTCTAAAATTAATATTTATAGAAAGATGCCTACTAGAGGTCATACTATCTGTATTGCCTTATATTGCCTACCTCTGACAGCTTTAATATAATAATGGTGCATCTAATCTAATTTGACAACAAATTATTCAAAAATTGTTAATTAATAAAATGTATAACTTTACATTTAAATGAAATAATATTTTACCTCCCCAGGCATCTGGTCTTGTTCTTTCATGGTTATAGTCATTATTTGAAACGCTGTCTCATTGCATTACCTGTAATTTTGTTTAAATTTACTTTTTCTTTACTTAGTTATTTAAAGAAACAACACAACATTGTACAAAATTATTTCCCATTATAAACATTGTTATATTATGGATATGCAAAATATCATATATTTTGATGAATCCAAGACAAGTTTTTCTTTTCCTCTGATAATTTTATTTATTAAATATTTCTTCTTTTTACTTTTATTGTAAGTAGTTTTTATTTGTAAATACCAGTTAAGAAATATTATTCATTTAGCTACAATTTTGTTCTAAAGGAGATATATTGTTTCCAACAATAAATGAAACAGTTGATGGATATAATGATTAAAAGAAACACCAAAATGTTTTATTTGAAAACTTGCGTTTTGATTAAAAGACACCACATCAGTAAATTTATTGCATTGCATTCCACTGTCACCAAATTAAGAATCAACTAAAATACGGTGCCTCAAGAGAGTGAGAGGAAGTGCTCCCTAATGGCCTTGCCTTAAATTATGAGTTCACAAAGTATTCCCATCTTAATCAATAAGTATTTATGCTTAATTTACTAAATGAATAATGATCCCATTTTATCATAAGCCAGTATATTCTCATTACGAACTCTAGAATGGTGCTCATTACAGTTGCTTTTACTGTTTGAAAATGATTGCAATTATTCCCAAAACATAATGTTCTGCTTGTTTCTTTGTGTATGCCTATATGTTTTATATTAACTAGTCCTAAACAAATTTTATAATACTATTTATGTTTAACATTACTTTTACAAACAAATTGTACGATATTGAAGTAATGCAAAAAACTGCAATGTTAAATTGACATTAAGTTATCTTAATTTCTACATTAAGGCTTGCTTCACGTAAGAGAAGAATGTGTTATAAAAACAATTTAATATCATATTGATTTGTTTTTACTCAATTCCACAAATATACCTTCAACAATATAATAATATTGTAACATGAACATTTTTCATATTTTCCCTGATAAGACATAAAGTACTATGGTAATACATGGATTTTAAGTAATTCCTATTTTACCGATAAATCTCTTGGATTTTATCTTACTAAAATTGAGCCACCCTGCATATATCACACATCAACATTCTAATTATTTATAGTATGTAGACAAACTCTTCAATGACTTACAATTTCAATAGAACTATATTTTTTATCTATTGAATTTGCGAATTAATGAACCTTTTATAATAAATGCGTTTTTGGAGCTTACTTCGCAGCGCAGGTTTTTTTTTCTGGTTAACTGTAAACTACAAATACTCAATCTTACAAAGGCTAAAAATCGCAAATTTATAATTCTAGAAATCAGCCGGCGCTACAAAATGGCGTCAAAATCTTATACAGAACAAAGCAAAATCTCTGTTTTTGCAATAAGTATGAAAGAGAAATGTGAATGAATCGCATTAATTTCAAAGATTTTACCTTCGTTCTCAGCAAATGTATTAATTCTAGAAAATCCAAAATAATTCACAATGATTTCACTAACACTTTTGACGTAACTGTCGAACATAGATTATAACAGATTATGCATTGAAACATAGACACACTTAATATTTGAGACAAAAAAATACAATCGTAGTAGGTAAACCTTTACAATATTGAAAGACCTATGATTTATGAGGCTCAGTGAATTTAGCACCCTTTTTTTGACTTTCGGATTTTTTTAATTTTAAATTATTTGTTCGTCGTTTGTTCGTTAATATTCGAATGTAAAAATTGTTTGTTCATCTTTTATTTATTTTTATTTAATTAAACAAATGATCACCGTTAAGTTGGCCTCCTTCACAAGGTATCTTTATTTTTATAACTCAGATTAATTAATTTTGATCAATTATCGTTTATTCGACAACTATTGGTGATCGACATCATAAGCTGCTACTCCAGACAATCTGAAAATTTAGATGGAATAATAATTTTTAGTTCTAAATACATACACGTAAAAATAATATAAAATAAGGTTAACTAACCGGTAACATGAGTCAATATCAATTGCATTCATAATGTGAGCTTTCAAAGTAATTTTAGCTGGAAGTTCGCTTGATGTACGTCCAGATGATTCCTTGCTATCTCCACGAATATCTAATTATATATATCTATATTCTATATATATATGTATCTAATAAAAAGGTGGCGTGAGACGATGCGATGGTTTGCTTATTAGATATAAAATAATTAATAATTGGGAATTTAATTGTTCTTATGATCAAACAATCACTAATACTCGTCGAACAAACGATAGTTGATCAAAATTAATTAATCTAAGCGATAAAAATAAAGATATATAGTAAGAGAGGCCAACTTAAGGGTGATCATTTGTTCAATTAATTATAAATTAATAAAAGACAAACAAACAATTTTTATATTCGAACATTAACGAACAAACGACGAACAAATAATTAAAAACAAAAAAATCCGAAAAAAAGGGGCCAAATTCAGTAAGCTATATTTAATAGACTTAGCATTCATAAAATTCAGTTTAATAATCTGTGATTCAGAGTACCTACCATAGATTATACACTTATATTTGATGTAAACCTATCGAGTTTATTTTTCAAATCGAATAATATTTCTGTAAATTACAAATACATACTACCTAAACTGACCTAAAGTAGTTACTACAGGCTACTACTGATAATATGTTATTGTTGTGATTACCATTTGATATGCAAAATGAGTTTTACTAGTGACGAAGTAAACTTTCTTGTGTACCGCTACTTACAAGAGTCAGGTAAAGTAATAGATACATTGTTGAAATAGCTTGGTTTTTCGTGAAACCAAGCTCATGGTGGCTGAAGAATTTCAAAATACAGAAACCGCAAAAAATACATAGGCTATAGAAACTTAAAATATAGGCAGTTTATGAAATAAACAACCTGTCACATTGTTGATCAATCGGTTTTATAGAAACACTGGAATTTTGAATTGTACACATTTAATGCAATAATTCTTGTTTATAATTTACCCTTTAAATACTGTATAAGATGTTCTGTTAAATGTGTATTGCAAAATCACATGAATGAATATTAAAATATATCCTATTATTTATGTATGGAGTACATGCAAAAATCGTTCCTCGTCATTGAAACGGGCTGCTATCACCGCCCTTAATTATTACTGTAAAGCTGTTGTGTTATATTGTTTCAATGGTGTAAAAGCCTTTAAACAAGACTGCCACCATCTCTCAAAGTGGTTGGAGGTTTTAATTTGTGAAGTTGGTAGGTTTCTAAAATTACTCTTACAATTAAATTCAAAACAATGTGATCTGGTAAAAATTAATTTAATATGTATTTACAATATACTGCAATACACACTTGTTATTTGATAACATAAAACACACAAAGTTATAAACTTGGTGTTAAGTGATTATTTGAACCCACAGCCATCACTGCTTGAATGCCAAAATCTAGCTTAAGACATGAGGAGTCTCCACTGTGTAGTAAAACAGCTATCCCGCTTTTGAAACAGGAATATATTTATAGTGGTGGTACGTACCTATGTGGTCTCAGAAGACACTCCACCACCAGTGGGTAACCCCAGCCATGCTCATTATTTTTTTCAATAATATTACAGGCACATTTACTGTCCAAATTCTATTGAAATTATAAAATGTAATCATATATTAAATAATAACCCTACAAACCATTATGCATACTTAATATATGTGTGACTGCATGGCAGGAATATACAAGATAGGTAGTAGGGGCATAATACAATATGTACTATGTAAATTAGGCCTGTACTTGTTGTTATTAAATAGGAATATTAATTCTACCTATGAATTAAATATTTTTTTCTAGGTTTCCACCATTCAGCATATTCTTTTGGAATTGAATCACACATATCACAAAGTAACATTAACGGAGCTCTTGTTCCTCCAGCAGCATTATTGAATATTATACAAAAAGGATTACAATACACTGCAGCGGAAATAACATTAGGCGATAATGGTAAGTAACAAAACATGATTATGATTCATGAGTTAATCATTCCACACTTATTTGCCAAATAACAATGTTACTTGCATCACATGAAATTATCTTACCTATTGGACTGGAACATGGAGGTTGTTGGTGCCTACCTGTCAGTTTATAATACTAAATAAGAGCCTAAATTCTATAACATTTTCTTCTAGGAACTGAAAATCGTCTCACAGAAAGCCTCAGCTTGATTGATGCTGTTACTCCAGATGTAGTAGCAGCTAAACAAAATGCTCACAATGCTCAGAAACAAGCTGCCAAAACAGAACAGGGATCTGGAAGCGAACAAAATGGTGTTGATGTATGTTTTTTTTATTTGTTGTTTGTAATGCTATTTGTGATTTAAATACATTATTACTAATTAGTGGTACTATCATGTAGTGGTAAGGATACATTATCACAATTTACAATTAAATAGATAGATGTAATAAATAAAAACACCAATAGATTTATTCCGAGTCATTACTTACTACACATGCCCTGAAGAAAACCCATCAAGGCCATTTTGATAATTTTTTTATTAACATACGTTCCAGTGTTGACATAAATGTAGAACTTAAAGTATCTCGGGTATCTCTGATTGAAAATTGCAAACAATTAAAATAAAATATTACTAGTAAAAACAGTACAGTAGTACAAAACAAAGGTACTAAAAGTAGTCTTCACTCTATAAAACAGTAGATTGAATTCTTGCTTGCTCCTTTAATCCCTGCGTTGGGTCTGTTGCCTAATTTTCCTTTTAAATTCCCTATATTTACAAATCAAGGGATGAAAGGCTATTTGGTTTAAGTGACATTTTGCTTAATATACAAAATTTATTTTTGGAATCTAATGTGAGTTTTATTTGGTAGTATCATCAATTAAAAACATCAAAGACACAAGTACTAAGTAACTAAGACACTAGATTAGAATTATCAAGATCTTAGAATTAATCTGTTTAAACATGGGCATGTATGTATGTGTCAATTGTCATAATTTTCTAAAATTTATTTATTTATTGCTTAGATGGGTGGACGAGCTCACAGCCCACCTGGTGTTAAGTGGTTACTGGAGCCCATAGACATCTACGACGTAAATGCGCCACCCACCTTGAGATATAAGTTCTAAGATCTCCAGTATAGTTACAACGGCTGCCCCACCCTTCAAACCGAAACGCATTACTGCTTCACGGCAGAAATAGGCAGGGTGGTGGTACCTACCCGCGCGGACTCTGAAGAGGTCCTACCACCAGTGTAACAACTGGTCCCTAAAAAAATAACAAAAGATATAATACAAAATTTTATTATTTCAAATTTGTAATGCCTGTAATATAACAAAACAAATGAGCTGACAGCCGATTTGGTTGATTGAATCCTGTGTTTCTGGGAAAAGTGGGATTACTTGTCAACTTCCTTTGCTTTACTATGAGTGAAAAAATAAAACCCATTTATTCTCTGCTTTATGAAACCAATCTAGAATAGCAACACCCCATCTCTACCCATGAGTTTGTTAAACACCAACTGTGGTGAATCATCATAGGATGGGACACAGTGCTCTCCAAATATTATATCAGGGGACTGTGAGCTTGTTCAAATATAAGCATTTTTTTTAAATTAGCTATAAATTTAATTTTACATTCACATTAAGGGTCACCTACAACTCTTGTTATGATGTACACAAAGATATAGGGATCCTGTGTATTATTTTCTAAATATTTTTAAAGGGTACAACATGCAGTGCACAAGCTGCAGCAAGTGCTGAGACACCAGCATCAAACATACCCGTGCCTATGGACATGGACACATCAATTGAAATTCCAGCAAACAAAGCTACTGTACTAAGAGGTCATGAATCTGAAGTATTTATTTGTGCATGGAACCCAAGCACGGATTTACTGGCCAGTGGATCAGGTGATAGTACAGCTAGGTAAGTTGATTAAAATAATTTTTTTATTATACTAATTAGGAATTAGTGTAGAATAGTAATTTAACATTAAAATAATTCAATAATTGAACAATTTAAGCTGTAAAATTGAAAGCTTTTACATTGTTTTCAAACAAAAATAACCAGTACACCTATGTACTGCAAATTAAAATAATAATGTTACTTAAATTTATACAGAATTTGGGATATGTCTGACAACCCAACAACTACTCCAAACCAACTAGTACTCAGACACTGTATTCAAAAAGGAGGTACTGAAGTACCAAGTAACAAAGATGTCACTTCACTGGACTGGAATGTAAGTTTACATGCTTTTTAATTAATGCTTATTCATTCATTTATTTGTAAAAAAAGCATGCGTTGTGAGCCCACACAAAGCGTCACCATCCTGCCTATTTCTGCCGCAAAGTAGTCATGTATTCCGATTTCCGGGGTGGAATAGCCATTACACAATGCCATCGAGATTTGTACCTCAAGACAGTTGGCTACAGTCACCGGGTGATGTCTATGGGCTCCCCGGGTGATGTCTATGGGCTCCAGTAATAATTTTACACAAAGTGGGCATGAGATTGTTCACTCTGATGTGCATAAAAAGAAAATTTATTTATTTTCTAATTTATTTAATATGATTAATTTAGGGACATTGCAAGTTGAATTAAAGAAATAATATGATAATAATATTTAACTTTTTATTATAGTGCGATGGAAATCTTTTGGCAACTGGATCATATGATGGTTATGCTCGAATTTGGACTACAGATGGTACATTAGCATCGACTTTAGGTCAACACAAGGGACCTATATTTGCACTCAAATGGAACAAAAGAGGAAATTTCATCCTTAGTGCAGGGGTACTACAGATTTATAAGTTTATATATTAAAAAAATGTTTTTTAGTCACCATAAAACATTAGAGTAAGATATGTAAAAATAAGCTTAGAATTGACATAATAATTATTTTAGGTTGATAAAACAACGATCATATGGGATGCTTCAACAGGTCAATGTACCCAACAATTCTCATTCCATTTAGCACCAGCACTAGATGTAGACTGGCAGACAAATACATCCTTTGCTTCATGTTCTACTGACCAGTGTATACACGTTTGTAAATTAAATGCTGACAAACCAATTAAAAGTTTCCAAGGACACACCGTAAGTACAATCTTTTTTTTTTTTTTTCCTACCTATGCTGATAGCCTTGAGAGGCTATTTCAGCTTACCCTAGCTTGTGTAGGTGAGCTCACGGGGCTCAAACCGGAGAATTGCTAACGCTGACCCTAGCAAGAGCAGTGCTTCGCAGAATCTACCACCGGGTCGGAAGCGCGACCCACTGAGAAGATTAGGCGAGAAACTCAGTGGGCTGTGTCTGTGGGTTAATTTGCTCGTCGAGCCCTTCGTAGCAAGCGACGGGTTCGACGAGGACGGTGACCGGTGCTTGTATTGCCTAAAAGCACCGTTAATGGATCAGGAGGATCCGTGATGACGTGCTTTGGGCGACGTCGACGGTTTACCATTTGGTCTACAGGATCGGGTATGTAGTTTCCAGCGGCCACGACAAGAGGGTTCTCATGTCGTGCCGTCTTCTCAAAGTGGCGCAGCGATGCCGACTGTAGATACTTACTGACGGGGTCGAGCTCCAGGTCATCGTGGAGGTCCACGTTCCTCTGGAACCATGGTGTTCCGACGGCTATCCTGCAGAATCGGGATTGACAATCTTCAAAATTCATTTTATTGTTTATTTTATTATTGCCTTTGGTTGAAAAACCACATACATTAATTAGTGTGAGTTAAGTACGTATTCATTACACTTTTTTATTGCTTAGATGGGTGAATGAGCTCACTGCCTACCTGGCGTAATGTGGTAACCAGAGCCCATAGACATACAACAACGTAAATGCCGCCATCCACCTTGAGACATGAGTTCTAAAGTCCTTTTTTACAGAACAACGGCCGGCCTCAACCTTCCAACCCAAACTCATTACTGCTTCATGGCAGAAATACACAGGTGGTAAACACCATTGCGGACTCACAAGATACCCTACCATCAATAATTACGAAAATTAAATTTTTTGCTAATTTGATTTTTATCACACAATGTTGAATTGTGAACTGTGAATGTCAATCATGAACATTTGTTAAGGACGTATTTCATTAGAAATATTGGTACCTTGACGCGGAATTTGAACACTGGCACACTCTATCGCTTAATTCGAATGCATCTTTATTATCCTTAAGTCCACGACGACTTGGAGTCTGAGAGTGGACGCCAATATTCACGTCTTAATCTCTCATACCACTTAGTATGTTGTGGGCTCTGCACTCGTTTGCTTTTGACAGAAATAAAAAAAACTATAATTAAAAATGTATTTTTTACAGAATGAGGTTAATGCAATAAAATGGGACCCACAAGGACAGCTACTTGCATCTTGTTCTGATGATATGACTCTTAAAATTTGGTCAATGAAGCAAGATACTTGGGTTCATGATTTGCAAGCACATTCAAAAGAGATTTATACTATCAAATGGTCACCAACTGGACCAGGCACACAGAATCCTAACATGAATTTAATTCTTGCTAGTGCATCATTTGATTCAACCGTCCGCTTATGGGATGTTGAAAAAGGTGTCTGTATTCACACACTAACAAAACACACTGAACCAGTTTACAGTGTTGCATTCTCTCCTGATGGTAAGTTTTTGGCAAGCGGTTCTTTTGACAAGTGTGTTCACATTTGGTCAACACAAACTGGAAGCCTTGTACATTCTTACAAAGGTACTGGTGGTATTTTTGAAGTATGCTGGAATTCTCGTGGTACCAAAGTGGGAGCCAGTGCTAGTGATGGCAGTGTATTTGTGTTAGATCTTCGTAAACTTTGAGACTTACAAATATAAACCTCATAGCCTTATATGAGGTGGTGCTGTGGCATTGGAACATGAATTTGACATTGATGATATTACAATAATTGGTAAAGTGTGTTGTGCTATTGGAACTAAATAATATAATGCACTAGATTTCAATCACCAAAAGTAATTTTGCAGGTATAATCAACATTTATGATTATTACAGTATATTTTTAGAAATCTCATCTTTGAGATTGGGTGAAGCAGTGAAATTATGCATAGAAAAATAAATAAATGTGTTATAATGGTTGTAATTTTTGTCACATAATTTTCGAACCGGCGGTGCATATCGCCATCATTTTATTTTTGGTAATTTAAAAATAGTTTTGAATTAAGAACGCAAATGTAATTTTTTATAATATCTGGTAAAATTAACTAATGACATGTTCTCCGTTACGTCATAGAATATGTAGTGTTTCAAGTGAATGATTTATATTTTTGTTGGTATAAAATAACTTGCAAGCTCTGTTCATAGTTTTAAGGTGTATTTTGTGTCTATCAATTGGCATTAACAGAATTCCATACTACATATTAGATATTCACGATAGGTCACCGTGATTATTTTCTAGTGATTTAACAGTAGTTTTGTTTATAAAAAAAACATAGCCTAAAGTTTATTTATTAACTTTACTTTTTCAATACTTTTTTAACTTGTTATCTAAAGCAGAAAAAAGCTGTAGGTAATTTAAATAAACAGCTGAAAAATAGACTGTAAGGCTGCAATTCTCAAACTGGAGTATTTTGTTATGTTATTTAACTAATTATTTGTTTAATTAACATAAGAGTTTATATTTAGCTGCACAAAAACATTATCTCACCTGCAATAAGAAATCGGGTCATAATAACTAATTATCAAAATTAGTTTGGCAACATAAATAATCAATTGAAATGTAAAATAACATTTAAAATGTACAGTAAAAACTTACATTTAAGTACAAAATATATGACAAAGCCTTACTAAAATTTTAATTGAGTATTACAATGTCTGTAATAAATATCTAGTAGTTAGTATAAACTTTATTTAATAAAAATGTTATTTTTTGTAAAAATTTATTTCTTAGTCAAATAAATTTATTTTAATCAACAAATATTTCAAGTCCTGTTTATTTTTCGGATATCAAGACATTGGTCTTTTATAGGCTAACAAATCTTCATGTTTATAAAGTTGATGTAACTTTGAATACATAAAAACAAAAAAGAATAATAAGTTGTCATATTGTCCAACATAAGGATCACATTGAGGATGATTTTGATCTGGATTATGCACAGGGTAGTAATCTGTAAGGTGGAATTTGTAATTTTCACTCCGACCCCATGCACACAAATGTAATTCTAACACAAGTTGATGTAATGATTCAATTGTGGAAAGATACCACCTAGGACTGCCTTTTTGGTGTCTCCAAAATTGAGATGGTCTGTTTTGCAAAACTATGGTTGGCAGTTTTTGAATTCTTTTATCGGCATATATACCACGGCATTGATTCCAGGTGCTGTCAATAATAACTACATGATTTATAGGTAATTCTTGGACATGATAGATTTCATGGTTATCTTTTCTTGTAACTATCTTTTTCATTAATGTTCCAACATTGTAACCAACTGGCAGTTGTGATAACATAATTTCTGAGTATGAAGGCTGATTTTGTTGTTGATTGAATAAGTCTCGCACAGATTTTGCCTCAGCTCCAGGAAACAACAAAACAACCTTTCCATCAGTAGGATAATCTGGAATATCTGGATATGTGTACACTGTGACATCCCGTGGAGCAAGAACAGCAGCATGGGCTGCAGTGCTTTTACCATTAATCTCTCCTTTGTGTTTGATAATATCCACTTTTATTGGTAGCTGCAAAAATATTACTTATTTATTAAGCTGAATTTATTGTTTCCAAGAAATTAGTTTTATGAGTTACTAACTTTACAGTAAGGTATTTTTCCTTCAAGTGCTGGTACTGGAATAAAGCAAACATAACAAAAGTACATTCTTGACTTGCCGCAACGTGGGCAAGCACTTCTACTAGATAGAGAACTAAGCGGTTCAGTGTTTGTTATTATCAACCCTTCAAAAGGCCTGTCATCACAAGCCTTAGCGATACGATTTTTAGGGTTCATCTTTCCTTTAATATAAAGCTAAACTATAAATTTCACGTATTCTATGGTAATTCAATGTTAAATTGTTTATTTTGTAACACCATTTAAACATGACAATACAATACAATACAATATCTACACATAAAAATATGTGATATTTATATAAAATGATGTATTTATAAACACTACACCCTAAAAATGTATGTGCATTTTATCTATTTTATAATTAATTTAGCAACAATAAATTTATTTTTAGTTTAGAACTAAAACAGTTTTAGTTAACATTTGTTTTTTTTAAGGAATTGTATGACCTGGTAACTAAGACTTTTAGGTCATGTCTTATTTTAATTTATATTCATAATGTTATGAAAAATGATAATATGGAGTGAAATAAAATAAAGATGATTAATTTGAGACATTTCATAGATTGGGATGATATTAAATAAAATGATATGGGATCAAATATAATCTCAGTAAAATGGTGGTCATCAACAGATCTTTTTAGTGGACTTTTTGGAGGATCCCGAAAAGTTACGTTCAGCGGCTTTGTTTCATTTTCCCACATTTGTGCACTTTCACAGATATTAAACAGTTAATAAACCACCATTATTACACATTTAAACCCGAAGTGTTGGACGGTTAAATTTGAAGGTTCTGTAGGTGATGAGGGGCTATTTAAAAACACAACTGCTTCATTATAATTATATTGCAGATTGCTTGAACACTTTTACACCATTAAACAATTATTATCTTTATATATTTTTTATAAAATTATTACATGTTTTTCATGCTGTGTCTAGATGAGAAGTCCTGACATTTTCTTACGAGAATACAATGATCTGTTTTTTAAAACATTTAAAATAATTCCAATATTCGAAATCTAATCAAGTGTCAAGTGTTGCCTGCCATTACATTTAATATACAAACTCCAACACGAAGAAACACTAAATAGACAAAATAAAACAAAAAACTTCACTTCTCGCGTTCCCGCCAAAAAGACACTTTTGACAGCTATCGAAATTCCAGAATGAGTAACAAACAGGGCTGCCAACTCCAGCATAGAGCAAAACTGTAGATATGCTTAAAAAACTAGAAAACTCCAAATATCAATTTAAAAAAATGAAAATCTACAGCTTTATCTTTATATTAAATTTTGTATAATTTAATGATAATAATGAATAGAATACATTGTAGGGAGGGCATTAAAAACAAGAAAAATTACAAAGTTTTAATATAATTAAATGTCAAAATCAAAAGTCATATAATTATGAAAGTGAATAAGTATTTAAAATCGAAGAAAATAGCTTAAAGTGGATTTTCTCAGGTTCTCCGAAAATCCTGAGAAATCCACGATTTTACTTAGAGATTATATTATTTTATCCAATAGGGTTCAAGGATCAAGTTTGAGGATAAACGCAACGCTTTACTTGTTTTTCACAACATTCTATTTAGTTCTAAATAGTTTATGGACTGAATAAGAATCTTCAATTTTTGTGATAAAACATTTGTCTGTATGGTCTACGTTTTCTTGTCGAATGGACGAGTCCTGGAAAACACAAGGGTAGCTGCTGTCATCTGTCAATATAGACAGATTTTATCTGTGAAGTTATGACGGTTGTGAATTAGAGCCGGCTGATTGATTACCCATACAAATTTTAAATTGTAAAATATTTTGTTCTGTTGAAATGTGATTGACTTTCGCTAAAATAAATTTGTTAAGCTTAGTTTTCAATCCGATACCTATGTCAAACTTCATCAAGAACAGGGTCAATTTGTAATTTGCTTCATATCATTGAAATGGGCGCAGTATAAGCTAAGAAACCATAATAGGAACTTAAATTTTAAAATGGAACCGACTTCGACCAATGTCGCAGAACTTCTTCATAAATTATGTTCCCATCTGTCAACAGATCTAGGTTTGATTCCAATTTTGAATAAATTGTCATAAATGCAAGCTATATACACTAATATTACGATCACTTAATTATGCTCTTGAATTTAATATGAATTTTATACATAATAATTTGAAGTCACTGTTTTCGTTATTTAATATTAAAGGTTAACATGTAATATAGTCAGACAAAACAAATATTTAAGGAATAACTACAAAAACAATTTTTAAAATTGAACCCACATAACAGATGGTGCATATGAACTGGCTATGTCATATTTGTCATCAACAAGCGAGAAGACGCGTTCATCTGCAGACGAGAAACTACTTTGTCAAAAGATTTACTCAAAGTTGTGTAGCAGATCCTCTCGAGATGCAGAAAAGTTCAATGAATATCATTCAAAATTAAGGAATTGTGTGAGTGTTTAATCAAGCCTTAGAATGCTAATTTAACACAGAGGATTAAAACATATTAGTAGTTTAAAGTATATCCTGAGTCTCCTCGTAATCTTTTGAACACTAGTGATAGGTAATGCGGTCCAGCCCTGTCTGTTAACAGCCATAATGGGGCAAATGTACTCACTTGTGCACTGCCCATATATATAAAATGAAATATAACAATTTAAAATAAAAGTAAAACAGATGTCTGTTGGGGCCACAAAGCTCTTGACTGAAGTCTGCGTACGGGACGATGTAGTTCAGGGAAGGTCTCCCACAAGGTGGATCGACAACATATTAAGACTGACAGGAACCTGCTGGATGCACATAGCATAGAAACGGTCATTGTGACAAGGTTTGAGGGAGGCCTATGTCCACCAGTGGATGTCTGTGGGCTGAAAGCTACATAGATATTTACAAAATAAAAGTATAAAATATCTTAACCTGCGTAAGCCCTTGGAGTTTTAAGCTAACCTGTGACTGCATAATCTTACTAAATATAATAAATTTTCAGTTCATTCTAAAACAGCGTTTATCTGTTTTGAGCCTGTTGTTAGCCCTGTCAGAACTGCCGCAGCACTCTGATTCAACACTTCAGCTGTTTCCTATACCACAGTTAGCTAACGCTGTAAGTTGAACGTTTTTAATATAATTTCCACCAGAATATTCAGCTAATTTCAAAATAATATAAATTTGACCAATAAATTCAATAAAACACATTTACTGGTGTTAAGACCTCTTGCAAGTCCGCATGGGTGGGTACCACCACTCTGCCTATTTCTGTCGTGAAGCAGTAATGCATTTTGATTTGAAGGGTGGGGTAACCGTTGTAACTATACTGAGACCTTAGAACTAATATCTCCAGGTGGGTAGCGGCATTTACATTGTAGATGTCTATGGGCTCCAGTAACCACTTAACCCCAGGTGTGCTGTGGGCTCGTCCACCCATCTATGCAATTTGCTTTATTATAGAAATCTGCAACTGGTATCCCGGCTGTTACACCTAGTATAAGCAAGAGTACTATTGGTTCAGTGAGCTGCACCAACTCACTAAAGCAACAAATTTCTGAGCAGAGCATACCTTCGAATAATAATATGGCACTGTCAATCCACCAAGCAGGTACAGTAAAATTTTGGTAACATAACATGTGTCTAACCATTCTCATCATCGATCTGTGGTAATAGATCGATGACTCTAATAGAAAGACTGGCGGGTTCTATATTCTCATAGAAACGTCCGAAACATCTGCCAGTTCCATTATTATCATGAAATATGAATTTTAAAAAAACATTTAAGTTTATCTAATTCTTTTTATATATAGTTTGGCTGTATATAGTTTTTGCTGTTTTGACTTCAGGATCTTAAAATCTGAATAAAATGGAGGAGCAGTCATGCATTCGCAATTTAAAATAATAATTGAGATTGTGATTTCATGTGGTGGTATTCAGTTTATAATATCTAAGGACTTGAGTAGCCACTTAATAACGATGAGTCAAGATCTTGTTCATCCATATAGTGCAGTAAAAAAGTATAAATAGGTTTCAATTAACATGATCAGAACGAATATTATAGTTGTATTCACTTTGTGTTGTGTTGTGTTGTGTTACTTACGTTTTATCATTATGTGTTTTATTGATTTTGTATAGATCGTCCGAATGAGCGTAGTTGTGTGCGTGAAGCTGTGTTGGCGGCTACTGGAGTGAAATGTCGTAATTCTGGAGCTGGATCTCGACCGATGCAAGCCCTGTACTCTCGTATTGCTCACCTGGGTTTTCTGCATGATAGACTAAAAGAATTCATTGATCCATTGTCTGGCCTCATGCCGCAAGGTAAAATGTTGTTGGGGCTTTTTTTAGCTAATACCGCATGACGCGTTCAGGGCTCTCTTGGTGTAAGCAACTCCGAAGAAGGTAGTGTAAGCCCATAGACATCACAACATTGTTGACACAAAGACTGCAGTTGGAACGAAGTTCCTTATCGCGCGTTGTGAAAGGGGGCTAGACGGAAAAAATTCTTACGAAAAGTTATCACGACACTTTTTAGATCCGTCATTCTGACCAATCAACGTGTAGGCGCTTATCGCGTGACATTGCTCGTATCCGATTGGTCTGCGTAATGAGTACAGTTTCTCGAGATAACGTTTCAACAATAGTAATTTAGTTCATAGTATTGTTTTTTTCTTCTTCATAATGCCGTAATTTATTATTATAACTTAAAAAAAATATTACAATTCCTTCACTAATTAATTGAAAGGAGCTTCGTTCCATCCGGGTGTCCCTTGACACCTCTGAAGTTTTTTTGAATGTTTTGGCGATGGAAGGCTCCATTTTTTTTGTACCCAATAATCTAACTTAAATTTCAAAACCCACCGGAATTAACTTTTAAGACATTTTTTTTACGCAATCAATCTACCATGATAATGACATCTGAATTACTGTCCAAAATACTTGTATTTTTGTCTCATTTTAGTGTCTACAGATTCCCTAATTGCTATTCTCATCTCTCTTTGTTTAATACTGATAGGGTGTGATTAGACTGCAAGCATTGTGCTCACTAATGAAGTTGACTCCAATCTCGCATCAATAGAAATAAGTCAGTGGCAAATATTTGATAAATACCAATTTTACACTGTATTTGTTATCTTAAAATACCTATAAATCAAAGTTTTTAAAAATGAAATAAAAGAAAATCTAAGTTTATGTCAAAATCGAAACCTCCACCCATTGTTGGCTTGAAATCTGTTAAGGCTTTAGCCCTAAAGTTCTTCTCAATAACTACTTAGAAATTTAGTCAAGTCTCCATTAGGCTTGGAGTGTGTTTGCCTATTTTTTCATGCATGCATACATACTATGAGATTGTAAATGACGCATATGTCGCAGGTTTGATGGGTGAGGGCCTAGTAACCGCCATCAGAGATGAACTTACAGAGTACTACCGCAGTGTTGCACTTCTTCAATCACAGGTATAGAACTAAAGTAATGACTTTGACAATTTCTTGGCCAGCTATTACTGTTGCTCATAAAAAGACACAACGCACAGGTACAGAACTAAAATTATGACTTTGACAATTTCTTGGCTAGCTATTACTGTTGCTCATAAAAAGACGTTAGTCTCGATATAAAGACTGTTCCACTTTGAAAAAGGTGCTTCAAAAGTAGAAATGGTTAGAGCAGTGATGTGTGTATTACATATTATTATGCCTCTCAATAATAACGCAATATAAATAATAATACAGACCAGAATTGACTTGAGTAGCGGAAACATATCGTTTGTACTATTTCTTTTATAAAAAAAACTCAGTGTCAATCACAGTTTCTTTTTTTTTAAAAGAGCTCCTGGATCCACTCTGTAGCAGACCCACCAGTAAAACTGTTATTTTGTGAATAGGCTTGTGAAGGTGACGGAGGAGGCGCCACCTTACGTCGCGTGTGTGTCTGGGCACAAGAGCCTCTGCACCGTCTCACGTGGCTTGCTAATATGGCACATGCTGCACAACATAAAAAAGGTATTTTAATTGAAAATTATTGTAATTAACATTTACAAAACTTAACAGAGATAAGGTCGGACCGGATTTGAACTTAGATTATTCTACATTTGTATATTTCAATGCAATTATTAGAGTAAGATAAAAAATAATTGATCTAAAACTTAAGACTTCTTGATCTTAAGACGGATAAAAATCGTAAACTAATCCGTATTCATTTTTAAGTATCTTATTTACTTTATTATCATTTATTGTTCATATCAAAAAAGGTATAATATAATTTAAACATTGTGCACAAAAGTTTAATTCATACATGAGTTTTCTGCCAGTTAATGTGTTTTAAAGTAAACAAGATTATAAACAATGGAAAAGTGCATGATATTGTGCTTCTAATTTGAATTTTGAGCATTACATAATTGATTGGGACTGTATTTATTAAAACCAACAGATGCAATTAATCAAAATATTACCAGCACTTCTCGTTTTGGGGAAGTGCGTATTTCGTCGAACCTGCGTTTATATGAAAACACAAACTATGGGTGTAACACAAGAAAAATAGTCTTTTTTTTTATAATGACCTGTTGTTTATTAATACGCTTTTATTAGCTTCAGACGTATGTATGTTTGTAACGGAACTTTGAACATGAAAAACGTCGGATTAACTCGAAATTTGGTATACTTATTAAGGACCGACGACAATTCAACATTAAAAAAAAATTGAAAAAAAAATTTGAAAATTTTTAAATTCAACTAAAAAATGAAAAATAAATAATAGTTTAAAAAACTAACAATACTAAAAAAAGCGTGGTGTGCATGGTATCAGTACTTATAAATACTTTATGAACAGATATGAGTAGAAGGGTTATTTTGATAATATCTTGAAAAGCACCCCACGCTTTTTTATAATAAAAACATATTTTCATGCACTATTTTTAATTCAAATTTATTAAAATTTATTTTCTGTTTTGTAATTGGATTTTCTATAAAAGCGTATTTTGTTAGTTTTTTTAAACTATTATTTATTATTTCCAATATGCGACGTTTGTTGCGTAGGTGGCGAGCTAGCGTCGTGCGTGCACCGCTTTGTCCGTCACGGCGACGAGCGCGTGTCGTCACTGGCGCGCCGCCTGCTCACTGCGCTCACCTATCCGCTACTGCTCATGCTGACCCGCTGGCTCTTACACGGTACGTGGAGCTGATTATAAATTATCGTTAAACAGCTACTATATAGCTCTTAAGGACTTTGATCGTTCAACTATTCTTTCACATCAAACGGAGATCTAGGCTGAGGGATATACGGGTATTAACTGATCCGTTCAATGATTTTGTATAAAAACATTATGTCAGTTTGAATTCTAGGAAAGCCTTTATCCAAGTATATGTAAAAATTCTTGTTTGATATCTTAAGGATGACAGTGAAATTGACATTGTGGTGTCCATGAGGTCCGGTAACTGCTTCACAATAAGTGGATAATTAATAAGAAAAGTAAAAAAATAGCACCTAGTATCCTACTATATGGCAGTAAAATTTAAATTCTTATATCCTGCAGGTGAAATCGATGACCCATTCAATGAGTTCTTCATTGAAAGTCGAAGTGGTGTGCCTATTGATCGAATGTGGCATGACAAATACCGAGTCAGGTAAACATGACTATATTTTGAATTTTTAGATATAAAATAAATATCTTTTTTTTTTATTGCCCTTGTAGGCAGACGAGCATACGGCCCACCTGATGGTGAGTGGTTACCGTCGCCCATGGACTTCAGCAATGCCAGGGGCAGAGCCAAGCCGCTGCCTACCGCTTAATCTGGCCCCCCTTTTTTAAGACATCAAGTACACATCGTAACTATATTTAGAATACTTGACTGATTTCCAAAAAAGGATGGATCGTTATCAAAAGGTTGAAACTCATGCAAAGAGCACTATAAATGGCTATGCTTGGAGTTTCCCTGCACGATAAAATCAGATGTTAGGATTATACGCAGAAGAACCATGGTTAATGAGCATAGCTCAAAAGATTGCGAGATTGGAGTAGTACGACATCATACATGTAACGATAGTGACATTTACATCATACGATTATTATCTATACTAATATATAAATCTACAGCGGTTTTTACGGATATTCCGTTATAAGTATGTACTGAACCGTGCATCCGATTGACTTGAAACTTGGTATCCATGTAGAAAATACACGTACTTAATGGATAGGCTAATATTTATATGAATGTTGGACTCCCTACACCAGTTGCGGGGGCGTTAATGATGAGAATCTTTGTGGGGGTGAGAAATAATAATGTTGATTTTAAATGCCCAGCGAAGCGGACGGGTACAGCTAGTTTGCTAATAATCATGTCGACGCTTGAAAGGCAAACTTGACTAAGCGACAATGCGTGAACTTTACAGTAGAGTAATTTAAAGTTGAAATACCTGAAAAAAAAATTCTTTTAACGAATCTAGCTGTAGGATTGAAATGATTTTAATAGATCTAGAAATATATATTTTTTGGGCATCGATAATGCTTATTGCCTATCATTTATGTATAAAGCAGTTATTGTCGCTTAGTCACGTTTGCCCTTCAAGCGTCGATGTAATGTAAATTATTATTTTGTAATAATCGTGTAATGTAAATGCTGGAACGCGAAAGGGAATGGATGGTGCCGTCGTTCATGTGCCGCGAGCAGGCCGCGCAGATCCTGGCCACCGGGAAGAGCGTCGTGTTCATGCGCGAGGCGTGCGCCGACGAGCCAGACCACGCCCCCCACGCGCACCATCTACACTCCCTGCTCAAACCCGATACAGGTAATGTACGCGTGACACTTTCCTACTGGCGGCAGGACGTAGCTAGGATAACGCCATCTTTCTTTTATTGCCTAGATGGGTGGATGAGCTCACATCCCACCTGGGGTTAATTGGTTACTGAAGCCCATAGACATCTACGATCTAAATTCGCTTGACCTAGCGCACCTTGAGATATAAGTTCTAAAGTCTAAAGTATAGTAACAACGGCTGCCCCACTCTTCAAACCGAAACGCATTACTGCTTCACGGCCGAAGTAGGCAGGGTGGTGGTACCTACCCGCGCGGACTCATAGAGGTCCTACCACCAGTAATTACGCAAATTAAAATTTTGCAGGCTTGATTTTTGTTACACGATGTTATTCCTTCACTGTGGAAGTCAATCGTGAACATTTGTTGAGAACGTATTTCATTAGAAAAATTTATACCCGCCTGCGGGATCCGAACACCGGTTACATTTTTATTACATGATGTCATTCCTTCACCGTGGAAGTCAATCGTGAACATTTGTTGAATACGTATTTCATTAGAAAAATTGGTACCCGCCTGGGATTCGAACACCGGTGCATATCTACATACGAATGCATCGGACGTCTTACCCTTTAGGCCAAGACGACTTCAGACCTGCTTGCGTCGTTTCTGTCACGAACCTGTCACGCGTGACAGGTTACGGGAAGGTGACGGGATAGTCGTTACCCAATAACATCAAGCCCTCGATCTCATTAGATAAATTTTATTTCATTACATTTAATTTCACATAATAATATGAGTTGTTTTTCAAGTGAAACGTAAGTAGGAATTTGTTCAGGATGATGGTAAAATTTTAATTCGGGTTAAAGATATTCTTTATTCTCAAAAGAATTACATAAATTCACTTAAATGAGAACATTAAAATAGTTATAATTAATTCAGATCGTGCAGTACATGACAATAATTTATAGTAACAACATGCAACATTAATTGGAAATATCTACCGTCAAAATTTTACTTGTATCTAACAATGTAATAAATAGAGATTAGTATAGTATAAATTGCAAAATAATAATAGATTTTAGTCATATACCGAAATCAAGCTCTATTTCTATGTTATTCGATGGAGTAATAAAAAATGCAACTACATAATAATATTATAACGGCATTGTTATTTGCATTACTTGTAGATTATTGCTTATAAACCTATAAAACTGTGTGTGCTACAGATGTTTGTTTCTTAATTACTAAATATAGCAATATACCAATCATATTTGTTTCAACCAATCGCAATCACAAAGCCTAAGCTCAAATATCGTATAGATATAAATTATTTAATGCCAAATTGAATGCCATTGGAAGTGCAGAACATAATAAAAGCAGTAGTACTGAGCGGGTCCGCGTGCGTGCAGAGGGTGCGGGCGCGTGGTGGGAGGCGGCCGGGCTGGGCGGCGCGGTGCGGGGCGCGCACGACGCGGCGGCGCGGCGCCTGGTGGCGGCGCTGTGCTCGCGACACCACCTACTCGATCATCTCGCGGCACATCGACGCTACCTGCTGCTCGCGCAAGGGGATTTCGTGCATCATCTCATGACGCTGTTGCAGTAAGACACACTCTTACAATTCAGAGCTGTTATTCAGTTACAGTCAGACAATTTAACTGTTTTTTAATTTTTAAATAAACTTACTACTAATTGAATAAGAACTGTCTGATGAACTCATCTTTGTTTAATACTTCAGTATTAACTTTTATTGCTTTTTGTTTATTTCACTTTTACACTAAACGCAATATTGCAAATTACACGAGCACAACAATGGCGGAGAATTTTATGTGCCTGAGAGCAGACGTAGACACTAACGCGCATGCGCACTTGTCAGTACCCAGGGAGGAAAAGTTACACTTTCTTCATTGTACAGCGGGAGGAAAACCGAACTTTCGGCGTAGGTAGGTGAAAAAATATGTTGTTCCAAACCCAACTTTATTTTCGCAGGGAAGAACTGAACAAGCCCGCCACGTCCCTGTACGTACACAACCTGACGTGTACGTTGGAAGCGGCCGTGCGTGCTACCAACGCGCAGTACGAGCCGTCTCACGTGCTCGCTAGATTGCACGTTAATTTGTATCCCAACTGTAAGTACATATTAAGTTCACATGCAATTTCAAAGTTTAAGAAAGTTTTCACAAAAGTCTGTTAATGATTCTTTAAAGGTCGTTTATATTATGTTTAATTTATTCGATGCTAATTTTAGTGGGGGCCAGAGAGCTCATAGTTGTAATAGGAGAATGTGTTTTACGGCCCCATGGGTCATAGCTTATCATGCGTTCCGGTTTGAAACCGAATTTAGTCGACAATACCTTATGTTTATTTCCTTGCCTATTCCCTGGTAGCCTAAGAGGGAATAGCCTTTACGCTATGCCCGGATGGGTAAGTGAGCTCACGGGCTCAACCTGAGAGATTTTGCTAAACTAGCCCTAGCTAGAGCAGTGGTTCCCTTCGAATCTACCACCGACCCATTGAGAAGCTCCGACGAGAAACTCTATAGGCTGATCTCTACTAATATATAAATCTACAGCGGTTTTTACGGATGTTCCGTTATAACTACTGAACCATGCATCCGATTAACTTGAAACTTGGTATCCATGTAGAAAATACATGTACTTAATGGATAGGCTAATATTTATATGAGTGTTGCACTACACCGGTTGCCGGGACGTTAATGACGACAATCTTTGTGGGAGGGAGAAAAGATAATATTAATTTTAAATGCCCAACGAAGCGGACGGATATAACTAGTACCTTCTTAAGCTAGTACCTTTACTAGTTGTAGAACCTCTTATGAGTCCGCGCGGGTAGGTACCACCGCCCTGCCTATTTCTGCCGTGAAGCGTAATGCGTTTCGGTATGAAGGGTAGAGCAGCCGTTGTAACTATACTGAGATCTTTGAACTTATATCTCAAGGTGGGTGGCGCATTTACGTTGTAGATGTCTATGGGCTCCAGTAACCACTTAACACCAGGTCGGCTGTGAGCTCGTCCACCCAACTCTCTCTCTCTCTCTCTTCGATCGGTCCCTCGCTGCTGAGGATCGTGACTCCGTCCGATTTCGTCAACCAACTGTCTCCATCGATCCCGCCCTGCAGCCCGGTGGAGCGCGTCGCTGATAGGTATCCCCAGTTCCTAAAAAAATTCCTAACAAAGCATTAAAAAAAAAATTGTTGGTTGAATCGTTACGTACATGGGCAGGCGACGGGCGCGAGGACAGCGGCTGGGACGTGTTCGCGCTGCAGTACCGCGTGGACGGGCCGCTGGGCACGCTGTTCCCGGCCACGTGCGCCGCGCGCTACCGGGCCCTGTTCACGCAGCTCTGGCGCGTCAAGCGCATCGAGTACAGTCTGCACGACGCTTGGCGCGAACACACCATACTACACAAGCGACTTAAACACATGCCCGGTCAGTTCCAAGTTCTGTGTACTTTCTTATTTTTTTTCAGTATGTCAATTAGCTTCTAGCGATGGCATTGTTGCCAGTGTCGATTTTATAAAAAAAAACCATTATTACATATAAAGGGATCGGAATGAAATTAAGTTGATTTATTAAAAAAATTATATATTGGGGTGGGATTGAATAAAATGGAATGAAACTGGATAAAATGAGATAACGTCCCAGTAAAATAATGACTGTTTAGTGAGACTTCAGTTGCCCTCCATTGGGTTTTCAGAAGGTACTCGTATTTTGTTTGATTTTTCCACACTTATGCCCTTTCATAGATCCTAAAAGGATTATAAGCCACCATTATTACATGTTTAAATTTGAAGAAATATTCAGTTAATTAAATAAGGTAATTCACACAACTTCGCTCTTCGTGCTCTCACCAAAAAGCCCGTACGTAGTCACAGGTACAATAAAGATGAAGGTTTTGCACTTACTGATACCACCGTTATTTTTTTTTGCCAAACAATCAGTGATGTAATGTTGGTTTAATCGTGATTGTGACATAGGTGTGGGCGGTAATGCGCCGAGTGTGCACGCTTTTTTTTTACAATAAAATTTTTTTTTTTTACACTATTACTAATTCAAATTTATTAAAATTTATTTTCTATTTATTAGTTGGATTTTGTATAAAAGCGTATTTTTTTGTTTTTTTAAACTATTATTTATTTTGAATTTTATTTTACTTCAATTTCAATTTTTTCAAATTTTTTTAAAAAATGGAATTGTCATCGGTCCTGAATAAGTATACCAAATGTCGAGGTAATCCGACGTTTTGAAGGGGGTCAAAATCATGTTCAAAGATTTCGTTACATACATACTAACTAACATACATACGTCTGAAGCTAATAAAAGCGTATTAAAACTTGACTACTGTTGGTATAAGCTCACTGATATTACTGTTCTTTTGTTTTGCCAAACAATAAGTGATGTAATGTTGGTTGAATCGTGGTTGTGACAGAGGTGTGGGCGGTGATGCGGCGCGTGTGCTGCGTGCGGGCAGAGGCGCTGCGGGTGTGCGGCGCGCTGCAGGAGGCGAGCTGCGCGGGCGCCGAGGACGACTGGGCCGAGCTGCTCGCCGCGGCCGCCTCACGCACCGACCTCGACCGTCTGCTGCATCTGCACCTGCGCGCGCTCGACCAGCACTCCGTGCATGCTATGATACACCACTCCACGCAGGTACCAGACCACGCACCCTCCATGCTCCCTGCATATCTGATGGACACGGCAGCACGGTTTTAGGCAGCGGCTTGGCTCTGCCCCTGGCTTTGCTGAGGTCCATGGGCGACGGTAACCACTCACCATCAGGTGGGCCGTATGCTCGTCTGCCTACAAGGGAATTAAAAAAAAAAGTATATACCGTGAAGTGTACTTACGATTACTCACAGTGGATAACCTAATTTACTTTATTGATGGCGTTGGCGATACCTACGTTAGCTCTTCTATAAGCCGCACCAATAATGAAACGAACCTAAAATGGCGGTGGCGATCATCCGCTCTCACTCTAAACTATTGTTGTCTTTAGTCGCACACGGCGCGTACTGCATGCAAAAATATATCAGTTCTGACTTTGTTCTCACTCTGTCTCTACGCGCTCTGTTTTCTCTCAAATTCTGTTGTTATTTGTTATTATTATTGTTATTATTATTTGGGCACCAAAGTAAAGTAAAGTACATTCTCATTTGTTTTTATATATTTTTTTACAATAAACAAGTTTTTCTTTCTATCTTTCTTTTAGACTCCCTAATAATAATGACAATAAGTAATAATGATAATTTCAAACGCCCTGCGAATCGGGCGACTACGGCTAGTCACTTTATATTGAGGAAACACTGACAAACAAATTTCATATAAAACTTTTAACGATTTCCACTGTTATTATGAAACAATCTTAATATTTGCGCAGGAGCTTCAATCGTATTTGGGGAACGTTCTGAACGAGACGTTGGCGCTTCGCAGTTTTGAGTCGATGCTGCACGCTGGGATCGTCGCCGAACTCGAGAGACGAGATCGACTCGAACGACTGAAAGCAGAGAGAGTAGCGAGAGGTGCTTAATTTTTTTTTTATTGCTTAGATGGGTGGACGAGCTCACGGCCCACCTGGTATTAAGTGGTTACTGGAGCCCATAGACATTACGACGTAAATGTGCCACCCACCCCTAGATTTAAGTTCTAAGGTCTCAGTATGGTTACAACGGCTACCCCACCCTTCTAACCGAAACGCATTACTGCTTCACGGCAGAAATGGGGAGGTAGTACCTACCCGCGCGGACTCACATGAGGTCCTTCCACCAGTAATTCTTCTTCACTTTCTTTTTCCCCACCTTATCCCACTAGGTGGGGTCGGCACAGCTAATTTTTCTCTTCCATTCTCTTCTATCAGCCGTCATCTCAACACTCACTCCTCTCTCTCTCTCATATCACCATTCACAAACTCCATCCATGTCTTCTTCGGTCGACCTCTTCCCCCTCTACCTTGCACTACCATTTCCTCTCTTAGTCACATGCATCTTCTCTTTACGCATCACATGTCAATACCACTCTAACCGTCCACTCTTTAATTTATTGATTACCGGGGCTTTCACACTTCCTCTGTTATACTCATTCTCTATCTTGTCCATTCTTGTCACTCCACACAACCACCTCAACATTCGCATCTCTGTCGCATACACTTCTCTTTCATGCTTTACTTTCGTTGCCCAACATTCAAACCCATACAGCACGACAGGTCTAATGATCGTTTTATAAATTTTTCCCTTAATTAAATAATATATTTTCCCTAAATAAAACAAAATATATTAGAAGCGATTTATATAGCGTCATATAATATTTTGTGAAACATATTTTAGGCGAATACGCTTTTACTGCTGCTGACGAAGCTGAGGATAAAGAAAAGCGAAAGAATTTCAATCAATTTATAGCCAAAAGGAAAGCCGATCTAAACGTGTGGACGCGCACGTATAGGTACGTGTTAATTTTTTTTATTTAATTTTTGTGAAGTTGAAGGATTTTTAAAACTTTTTTAATTTTTTTTAATACAGGGGTCACGTGACAGCTCTCATCCTCAAGCTGGCGCTCCATTCAGAAATCTCACTACAAACGTTGGCGTTCCGATTGGACTATAGCGACTTCTATAAGCGGGGTGACGCCAAACTGCACGAGCCTCTAACATACCAGCATAAGCGACTCAGTGAAATCGGACTCAATTTAGCTAAGGTACATATATTAAAAAGGAAACAATAATACGAATTATCTAAACATTTTAAAACGATTATTCATGTTGAACATGTTGATTTTTTTTTTTTTTTTGTTGCAGAGTAAATATATAGAACGATCGAAAAAGAAATGACGAATACTCATTTCCCACCAAAACGTCGATGCGCTGGGGTCTTGTTAATGGTGCGGAACCGACACCAGCGAATTATGGATCATGCAAACACTATGAAATTGGATGGTGGAGAAAAATGTTCAAAACAAAGAAATACAATTATTCATAAATAATTTAATAAAAGTTTTATGTAATTGCTAATATTAAATTGTTTCATTTTTTTTTAGTTAAAAAATGGTGTGGCTATAGCCATCATAGAACAAAAATATATTTGACAGATGTCTGAATCTCACTAATTACATTGTCAAGATATGCTTACATACATACAACTTCTGTCGTAGCCGCCGCTGACTACTCCCCGAATCCTGATCATGCAGGAGTCAGTCACCGTCGACGCCCTAGACACGTCCTTACGGATCCATCAGATCCAATAACCTTTGCATTAGACGCCTTCAGCTCTAACACTAGGAGCAGGCTTAGGGACCCCGGTAACCGTACTCGTCGAACTCGACAAAGAGTTCGCCGTGCAACCTAACCCATGCANAGTCAGTCACCGTCGACGCCCTAGACACGTCCTTACGGATCCATCAGATCCAATAACCTTTGCATTAGACGCCTTCAGCTCTAACACTAGGAGCAGGCTTAGGGACCCCGGTAACCGTACTCGTCGAACTCGACAAAGAGTTCGCCGTGCAACCTAACCCATGCATCAGCCCGCTGAGTTTCTCGCCGGATCTTCTCAGCGGGTCGCGATTCCGATCCGGTAGTAGATTCATTCGCGAAACAATTGCTCTTGAGTTGTTAGGTCTCCTTCGGAGGCGCTTGGGCAGTTGTTAGCAAATCCCACCCCTCTTGGCTGAGCCTTTGCTCGCCCACCTGTCCTGGTGAAACTGGAAAGGCCTTCGGGCCACCAGTAAACTTTCAATCAAAAAAAAAAAAAAAAAAAACAACTGAACTGAATAGCATTTGGACCGTTTGGTCGTTAATTAATATTTTCCCCTTGCTGGTAGCCTGTACGGCTATTCCAGCTAACCGTTAATCCCAAAAAGGTAACGACGACGGAAATATTAACATGAGAATTAACAGGAAAAACGTCCAAACTTTTGACGTTATTAATCCTTTAAAAAACTGTTAATAATGATTAAAAGGTCGCCCCATGATCGAAATTCGAAATTATGAATGACATTTCTTTTATTTGTTCTTGGTTTGAAATTTTGGGAAAAAAGAAATTTTATTAAAAAAAACAAAGTCGGTCAACAATCAGAATAAAATGGTTTGAATAAATACGTCTTCTTTTCAAACTGTACCTGATCCTGATGAAGTACATATTTTTACGTAATATTCCAGTTTCTAACAAACGTATTTTTTATCGTCTCTAAAGCTGCGTTAAAATTGATGCGAAACGAAATCATTTTACGAGGAACAATTCCGATGTCGGTAACTGTCATTTACAAATCATGTTCTTTCTGATTACAAAAAAGCGACGATCTTTTTTTCCTTTATTGATAACGCAAAACCCTGATTATAACTGACAAAATGGCTTGATAACGATTTTCTTTTAAAACTTCCTTTTTTCTTTTAACATTTCACCTTTAAATGCTTCCGTATTTTACGGCAATGGTAATTGCTCTATATAGGGTGTTACAGAACGAATGAAAATTTGCTAATATTATTGCATAAAGGATGTTGCGATTTAAAAGTTATAGTTTAAAGAGGTTTTTATTGACCACTCTGTATTACAAATTAAAATCTTCTAAAACATGGTGTCAACGAGCTGGCGTGATACGGAGAGGGGTGGTCTGGTTTCGCTTTAGCTTGACGGTTCACAAAATGATGAATATTTAGGCTGATTAGAGTATTAATGTTATTGTCCGTTTATGTAGTTACTTAGCTGGTAGGTATATTGTGACTGTTTCCGCCTCTGGAACGGATCTCTGTTCAGAATTATAAAAAATATTGACACAGGCATACCCTTTAACAAAAATGATGCCAGATGTAGGTTTAGCCTCACTTACTTTAAAAGATTTTAAAATACTTTAAGGTTATTACAGTTAGCTAACAACAAAAACATGATGTTTTTGAGCTCATCACATAATATGATAATGATGTAGGCTTTTAAAAAAACAAACCCAATAAACGACATATTTTTAATAACTGACATTATTTTGGTGACGTATTATAGGTTTATTCAAATAAAGTATCCTCATTCATGAGAATAGTCTACAACTAATTAAGACCTTAAATAATTATTTTAAGGGAAAATGAAACAAAAATATTGCTTGCATAAGATGATTCTCTCTAAACATAAACTACTAGCTCACTAATTGATTTCACAATTATAACAGGCGCATGTTTATTATTATTATTCAGTATTGATTTGTATGTAATACTGGCAGCGTGTAATAGAAGTTAGTAATATTTACTTAATCAATAAAATGTACTGAGTTGTGGATTGAAATAAGCGTTTATTCTGTTTATTTTGTTATGTTCTTCGTGTTTACATGGCATATTAACAGCTGTATAGAAAAGAGTGCAATACTCAACTACTTGTTAGATTCATTTGTGAAGTTTCAATACATATATTTCATCTTATATTAATTTACGAATAAAACTTTGGTGATTACCTATTAATAATATGTTCATTTTATCATTTAAAAACTTAACCAAACAATCAAATATGCCTAGAATTTAAACAATTTATTATATACTATACAAATGTAAGGTATATTAAAGTAAAATCAATCTTGATTATATTCGTTTGACGTTTTTATAAAACATTGTAAACATTTAGTTTTTCCATAAAATCTCGCAACAATACTAACAAATAAGTCAATACCTATAATAAATTAATACTCGTCGAGCGAAAATGATCGTTTTGTTGAAAATGCCGCAGCTGTTGCCTGCCCTGTTTGCTCTAAAGCAATCCCTATTCTTAGAGTAAAAATTTTTCTTTTTTATGTAACAAACAATAAAATATTTAATTGTGTCGCGTTTTTCTTCATCAAAGATATTGGCAGGTGCGTTTGTGGACTGGTTTCTTGCGGAGGGCCGCGCGCACCGCTTCCTCGAATACTTCGTCCATGTTTATCCGCTCTAGTGCTGAGCATTCAACCAGATGGGCTGCTCTGTAAATCCATACAACTTATTATCAAACAAAGCAAAACTATAATTTGCGTAATTACTGGTGGTAGGACCTCCTGAGAGTCCGCTTTTTTTTTTTTTTTTTTTTCCTACCTAAGCTGATAGCCTTGAGAGGCTATGTCAGCGTAACCCTAACTTTAGTAGGTGAGCTCACGGGGCTTTGACGATGTTGCTAACACGAACCCTAGCAAGAGCCGTGCTTCGCAGAATCTACCACCGGATCGGAAACGCGACCCACTGAGAAGATCCGGCGAGAAACTCAGTGGGCTGTGTCTGAGAGTTAATTTACTCGTCGAGCCCTTCGACGCAAGCGTCGGGTTCGACGAGAACGGTGACCGGTGCTTGAAGTACCTAAAAGCACCGTNGCGACCCACTGAGAAGATCCGGCGAGAAACTCAGTGGGCTGTGTCTGAGAGTTAATTTACTCGTCGAGCCCTTCGACGCAAGCGTCGGGTTCGACGAGAACGGTGACCGGTGCTTGAAGTACCTAAAAGCACCGTTAGTGGATCGGGAGGATCCGAGATGACGTGTTTTGGGCGACGTCGACTGCTTTCCATTCTGTCCGCAGGAAAGAGTCCGCGCGGGTAGGTACCCTGCCTATTTCTGCCGTGAAGCAGTAATGCCTTTCGGTTTGAAGGGTGGGGCAGCCATTGTAACTATACTTGAGACCTTAGAATTTATATCACAAGGTGGGTGGCGTATTTACGTTGAAGATGTCTATGAGCTCCAGTATCCACCTAACACCAGGTGGTCTGTGAGCTCGTCCACCCATCTAAGCAATAAAAAAAAAACGAATATCGGTTACAAATACGGTGGGTAGCTACTGCTCATTGTATAGGTACTAGTAGGTACGATAAAATTTCGTAATTGCTTTTATTACTACGTATAACATTAATTAACAACGCAAAGTTCAAACATAATCAGTTGGAAAGTCAATTAAACGTAATGTTACGTTGGGCAGTGATTATAAACTGTTTGTTTCATTTAACAGCACCATTGTCGTCATATCGCAAGTTAACGCGGTATCAGACAGTGATAATGGACGATAACGCAGCTGCCGGCGCGGCGCTCCACCGTGATAACCCTTTGTCACTTTTCTCTTCGTGTAGAATAAAAACCGTTGGATAAAAAACTTAACAAAGCAATTTAAACGAGCGGAAGTCCGTAAATTGAAATCGTCCCACTGTTAAATTAAAGTTTAATTTTAGGGGTAAGTGTGACAAGGAAATGGTTCTCCTGACAAAATATTTATATCTGGAAAATGTCTCGAAGTGCCGAGTTTTTTTTTATGAAACATAAATTAATGATTAATGAACTAATTGATAACGTTTAAGGTAATATTAGATGCGTCGCTATATTCGGAACGGTTTCGATTAATTATCACTGACAAAATGTTATAGATAAAATATAAACAAGAAATAATAAACAAGGTTTTCTATATTATTTATAATTTATTACAATCGTGTGCATCGTTACTCGCTTTCACCATAATATTCCAAATTTAAATAAATCTTATTCGAGCAGTCTTAATTTATCGTCTTAAAATATATCAGCGGTCACTGAGGAAATCGTAATAATTCGTAAATATTAAATTTAATAAGTGTTACCGCAATTTGCTCAGTGGCCACAGTAATGTATTAATGTAAAAATATAAATGTTTTATTCGTACCGGATTTTTTTCTTTAATTTCTTTCCTTCTTGAGTTGTGACAACGGCTTTATCCGAAGACCTCAAGTCAATTTTAGTAGCTGAAATGAAAATTTGTTTCACTAAATGACTTGCACAGTTAAGCAAGTTAAGAAAGTGTGTCGGCTTGACCTACTGCATTTGTCATGGAAGCCTTCGGCGGAACTTCATTAGGTAGATAACTACTTGAGTGGCTGCTCAAAAGCAGCTGCTTCGGAAATGAATTTACAATCGAATCGGAAGCCTCTGAGATGTTCCGTTGAGAAACTCATTGGACTAAGTAGCACGAGGAATTGCGACGTTAGTATTACAGCTAGTAAGCGTCCAGTAACATCAAGTAGAGTAGGCATTAGTAAGTCTTTAGGGTGATAACTGTAGGCTCATGTCTTTGAACCACGATATCCGATTAACATTAAGCGACCCATGAATTCATTTGCCCATCTAGCTAGTAAAAAACGGTGCAGTCAAAATTTATTAAATCCTTCCTCATTATCTCTCACTCTAATAATCTACAGAAATTACGCTAGTTTTAGAAATACAGGCAGGATTCGCTGTAATAGAACATCGGATGTGCCAACAATTAAATTGAATAGCTGCCAAAAAAATTAGCTAATATGTATTAAAGTTTGTTTTGTTGGTAACGATGTATGATGGATGACAGATACTATGCAAAAATATTTAAACACAAATGTCGGCGATTTTTAAGTTTGGTTGTTTCACTCGAAGCCCCGAAAAGTGCTCAATTTATGAGGATTATCTGTATGTCGCATACTCACCTACTAGGACGATAGGTACAGAAGCACTAAAGTGCTTTAATTCAGGATACCATTTGTGTACTACATTTTCGTATGACGATCTGCTCCCTACAGAGTAGCATACTAAAAAGCAGTTAGTCTGAAAAAAGATTAAAACTGTAAAGAAACCAGCGTTGCCAAAAATTACGTTTATGATTTTTTTTAGTTTAAACATTTTAAATGTTATAATGGAAGACCAATGTCTGGGCGCTCCAGAGTTTGACAAATGGTGTCGTTCAAACTGCAAAATTACTATTTTCGGCATTATTCAAATCATGTAAATACATTTACGAACGATCGATTTTTGACTTCCATATATCAGCGAAGACTTGATCCACTCTCGCATCAACCTATAATCTAAATACCATTGATTTTCAGGCTAAGGGTAACTTTGAAACTGGCATATGTGACTATGGCGTCAGAAATAAATTTGCTCGAAAAACTTTGACGTGAGAATTAGTTTTCCTGTTTTTAAAGATACGCTCCACAAACCAACGAAAAATGCCATAACAAGCTTTACTTATTGTGAAATTAAACTCAAGTACAATGCTAATCTGATTTGAATGGAATGGAATGTAAAAGCAAATTTTTAATTCGTTTTTTTAAATCAAATTTAGTTAATTCTAGGATTTCCCAAAAAAACCTAAACAATCTAAATTCTAAAATATGATATAATTATGCGTCTCCGCAGAGACATGGAATTTAATGTAAAAATTAGGTAGTGTACATAAATGCACAAGTTAGAGATTTATATACTTATGTAAAATCATCATTTTATCAAATCGTGTAATTTATGAATAAGTACTACCAACACATACTTTTTACCTACTCCATGGTTAAAACAATGCGATTTTTTTACCATGAATAGTTTCAAATACGGCCGGCAGACTTAGGATATCGTGTGTGTTAGCTTGTGTTAGTTATAATATAATATATAACATAGTGCGGCCATTATTATTAAGCTTAGGTTTCAGAGAATGCGATTTTATTTCTACTAAAGATGGAATATTATCCTTACTTGCGTATATGATAGTGGTCTTAACCGTTCATAATCTTCTTGTCCAGCTGTATCCCATAACGCCATTTCTACGTCCTCTCCATCCACGGTGATGTGGCCGACATAATTGTCAAATCTATGGAATATCAGATCTTGAGTAATGATTTTTGATTTGCCATTGAATTAAAATGCAACCACATAGAGCCACGGTTGCATGTGTGCCTAACACTATTATGTGAGTCACACACATATGACAAGGTTGTTAATACTAATATATAATAATATAAGTATTACACTAATATAATAATATTATCTAACAGGTTTTACGGTATACCACGATTTGTAGTTTTAGTAAGTTCCCGATATTTCGAAGCTGTTGCAAGCGCCGTGATTAAAGGTACACTGACACTAAAACTGTAAATCATTGTAAGAACGCGTTACTTAATAACAATTAGTGTTGATATTCGCGAAAGCTTCAAACAATGTATGAAGTTGCTCTTTAATAAACTAAACTAAGTAATATGAATGTAATTTTATAAAGTTGTGAAATTACATTACAATGTTTTTGATTATTTAATTTTTTTTTATTGTAAAGTTTGATTTGTTACATGTATATATAAACTCTAGAAGTACTATTTAAAATGCTTCGAATTTTAACTCTCCCGCGACGAACTTAATTAATTAAATTTTTGTTCCAAATCGAAGACGGATTAATCTGCGGTCCACTTTTAGTCTTAAAACTTTTATGAATGGCTTTTGGTCACGGAAATACATAATAATATAATATAGATTTACTTTCTTTACAGTAAAATGTATATCTATTACCAGCATCACAGATGCTTAGTATTATTATTTAAGCTGATTAAATTATCCGCATCTATCGGGTTAGGTTTTAATCACCAGTAGGTATTTGAAGTCGTCGTAGCCTAAAGGATAAGACGTCCGTTGCATTCGTATCTAGCGTTGTTCGAACCCCACCGACGGGTACCAATTTTTCTAATGAAATACTTAACAAATGTTCACGATTGACTTCCACGGTGAAGGAATAACATCGTGTAGTAAAAATCAAAACCCGCAAAATTATAATTTGCGTAATTACTGGTGGTAGAACGTCTTGTGAGTCCGCACGGGTAGGTACTACCGCCCTGTCTATTTCTGCCGTGAAGCAATAATGCGTTTCGGTCTGAAGGGTGGGGCAGCCGTTGTAACTATACTTGAGACCTTAGAACTTATATCTCAAGGTGGGTGGCGGCATTTACGCTGTAGATGTCTATGGGCTCCAGTAACCACTTAAAATCAGGTGGGCCGTGAGCGTGTCCACCCATGTAAACATAAAAAAAAGAGAAAAAAAAAGTGAACAAACAAAATAAGTAAGTAGGTAATCAATCTAACGTATCATGTAGATTGATCCCAAGTGTCGTTCTGAAGTGAAATAAGTAATTCATTTACATTATTAATTATTATAGTAACTTAAAATACATAATTTAAACTAAGTTGGTACTTATTTTGCTACTCCTTGTTATTTACACACAATGTTTGTGATGTAATTTAGTTTATATTCAGTCCATTAATGTATTCAGAAAATGAAAATGCGACTCCAGATTATTAATTTAAACATTAACACTTAACTATTAATTTAGTTAGTTTACTTTGGCTAGTTATTTTTCCGTTGTTTCATGTTATGTTACGGTCATTGACTGCATTCGTACGTGTTAGCGCTCGTGACCGAGATGGAAATCGGACTTGTTGTAGGCGTTTGTTTCATAAGGAGGAAGCAGCATGTAGATACAATACAACAATGCCTCGACGTATTTGACTTTACAAATAGTGCAGTTCGCAATTTTAATTAGCTAAGTAAGCACCGATGTACGAAATAATTTGCATCTCTACGCTTGAGTTGTTTTCGTACCTAACAAATTTTACCGACCGGACAATTTATGATATTATTATCACAAAAGAAAATAAAAACGGAAAAAATGATAACGAGAATTTAGAACTATAGATGATTTAGATTATGACTGCTTAAATTTTTATTAATTAATGTATACAATAATCATTCAGAGTTAAAAAATGTAACTGAATGATAAAGTTTTGAAAACCTATACAGGAACTAGCACTAGTGCTGTATGGATGTCTTTTATGTTTAGAACTAGAATGTTAATTAGTAATAGTGCTGTGCTCTTGACCTACATCCATAATTATGTACTTTAAGATGTCCAAGCTATTTGTTCGCGGTATATATCATTTAGTGTATTTTAATAAACACGTTTGGATTAGGCATTTGGATATTCGGTTGATGTTTACCTTCGGTCAATACAGGCAGTGCTTAGTCATTCATAGGTATAATAAGTTAATGTCGTATATTTAGTGACGTAAGACGAATTGATTCATCATAGTTTCCTTCCTAAACTAACGTCAAATTTATACGATAGGTGCTAATGTGTATCATAACAAGTTGTGAATTGTTTCCTCAATATTCAAATCACCAATTACGTTAAAGATTAAATACTTAGAAGAACATTGGAGCAACTAGGTAAATCAAAGGTTTTGATTTCTATGCAGTTTATTAAATGATTTAGGTGTGAGTCAGTAGGTTTATGCTATAAATAAATTATTACCGTTTAACGTAAAGGAAAAATAAAATTGTTGGACGCTTAGTAGGTATAGTAAGCTTTTTGTTGAACCGTAACAAATCCATGATACGGCGATCATAGTCATGTCGTTTGTTGTCACAAAAACGTTCTATCGACCCTCAAGAAGTCGCACCTTTCTCAAGACACCGAAATCATTTAAAATATGTACTTACACCGTGGGCACATATTCTTCAGGAAATTCATTTCTAGTGTATACATATAGCAAGCAGGTCTTGCCAACCATACCATCTCCAACAACAGTTATCTTCAATCTCTTCGTCGTTCCCATGGTGCGTGCCGCGACATCCGATAAACCAATATCACCACAAAATTCACGTTTTAAAACTCTATTGTATAAACACTTGAAAATAATCAAACAGGTGCCACATATGGAAGGTGAACTATACGGTTTCGTCCGTAACTCAGTCCTTGATTGTTCTTATCACGGTGATATAATGATCTTATCAAACTTGGAGGAATATTCGCGATAGCGGGCCGATTTAAAACTAAAACAATGCGCGCGCGCAGCTACGGTCGAGTGCAAAATGAATGTAAAAAAACTAGGCGCGTTGTAGTCGTGCGAGTGCGCGCTGCGCGATGATGATGCTCATGCGTGCGCGGAACCTCCACAACAATTGTAATTAATTCCATGAACGTGTCTCATCCAAACTTTATACCGCAATGAATTAACGTCACATTCCCGACTGCATTGTTGACTGTTAAGGACTACGCACGAGACAATGCTATCTGGAAAAATATCATTAGGTATTATATAGTTCCATAAACCATCCTTGTATCTTTATTATTATTATTATTTTAAAATGCACCTAATCTAAATTCTATATTAATTGTATAATTGTAGAGGTAAGTAGATTTTTTTGGGTTTGGTTGTGCATTTTAGATATTTTCTAGAACTAGTGGAGTGGATTCAGAAAATGCTTCAGTAATAAATAGACAAAACGTCTCTTTTATGAAATGAAAAAGTATCGGTGGCCTCTGATGAGCTGATACGTAAAATCAGTCTTAACATTGTTGAGTTGTTTATAGCGATCTTTAAAATCTGAATATAACGGTGGGTGCTCTCGTTCTTGATAACTCTTTTTATTTCACTTTATTGTAGGGCGAGCTCGCGGCTCATCTGGTCTTAAACGGGAACCGTGGATCGTAAAAACCACAGGAACTCCGTCACATGTTGACATCATGAGACACGAGGAAATCGACGAATCTAACACCATTTATTACGTTTGTGGGGAAATTTGTTTTGAAACACTTGTATTATTTAATATTATTTTATTATATAATAGACTCGTGAAAACCTTAGAAAATATTAATATTATTAAAGTCATGTTTTTTTTAAAAGTACGAATGCTGTATATTTAAGTACATGTCGTGTCCGTGTTTAATCACTATTCATTACTTATTTATCACAGTCTTCGTTAGGCAAGTGCTTACATAATAAACAACAATTGTTAGATATTTACGGAAAGTCTTTAAATTATGGTCATACATTGTTATAATCTATAAAATGTCTCCTGTGTCGGTATATTAACTATTATGCTACAATTCTACGCAGTTAAACAATAGAATAAAAAGCAATAATATTTCAAAACTACAAAAATTCGGATTACAAAAGATATGTGCTCGTTTTAGGAACGCATCAAATTAATTACGAAGGGTTTTTTGTTGACAGAAAAGGGCATGTGTATCCGTCCAGCAATGGAAAACGAAACTTAATGACAGCAACGTGAGCCCGCAATGGGACTTGTGGTTGCATTCAAGTTGCGATGTCTATAACTTTTGATAGCCCCATAACACTATACGAGCCCAGTGTACTTAGTGCGAGTATTTTAACGTTCTCGATAGCGTAAAAGTTAACTCAAATTTGTATGCAGTTGGAGCAGCGCCTCTAGCGGCAAACGTTGCAGACATTCTAAATCCATACAAATTTGAGTTAACTTTTACGCTATCGAGAACGTTAAAGCACTCGCACTAAGCACACAGAGCTCGTTTAAGTAGCTGAGTTAAAAAAATACACGTTTTTCACGGATATCCAACTTTGTCTGCATAGACGAAATTTATATTACTAATATTATAAACCGTTAATGGTTTTAGTACTTTCTTCGATTTTGTTTTAATTCGAGAATTAGGTCAATTGATTTTATAGTTGATTTTTAATTGTAATAATTAAACAGTGTAATGATTTTATTTATGTTCATCATTATTTATATTCATATCATTGAGTCCTTCCAAAAGGAGAGCTTCCTTTAGATTCAAAAGTTCGTGTAATAAATCTTGATTGTTCTTCTCTAATTTAGATATCATTGTGCGATGTTGTTTATCTTTTTCCTTCAAGCGTATTAAAGTACTGTCGCAGGTTTCAGTGCATGGAGGTTCTGAAACAGATAACCATATAAATACTCGAGTATTAAGCACGTGAAAGTTTTTGCGTATGTTACTTAATCACATAAAAATGATAGACCAGATGTGGATGATATATTATTAATATCTAGAGCTAAAGTGGACCGCCTTTTTTTTTCCCTGCCTATGCTGAAAGCCTTGAGAGACTATTTCAGCTTCGCCCTAACATGTAGGTGAGCTCACCGGGCTCAAACCGGAGTGTTTCTAACACTGACTCTAGCAAGAGTAGTTAGTGCTTCGCAGAATCTACCACCGTATCGGAAACGCGACCCACTGAGAAGATCCGGCGAGAAACTCAGTGGGCTGTGTCTATTAACGGTTAATTCGCTCGTCGAGCCCTTCGTCGCAGGGGACGGGTTAGACTAGGATGGTGACCGGTGCTTGTGGTGCCTAAAAGCACCGTTAATGGATAGGGAGGATCCGTAATGACGTGCTTTGGGCGACGTCGACTGTTTACCATTCGGTCTACAGGATCCAGTATGTAGTTTCCAGCGGCCACGACAAGAGGGTTCTCATGTCGTGCCGCCTTCTCGAAATTGCGCAATGATGCCGACTGTAGATACTGTGGCCCGACACATTACCGAAGACAACCCGGGCGTCGTGAGCTCCAGGCGAGGACGAGATGCGTGGTGGTATCTTCTTCAAAAAGTGTGGACACTTCTGTGCCATAACACATTTGAATAAACATACACATAGGTGTATACACACAGAATTGAAATAGTTCAATTCTGTGCCATGTATTTAAGTTGGTCTAGTCATTACGAACCGTCTTATACGACTTCCAGTCTCCCAACTTGCCGTTTCCGAAAAGTCAACAGCAGTGGAGATTCATAAGTATATTTATACACTTCGACAGGTAATACAGAAGACCGGGAACATAACCACCTATTTACTTAGCATTTGTGGATTACGATAAAACCTTTGATTCGATCGAAATCTGTGCTCTATTGCAGTCTCTCTAACGGTGGCTTTTTTTTCCACAGGAGAAAAACGCCGGTACCACACCCGCGCGGCAGGTGGGGTATGTGATATATATATAAAATATATAAGACAATAAAAAAATACCAATGATAGTTGGTAATGAAGTCACTGCTGTCCAACATACGTGAATTTTAGATGCCTTAAGACACTACGGACAAGAGAGCAGGTTGTACTATTCTTTCTTTATAACACATGAACTGAATCCTCTGAACCTCAAACACAAACAAATTACTCCTATAAACCTATAAATGTACTTCCTTACTACATAAGGTAATGGAAAAAGAAAGTTTTTTTTTCACCTCTGTTTCTCAACCTGTCCAACAATTTTTCATTTTGAATCTTAAGTCTAGTTATTTCATTGTGATAATTTCTTTCGTTCGCTTTTTTCTGCTTGGTCACCTGAAGTAGTTTTGCTTTGGTTTCTGTTAATGTTTGTAACATTACATCTGAATGGTCTGCTATTCTTTGAGCAGACACAACACACGCTCTAGTCTCACTCTTTTCGGAGCTTACTTTTTCTTTCAGTTTATCTACAAAGGACTGAAATCATATAATTTTTTTATTATTTCACACTTTATGTATACTATACCATTTTTTTATCAATCCAAAACGGAAGAAACTTTGCTACTTGTTGCTAACTATAAATATTATTCATTGCAAACAGATTTTTACTGAAGAATGCGATTCTGATTGATCAATCTACCTGTAAATGTAGCACTTGTAACAGAGATAAATTATCATGAGTTCTCTATAACTAAAAATTGTAACCCATTAAACAATATAAATAGCTCAGAAAATTTAAAACAATTCAGATATCTAATATTGAGACTGAGACTATAAATTTATTTCTTGACTATGAATATCTTCATATTTTTATCAATTGGTATCAGTATTCAATACATTGTTTTATTTATAGAACATAGTATATATTTGATATATCGAATACATTCTATAACATGGGAATGATAACACAATATACTTACTACAGAAAATTTACAAACCAATCATAAAGATACAACTAACAAGAACGATTCCAACTCACATTCAATTGCTTATTGTTCTGTTCAAGGATATGGTTTTGCTCCATTAACTTTTCTACCTTTTGTACTGCATTCTTATGATAATGTAGCAATGTCCATACAGAATTAATGAGCGTCACTAGAGATCCTGGTAGCAAAATTTCATCTTCGATATCATTGTATGGATTAAATAAATAGCTTATGTTAAAAACACCTAGTTCCTAGAAATTAAGATTTTTCGTTAGGTAATTTTTAAATAATTGCTGGTCTTTGTTAACTGAAAGAAATAAATATTGTTGAATCAAATCATTATCTGTTAATGAAGTCGAAAATCAACATGTTGCGCTGAGAAAAAAAAATCTCTGCGAGCACTTACCTCTCTTAATCCGATTAGACATTCCTTAATATTCCCTATTTTACAAGGTTCGTACACACTGGACCTTTTGTGTTTATAGTTTTCAAGAAGTTCTTTGATTTCATCGTCTAAAGTTTCATAATTACTCGCCATTGTTTAAAGGACGTCGTTTACTCCCCTTGTTAAATACCTACCTTTTCCTTTCTAGATTTTGAAATAAAATATGTAGTTAATACTAAAATAAATCTTTAAAAATATTTATATAAAAACAAGTTTGTTAATACTTTAGTTTCACTTATTTTTTGCCATTAAATTTAATAATACCTACTGTTGATACTAAAATCAAAGCTTTATGATGGCGCCAAAAATGTTTCGTTTTTAAAAATTGTATTCTTCTTTTTTTTCATAATGGCAATCGGCTTTTTTTTCATGTTATTGCCATAGTAATGACTTAATCGGAACGCGTGAACCTTCGCGTAAAGGGACGCGTTGTGTAGTAATAATAATTGGGAACAAATCACAAAATTATCCGGCCCCAACTTAGTACTCCCTGTGTTATGGGTACCAGAGACTGGATCTATATACATGTGTAGATAATAAACAACCAGTCAAAGAGCAAACAAATCTGATCATCGCACAATGTTTGTGCGACGTGGGAATCAAACCCACGACCTTCGGGTAACAGTTAGGTGTCCTAACTACTGCACCATCGATTCTACAAGTTTCTAATGTCTCAATATTATTAAATATTTCATATTTTTACTGATAGGTTAGGTACCTCACTTTATCTCATTTGGCCTAAAGGTTTCATTACCAGGCCACAAAATCCTCAAAACCATAATAATTTAATTTTTTTATTTTTGTCGCGTATCCAATTTTTTTAAGATATGTTCAATCTCGCTTTATTTAGATTTTCGAATGAAGCTGAATGAGCTGTTTCCTTTGCTAGCTGAATTTGACAAATGAGTATAATTTTATATGTCTCAAATATCAAGTGTATAATCTATGTTTAAGGATATGGTTGTGGACTAAAAGCGCTGACGTTTTTGCAATATTTAATAACATTCATCTTTTAGTGCTGAATTCATCTCAAAACTTAGTGGATAGCTGTATTTTGTTGCTAATTATTGAGAAATAAGAACAAGTCTATAAGATGAAGCGCAGTTATGATTCTATGAATTCTTCAATTGAAATAAGTTCCTATCGTGACCAACATTTTAAGGTATTTAGCATGTTGCAAGTTTTGCACTATAAATTGTTTTTTAAAGTATATTAAAGGTAATGTTAACTATTTAGGGATCCAGAAGCGAACAAGAAAAATTACTAAAAGCTTCGTCAACGCTTTACATTGGAAACCTTTCATTTTACACAACAGAAGAGCAAATTTATGAACTGTATTCACGATGCGGCGATATAAGAAGAGTAATAATGGGACTAGACAAATACAAGAAAACACCTTGTGGATTTTGTTTTGTAGAATACTATGCGCGGGAAGATGCCGAAAATTGTATGAGGTACGTATCAGCTTTTTAATAAATTAAGAGTTCCAGAGAGAGCGTTCCCAACGCTTATGCTATTAGTTACCTTTTAGGTATAGCAAAATAGTCACTACTGACGGTTACTAGGGAACGCAATATTTGATCGAGACATTGAGTTAATCTTCTGAACACTACAAAATAACAGTGGAACATCATTAATCCAGTTTTAATTACATTTTCTTAAAATTACAAATCTACTATTTTGATTGTACTTAATACAAATCAAATCCCGTAGTTATTTTCTTTTATAATTTCAGGTATTGTGGTTAAAATAGGCAATAGAAGCCCATTGCATTAAAAAGTTGTGTACATACAGTTAGTATTGTTAAACTGATTAATATAAAAATTTAAGTACTCTAAGTAAAGTCAAGTTACTTTTTGAGGCTTAGAAGTTCTAATGTATTGAAAACTTTCTTACTATTTGAACAAATACATCATGAATATTTTGAAGTACTCTTAGAAAAATGAATAATCTAACAGTTAATGCTAATGCATATAACAATATAAATATAACCATGGTAAATTTGAAATTTACATTATAAGGCTTTTCCATAATTATATGTTCAGTTGGGTTCATTATTTTTAGGCATTATTGCATAGGCAACAGCAAATACTATTAAAAATGCCTTTTGTTTTATGAAAATAGCAATAACATAACTGTAACAATTACAATTTTATAGTTGAATGCTCACAATGGCACACAATCACACATAATTTAAATTATTTTTATTTTTTTGGATAGATGTACCCACACAATCAGATTTAAAATTGTTCTAGCTTTACAATTTGTCAATAAATGTACAGTACTTTTACTATTCAGTAAAAAACCTTTTATTTAAAGATAATAACTCAACTTACCTATTTGTGGTACAAATCTGTGATAATAGACAATAGATAATATATAATAGACAAAAGATAGATAGATATAATAGACATCATAGAATATATAATAGATATAATAGACAATAGATAATAGACAAAATATTTGCCAGATTTGTCTCTTAAAGATATTTAATTCTGTTGCCTATAAATCATCAATGAAAATGGCAGAAAAAGAAGCAAATTACAACTTATGCTACAGAGGGCTTTTAATTGTATTCTTTTACCCAAAGGTATATAAATGGCACGAGGCTGGATGACCGAATAATTCGCTGTGACTGGGATGCTGGATTCATTGAAGGTCGACAGTACGGTCGTGGCAAAACAGGAGGCCAGGTACTTTTTTTAAATTATAGCTCGTGACCTCTATTATCTGTGCTATTATTTTTATGGTTAATTAAACTAATTTGCACTCACAATACAAACTCGAAGCCATTCATTTCAATGTACATGTTCATGTTACATACTTATTCAATAATCAACCATTCATCTGTCTGTTGAGTTTCTTGCTGAACTTTTTCAGCGATTTGCGGTTCTGATCCAGTAGCAGATGCATTCGCGAAGCAGCTGCCTTTGAGCAGTTATGTCTCCATCGAAGGCAATCAGGCAGCTGTTAGCAAATCCACCCCTATACCTAAGTCTACCACCCTATATACCTAAAACTATCATTGGTTGTCAAAGGGCCCAGAAAGAACCAACGTAACAATGTTTGGGTGCCAAGATTGACTTTCAGTGTTTTTGTGGCTTTACAACTAGACTTCTACAATACATTGAATTAAAGGTTTTATGCAGAAAACCATATTTTGAAGTTTTTTTTTTTTTTTCTTTAACATCACACCACGTTAACTGGTCCCGTGATAAGTTCGTAAAGAACTTGTGTTACAGATAACGTTTTCAGGTTTCCAGATAACGGAAATAAATATAAGATTTTTATTATACACATACACATAATTAATATACATCCATAACCCTGGAAAAGACATTTATATTTATCATCATTTCCTTTGGCGCGATTCGAACCCGCGACCCCCTTGTGTAGTGACCATGTCACTTACCACTACACCAGACGGCCGTTTAATTATTGATTTTCTAATTTATTGCTCGAAACACAGTACAAACATTAATTGTAGTATTTTATTCTATCTAATTTTATTATGCCCTTAGTCTTTGTAGCCAGAATTTTCCCAGTGATAGAAAAGATAGAAAGATAAGAATTTCTAGTTTATTCATGTCTAGTTTATTGATGCCATTCACATTATGTGGTCTATGGGCTGATCACTAAATACCCTGAGCTGTGGCCTACCTGGTTGTGATGGCAGATTAGCTAGCAACCTCCTCTCGTCTTTGTCACAGGTTGTCCCATTTTTAGAACACCTTTCCTCTTGATAGTCACACATTTTTCAATTTTATGCATGTCACCATCATCATTCTTTCCTATTACCCCCTGCTGCGGGGGTGTAGGGCTCGAATCAAATCGGTCAATCGGTCAAATTTACATCGGTCTTGGGCAGTCTGTTCTAGCTCCTCCCACGTGATGCCCAAGACACCTAGCTTCGGCTCCACCGAGCGACGCTAAGCTTTATGCATGTACTTAAAAATAATCTAAAGAATGACTCATTTTTTTCATATTTTTATAATAATCTTTAAGAAAATCACTCCCGAAGAGCACTCGCCGACGATTTAAGATACCATTCAGAACTCGTGAATTTTATTGTCTCACTTGAAAAGAAATTTACAATAAAACCTGTGATGTCACAAGCTTTTGACCCTGCCACTGTTCTTTGTCACACAATGTCATGGATGACTCCGTACCCATGAGCATGTCCAAAGCCAGAAGAATAATGATGTTGCTGCTTATCTTGAGATTTCAATAAGAAAGATCTTAAAATGAGGATTAAGGAAAATTGTGCAGTGAGACAGAGCAGAACATGCAGGTCCTAAAGTAACCTTGAATTTCACTAGTTCATCAAAGCACTTTATGTATAACACGGAGAGGGTCTCAAAGTTCTAAATTATGCCTTGGAGCTCCCAAGACATCAGGATCCCCAATCACTATCAATATATTACCACTAGATAACGCCTCACAAACAAAAACCAAACACAAATATGGCATCGACTAACTAATCTGACTATACCATAAAGTGGAGAAAAACGATGTAAAGGTATAATAATTGTAACCTAAACTATGCCTTTTCTCAAAGAAATAAAGTGCAGTTTAGACTGTTTTAACATTCACTTACGACCTTACGCCATGAATGACAGAGAGAGATAGTTTTTCCAATAACTTTTGTTCCCAATTTAACCTTATTTCCTTAAAAATAAAGCAAAAATTTACGCGCATAGCATTTTACTTACGCCATTTTAAACTTACGACATTAAGACTTTACTGCTCCGAACAGAGTATTACGGAGTCGCGCTTTGTACTTTTTTGTAAGAATATTTTGAGTAATTTATTTTTTATTGTTTTTTTTTAATTCATATTCATTGAATTTTTTCAATTTAATTCCTTATGATTAACAACAAATATTGTATAACTATAGATCATTATACCTGAGTTAACTAAATATAGTTAACTCAGGTATAATGATCTGGTACAATAGTACCTTGCACATCGGTGGGGAAAATGGATAAGAGCTTTTTAAATCACAACAACATAATCCCCATCAAATTGTTTTATTTATTAAATACATGTCAGATTCGGTAAAATGGTCTGGACAAACCACACTGGAGCAATTAGGTTTGAAATAATCGTCGCTTCTTTTTTCTTTTATTACTGACCGCCACTTCTCTCTTTGTACATTACTTTGAGGAAATCTGTAAAAATGTAAAAACAAATTCCAGTTTACAGATTTCACTTCGCCGTCCGTTGTAGAGACGTCTGTTGCATCCGTATCTAGCGATGCACCGGTGTTCAAATCCCGCAGGCGGGTACCAATTTTTCTAATGAAATACGTACTTAACAAATGTTCACAATTGACTTCCACGGTGAAGGAATAACATCCTGTAATAAAAATCAAACCCGCAAAATAATTTGCGTAATTACTGGTTGTAGGATCTCTTGTGAGTCCGCACGAGTAGGTACCACCACCCCACCTATTTCTGCCGTGAAGCAGTAATGCGTTTCGGTTTGAAGGGCGGGGCAGCCGTTGTAACTATACTTGAGACCTTAGAAGTTATATCTCAAGGTGGGTGGCGCAAATGCGTAAATGGCAGCGTAAATACGCTGTAGATGTCTATGGGCTCCAGTGTAACTACTTAACACCAGGTGGGCTGTGAGCTCGTCCACCTATCTAAGCAATAAAAAATAAGAAAATTAATAAATTAGGTGACTCCACTACACTTGTTCTGAAATAGCCCTATTTCATCCTTGTCTCGCATGTAAACGTTATTATATGTGCGAAAGAAATAACTGCGAAGTCAAATAATAAGATTTAATTTCTTGAAGTGCTAATTTGGCAAGGAAAACTGATTTATTTCAAATGTTTATCACTATCTAATAGTAAAAATTATAAAACTTACCAAAAATACAAAATTTCATGTTGTTTTCTCTTTGTAAGCGTGTTTTTTACAACTTTTTACAGCGCATTTTAGCATCGTTCCATTCGACGGTCGGCGTGACACTGACGGCAAAACAGTGCTTAATATGAATCTAAGCACTGTTTTGATAAGTTACTTTTGACGCCTTTACGCGGGATCTAGTGGTAATATATCGATGCCAATCACCGTAATCTTTGTAAAAAACAATCAAATCAACAATTTTTAATAATCTCATCTGTATCATCATCATCATCATCAGCGTCCAGATAGATGTCTACTGGTTTGCCACAATGACCACTTACAATGATACGGTTTTATTTTAGTCGTCTATTATCAAAGCCGGCAATCTGACTTTTGAACAATATTGGTAAATCAGAAAAACGAATTATTGACTTTGTATTCCATTGGCAGTCACAAAACTCTTCGGAACGACATCTTAGATAAATAACAGGTTAACTATTAACCTTTATTTAATGCAGGTTTTGAACCGTATTCTTTGAAGGAGACGATTATATTCAAATCAATCTGTATTGACATATCAATAACATTTTTTTGTCCAAATACACAGATTGCCACCTTTGATAATAGACGACTCACTTATAGTATATGTATAATGTACTGAAATATAGTATAGTTAGTTCAAAAAGTAAATAATACCCAAATTAGACTGCATCCGAAACTATAGTATTATTTTACAAAAAGATGTAGTATTCCCATTACCTATTTGTAGTCATAAAAATATGTTAAGTATTCTAATTTTCAATTTCAACCTTTTTTGTTACAGGTTAGAGATGAATATCGAACTGACTATGACGGTGGGCGTGGCGGTTATGGAAAAATAATAGCACAGAAAATAAACCCAAATACCCTAGAACGTTAATAATGTGTTGCAATTAATATGGATTATAAATTTTACAAGGCTGTTTAATATGAAATCATAATGGATTCATGTTTGTCTAATTTAGATAATAAAGATCTTTATAATATTTTTATTTTCTTATTCAGGCTTGAGGTCTTCTAATTTAATATATAGATTCATAGATTTAATCATAGATTCATATCATAGATCAATCATAGATTTAATATTTAGATAAATAATCTAAGATTTGCCTATCTTATGGTGATATATAAGGTGATGATACCACAGCTGATTTCAGTAGTTTAACATGTTTAAAGAAACTAGTAATGTGACTATCACACCACATTCAAACAAGAGGTGAATGTGTCCATTGCATTGATTAAGGGATTCAGTTGGAATTCTAACTTTAAAAATGTTATGTAGGACGGATTAAATTCAAATATAGATTGGACGGTTATACCACCGCCCCGCCTATTTCTGCCGTGAAGCAGTAATGCGTTTCGGTTCGAAGGGTGGGGCAGCCGTTGTGACTATACTGAGACCTTAGAACTATATCTCAAGGTGTGTGGCGCATTTACGTTGTAGATGTCTACGGGCTCCAGTAACCACTTAACATCAGGTGGGCTGTGAGCGCGTCTACACATCTAAGCAATAAAAAAATAAAATAAAAAAACTACCAATCTATTTAGATGCATGGCGACGTACTAACAACACCAGTAGTTTCCTTATTTCCATCAAGTAAATTTTTAATTCTATTGAAAGGAATAATTAATTAATATGAGTCAACTGTAAGAGAGAGATAGAAAGGCAGAGAAGTCAATATATCCTAATACATGTCTCACTCAGTCTCATGCGCATGGATAATGCTCTCGCGCTCTTACCTACAGAGGTATTAAAATTGAATTTAGGGGATGATTAGCTCCTTGGATCGGTCTGTCTTTCCGAAGAGGTTTTAAAGTTGGACATATATAAAAATAGAGCATCAGAATTTACGTGAAGTTACGTAATTATTTTGAGAGCTTTAAAGCGTCTGCAAAGCAATTCGGCCGACGGAAAGTTTCTGGAAGTATTGACGATTTATTTTTAAGAATATTGCCTAAAATATACGTAAAAATCAGCTTTGAGAATTTACGTGAGGTATATAAATACCTGATATCTGAAAATTGGCCGTCTAAGGAAGCTAGCAGGTAAGCATGCGTTTTTAGTACATACTAACACTACGCAATCGGCCACATTTCGTTCGTCAGAAAATACGTGACGTCTGGTGGCCCTGGGATCTTGGACTATAAAATGACATAATATGTAACATTTCAGAAACATATTTAAAGTAAAAACATTTTTTTAACAGATACTCTTTATTAAAGTAAACATTTAAAGCGTATAAAGTATATAGCAAAAAATAAATGCATAAGAAATAATAATGCTCATACAACTAGTATTTTCATCAGCTTTTTTGCTTATTTTACTTTTATGTTGATTAAATAAAAAAAGTGCATTTACCACATTTACTAAATTTTTAACAAATCTTAAACATTTTAATGCTTTAACAATGACAAAATACGTAATAGTAACACAGAAAATAAAATTCTACAAATTCATTATATGAAGTTTGAATTCGGAAACACATAAAATTTATCATAATTAGTTATTTTTGTGGTTTTATTAAATTTCATAATTTTTTTCAGTTTTAACAGTAAATGGATTCTGGGTTGGTTGTGACAATTATCATAATATTACGTGATTGTAATCATTATGCTTCCATTACTTGAATTTTAAAAAGCTTTATAAGCTTGCAGGCTAGTTAGATATGGCAAAGCATGTTTTATAATTATTATTATAAACTTACGATTGGGCCATAAGCCCACAATTTTTTTTTTACATCGCATAATGACCCAATTTTCGTTCTTTTATTAGCGTTTGAGAGTTTTATGAGTGAATCGTTTAAAGCCATTAAAGTTATAACATATTCAGATCAATATATAGAAACTGATTTGCACGTCAGATCCCAGTTGAAGTTACAATAGTACTTATTACATTATATTCGTGTAGTGTTATTAATATTTAATAGATTCATAAGTACATCAAACATCGAAATTGCATCTCTTAGTCTCTAGGGGATGTTTCAGGCATAAGATCGAACCACAGGGTTTTAGCTTCACGGAAATCGTACTGATTTAGATGGACTACAACCTGAAACAATTGAATGCATTTAGATACTGAGAAAATAAATAAATTTATTTAAATTAATATATAAATAAAATTTAAATTAATAAATAAACAAATTTATTTTTCATTATAAATAACCACGTTGATGATAAAATAAGTAAGAATTATTTACCTGTCCAATGACCGGACTGCCAGCCAGGAATCCCTTGTGGGTGGCAACAGTGACTTCGACTTGCCTGGAGTGAAGCTCAGCTAATGGAATCACCCATTCGAATTGTTCGTCATATTCCGGCATACAGCTGTCTTTTACCACCTGAATTAAGAGCACAATGGTATATATAACAGTACATGTCGTAAAATGAATAAATAGATTTGAGTTTTCTAAAGTAAATATAAACATTCATTAACCTAAAGCTAAAATTTATTGGTGCGCTTGAGACAATCTTTGAAAGTACTGAATAGCATAAAGTAATGTATTCAGTTCTTGTGGCCTCCTCCGTGCATCGTATTCCTCAGTTCTGAGGGTCGTGACCTTTACTGAGCACTTTTGTTAAGACTATGTTCCTCCATTCACTTATTAGAGCTCATTCATACGTAAAGGTTTTCTTGGGAAAATTACTAGTGGTGGGTTCCCGCGTCCTTCCACAGCAGAATTTTAACACTCAAAAATAAAAATGATGATTAACAATATAAAATATTAATTTCATTAGTGTAATCATATGTTCCTTTAACTCACCACTGTCTTGCGTTTTGAATCTTTAGTTCTACCCGGCAGTAGATACAATTTAACGTACGGATCGGGCACATTTGTAGGATCTTTCAGCGGAATATTCCTAAAATATAAAAATGTCAATTAGTGGGCGATATAGTTTTTCTTTATTATATTTACGAGTGTATTTACATAATCGTCTTAACGTTCTAAATATTAAATTAAAAGAGCTGTTAAAAGTGAGACCTTACAAACTCATGTCTCAAGATGGATGGCGGCATTTACGTTGTAGATGTGTCTAAGGGCTCCGATAATGAATAATACCATATTATATGTATATAATTAAAAAATTGCGAGTCCTCGATATACTATATTCTTAACATATTTTGTCCACACAATTATTCTTTTTCTGAATAGGAACCCATAACAGCATTACAATCTAAAAAAAATCTCTAAAATTCCAAAATTTTGTTCTTCAATCTAAAAAAATCACATTGCCGAAAAAATTCTAGGCACTGCCATTAGTTTTTTCAATAAAATGTTCGGTACTCGACAACTACTGATGTACAAAGCTGACTTTCTTGCCTGGCTCGTCATGAGAGTACCTTTCCCTCGAGGCCAGGTTATCGTTACCCTCTAGAAAAAATCGGTGTTAGGTTTGTGTAATATAATATATATTTAGGAAATACACATAGAAAACAAAATCAAGTTGCTTACATTGTATTTAGACTTGGCTTAGCACACATGTATATCCTGACACTCTGCTTCAGTTAAACAAGTGGAATCAACTTAATAACTGATAATACACTATGTTGTAAAGTATGATAGTACAGTAATCATATTTAAAAAAAGATACTCACATTATCTTGTGAACAACAATATATAATGTTTGATTCTGCATACTATAGCGCAGAGAGAGTAATATGCGGCCCAGACCGGCTTCCCCAGCGGAACTGCAAGGGAATATATTGTTGAAATTTCGATCTAGGCGTACAGTGGGATTTTGTTAAATATTAAAATTAAATTCATACTTTGCAAATTACGAAACTGATATTACTGAGAGAAAATGTGTAAAACATAATATATTGTGAATAATATTGAATACACAAAAAAAAAATCGTCCATAATATTAATCCAAAAATATTAGGTTATGAGGAATGATATGTAACGTTACTAGCTAAGTTGATAACTGGAATAGATATCGAAAATTTACAAAATACTAACGTAGTTAATGACGAAGTCCTGTGGATGAGTTTTGGAGAGTCGCGTCCAGATGGAGGTTGGTTCTCTTGAGGAGAATCTGTAAAAAAGTATAAAATAGCGCTGTCAGCTACTGTAGCATTACTTAATGTATAATTTTAGACTTTTATTAATAACTTTTCACTGGACCTTAAGTATTTCTGAAGCCTTTGATAGGTTAACATATACTACATATTATATGAATTTTAAATAGTATTAGAATTTTAGCACTGTATAATAAACCGTTTCCAAGGTAAAAAGAATCAGTTAAAACGTTAGCATATACGAAAAACGAAGAATATTTATTTAATAAGCGCTAATCAGCTAAAGAAAAGTTTCATATTTCTTAAACCCGCAATGAAGGCAAAGGCGATATCATTTTTTTGACCGACAGAAGCGACACCCTTCCTGTATCAGGTTGTCATCACCGCCGGAATCACGTAGGCCAGTGGTCAGGGAACTTTTTTAATTATTACTCCAAAATATTTTTGTGTAAGTTGGTATTACCCCATTTCGAAGAACAAAAAAAAACGACATCACTTCTTTTTAGCATCTTTCATGTTATAGCCCTTGATAATTTTGAAAAAAAAAAAAAAAAAAAATTTTTTTTCGTTTTGTTTCATTTCGTTTCGTTTCATCGCGTTTGAAATCACAACGATTCTAAAGAAGTTTCACTTAAATATATACTTTTTACTCACAAAAGTTTCATTTTTACCCCCCAAAATTTCATTTTATCCCATTTGGGGCAATTTACCCCGGTTCCCAGACCGCTGACGTAAGCTCATCTATGTAAAGGAATCTATCAACGCAATTTTCACCAACTTCAAACACACGTATGAAAGACCAATGATAATGCAATAATATTAGTATGTACTCCACAGAAATAAATCAAGATATTATTTCTGTGATGTACTCAGATGAGTAGGCTCGGTTAAGAAATTAGGTCCAGGCCAGGATCATCATGACCATGAATATTTTAAGTTTTGATATTAAAGTGTATCTTTGAAGGTATATTAATATATATTTTTTGAGCATAATGAGATTTATATCTATATATTTTAAGTAATATTATTAGATCCTAAGATATGTAGGTCCATTCATTCCATCAATAGCTAATTGATATCTTGATTCATATTATGACTCACCGACTTCTTTATCAATTATTTCCTCTGGCACGGATCTCTGCGAGGCGTCGTCTTGTACAGAATCTTCAATATTCTTTAATTCAGTATCACCTGATGAAGCTATAAAACGAAACGTCATTACATAAAACAACTAATCAGTGGAGGTAAAAACTGTTCTAATAACCAGGTTGGTCTACTATACAATATATAAAAAATTATTTTCTCATAGATGATGCAAGCTCTAAATATATACTATATGTTTTACGACGGCACCGTATTTTTTTTAATTATTTGTTTTATTACAAAATTTAATCTATAAAAAATTAGATTTTTTGTTACATTTAAAATCATTATTTATATTTTTTACCATCTATTTTCTTACATTACATAAATCACTATCGAGTACTATCGTATAATAAGTTATAAAACGTCTTATTTTAAGTCTGCATTATTAGTGTAAAATGTAAATCAGTTCATTTTATGTGAAGTGACTAGTTGTAACTATACTCAGACCTTAGAACTCATATCTCAAGGTGGGTAGCGGTATTTTCGTTGTAGATGTCTATGGGCTCCTGTAACCACTTAACACCAGGTGGGCTGTGAGCACGTCCACACAACTAAGCAAAAAAAAAAAAAGGGATGGTCTACCAAGGTATAAATAACAATGTTGTTTTTGGTTATAGGAAATCCTAATTAATGAGCCCACTGAGTTTCTCGCCGGATCTTCTCAGTGGGTCGCGTTTCCGATCCGGTGGTAGATTCTGCGAAGCACGGCTCTTGCTAGGGTTCGTGTTAGCAACGTCGTCAGGTTTGAGCCCCGTGAACTAGTTAAGGCGACGCTGATATAGCCTCTCAAGGCTATCAGCTTAGGTAGAAAAAAAAAACTGATAATTTTATGGAAGTAAAGTAAATAGTACCAGGTTGTGCAGGCAGCGGGTCGGCGGGCGCGGCGGACTGCGGGCGCGGGTGCGAGGCGCCGCCGTCCGTGGTGTCGGTGGCCGCCGACGACACGGAGGGGCTCGGGGTGGGGGGGCTCGGCTCCGAGACCGCCGCTTCCAAACTCTCTTCGTCAATATCGACCTCTTTTATGGCTTCTTTGAGAATCTGAGGGAGAATTTTTTACGTAGTCAACTGCTGATATGTAATAACAATTGAAGTCTAGTTTCGATGGAAATCTGATTTGTAAATATTAATTGGTACAACCAAATCATTTCGCCATCAACAAGCATAATCAAACCTGACTTATATAATGCTAGATTTTTATATGTTACAATTTCACTTCCCTTGCAAGTCAGCAGTGTTTTATTTTAATGTGTGGAATAAAATACATACCCTCAATTGTAAGGACAGTATGATTTTGGACTCGGGCCCAGATTTCTGCAACATCAGCGGCTGAGTCAGCATCGTCAGATCTTTTTCTTTAAGCAAAGCGGAGATGCTATAGAACAATTGACCGAGTTGGCTTCCAGTTTTCTGGTCGAGAACCTGGAAAAGCAAAATTTGTTATTAAATAATCAATAAAAAATCACGAGTTCTTAGATTTATTAGAATGTAGTGAAGTCTGGTCATGTCTGACCATGGACATTACATTCATTTCTTGTATTTACATGCGCACTAATGGTTGCACATGAAATGAATCTTCTAAATTGCCAACAACAACTGTACCAAATGTTATTACAATAGGGTGAGTAATTTAAGAACGCAAACAGGAGAAATATGTTTCTTTGTATATTTAAAGAAGTTTATATTTTTTTTCAATAAAATAGTTCTACGAAGGTGGTTGGCGCGAGCAAAACTCGTGGAAATTAAACATGAAAAGCTAGCAAGTAGTCACTTTCAGAGTATAAATGCTTCAAACTTTTGCATTTATAACTTAAAACTGTCAGCGACCAGACGGTCAGTCACACGTTCTACAGGGCCTATCTTAAAGGTGATGTATTTTTGGCAGGTTCACGTTATGCTCCGATGGATGCCGCTACAAAATCAATTACATCCGGAACCCATGACATGGTCCCTGACCACTAAGCACATAATTTATTTTCTTTTTCTTGTACATACCTTGACGTCAAGCGTGTCGATTTCAGGGTTCTGGACGAGGAAAGAATATCCGATCTCATACACGGGATCGTCGGTTCGCAGTTGCACGGCGGTGTTTTCGGTTTTTTTGCCAACCGTCACCATCAGGTAAGGATCCGGACGGGATTGCACACGGGCGTTCTAAAATTAAACAACACATGATTAACACTAACGGAAAATTAAATAAGTTAATAATTTATTTTATTATTCTTGTCTATCTTTTGTTATCTTTTTTTGGGGAGAAGATAAGAAACAACTAGATCTAAACAGTGAATAAAATATTTTTGGGATAATCTAAGAACTGCCTTATAAATTTTATGAAGTATTATTTTTCGGTTCACAACTTACCGGCAGCTTCTTACACGAGTCTATGTAAACAGAGAGTACTGCTGAGCTCAAATCTCCCGTCTTGATAAGGAGAGTTTCTGTCAGTGCCTAAAATAATGATAAAGCATTAATATTATTATTTATATGAACTAATGATATTTATTATCAAGAATATAGATCATTATTGAAAACTTACTCGACTTAATTCAGTCACATCCGTGGATAAACGATGCCAAGATAATCTCAGTTGGACTTTACCGTGCTTCGCTTGTTGCAAGGTCTGCCACTGTGAGTACACAAAGTAAATTGAATTAGAATCGCGACTATAGATTTATTTGAGAGTCTGTTTTAGAAGTTTATCTATAATTTGAAGGTAAATAAAAATATTTTTTTAAATATAGCTCTAGAATAAAAATATCCTATTTTTCGTTACAACAACCTCATTCTCTATACACTTACAGTGTCCAAGCGGCCAAATCGAACAACTTGAGATATGTCCAATGAACACCTGTAAATAATAAACGATATAAATTTTCTTATTTGGCTGTATTAGGTCGGTTAGTTTGTATTGTGCTTATGAATGTGTTATTATGTTCGCCAAATATCGAATACATTTTATGACGATGTAATCTTAGCTGCGCCGTTTTTTTTTTTTCTAATTCAAAAGCCAAAAGCTCGATTACTGTGTAATCTATGTGTTAGTGTTAGTATTTTAGTTACCGTTTGAATTTTATTAATGTCTGAATTTTAGAAGGCAAAAAAACATTAACCTCATTACTTTTTTTCGTGTGAGTCGAGTGAAATGAAGCATGCTGCCTCCGACAGAACAAGAAGGTGGACTATTGTAATATATATGGCTCTACTCCAAAGAATATATTTTAAAAGATTTAAAAAAAATGTAAAAATGAAAATTTGAGATATATGTTGCCGATGCTAAGTCATCTTCTTCATAAAATTAATTGAAAAACCGAGTTATGTATCAGGTAGAACGCGTTATGAAAATTCCTGTCGCCATGAAGAGGAAATTAAAATTATAACTAAAGCAATTGTTTCAATAAAACTGCAATTAAAAATGTTCGCCAATGACATGTTTGTTTGCCCATAAATATCTCTAGGCTGGACAATCCTGTTCTAGCTGTATGGGAAACAATCATCATCATCATCAGCCCGCGGCAGTCCACTGCTGGACATAGGCCTCCCCCAAAGCTCACCACTGAACCCGATCTTCGGTTCTACGCATTCAATCATTGCCAGCTACCGTGCCCAGGTCGTCGCTCTATCTAGCAGGAGGGCGTCCTGCACTACGTTTGCCGGTTCACGCTCTCCACTCCAGAACACGTCTACCCCAACGGTTATCGGTTCTGCGACATATGTGACCAGCCCACTGCCACTTCAGCTTACTGACTGCGAGCTATATCAATCACCGTGGTTTTCGCCCGAATGACTTCATTACGTATTCGGTCTCCCAATGACAAACGAAACATAACTCGTGGAAAGAAGTGCCAATGGGAAACAAGAGTACCAAGAATTGTTTAAAATGTATAACACATATGATATTATATACAAAAATTCCGTTTCTCTCTCCTTCTTAGACTTACCAGAAGAAATCTGGAAAGGACTAATGCAATATAGACTGAAAATACAGGTATTGTAATTGCCAATTTACACAACCCTACAAGTTTCCTTATTCTTAAAAAATATCAAGACATGTCAACAATATGGATTTTACGTGTAAAATGTTTGAGGTAACAAGAAAATACATCTGTATGGATAGAACTGAAATTGCATTACATCTTAACCCTCCCACTCCCGCCTGACTTGCCAATAAGGTTTATTTTTCGAGGATCGATGTCAAACAGAGGGCGCTATCGGTCGTGAAGTATGAGCCAAATTAAACTACAACACCGTAACGCATTATTCCGGTCGTATTTAGTGTGGTAAGGGCTAGATGATTTTATGAGTTTATACTAAGTGAGTTATTATTTTCAAGAGCATCAAGACAAAATAAAGGATATGAACGAATATAGAATAGAACTTTCGAGTGGCTTTAGTGTTAACACAAAGCGGAGAGTGACGATCTTAAGCTACAGTGCTGCGGTGGACATTCCATGTACGACTTGCAACGATCACAGTACTATTAGTATACAGTGGTATATACAACAGCTGTTGGTAGTGCTGTATGGTCGACGACCGACCTGCCCAGATTTTCGTCTCTCCCAGCTCTGTCCCAGTCGTATATCTTGATTACAGCGACGGTAGTGCTGCGTCGAAGTACTGACTGTCACAACCCACCATATTACACACACATACACACACATTGTTATAACCATACGACACATAGACAAAAGTTAATGCGTTATTATCATGTTTTAGTTCAGTGTATTTACATAATTGTGTATTCTTTGTTAAAAATATTATTTATACCCTTTTGATATGTGTTAGTGTATTTATATACTGCGTCGTAGATATTATATTTATAACAGCACTAACAATAGTAAAAAATTTGAAAAGGCGCGATACCGTAATTAAACATTTGAATAAACCAGCAATATCACTCACGGAAATATGGTACAAAACCCATTCAACATTCATGTTAAACCAAAGAAATATAAAAAAAAAAAAACGTGATTCTTATCATCAAGTAAGTTTGAAAAGCAATTTGATAAATGCGATAAATTTATCTAAACCAGTGATAATAAGAACCAAAACAATGAAACCACTGAAAAATAAACAAAAGTACGCTGGATGTCGCTAGTGCGAGGAAGCACATTTAGCGGCTGAGACGGACCTGCCGAGGTAATCATCGTTCTGAATGCCCATCCCAGGGTCCCAGTCCCACAGCTCACACTGCAGCGATTGACTCTTCTTTGAACTTATTATCGCCTTAGGACAAACATCACAATTTCAAAACATTAGTTACCTTGCCACTATCCGTTTTAGGGGTGTGATCGTTTATTTGTGCAGTTTTAGAAATAATAAAACCCCACTTACGCCAATTTATATCTTTTCTGTTACAAATATCTCAACAATATTACTATATATAATATTATTGATCCATAAATAAAGAAGATTGAAAAAGAAAGAAATGTATAGTTATTATTGGTTAAGACTAGGAATTATAATAATACAGATTAAAAACGTAACTTACCTTCATTTGTAGCTTAATTACAAACACATCTACATTATGATAAACAAAGCAAATGAGACGAAATCAGAGATGAACACGGCTAGAGATGTTGAACATGCATATATAAATAAAATCTAATTCTATACTCCAATTTCGTCCGAGTCATTACCGCTATGCTAGTGATGGGTTAAGTCATCGAATTACAACGTATTTTTTATTATTGAAGGATTACTGGTGGCCCGGAGGCCTTTCCAGTTTACCAGGTCAGGTGGGCGAACAAAGGATCAGCCAGGAGAGGTGGAATTTGCTAACAGCTGCCCGAGCGCCTCCGAAGAAGACTTAACAACTCAAGAGCAGCTGCTTCGCGAATGAATCTAGTACCGGATCGGAATCGCGACCCGCTGAGAAGATCCGGCGAGAAACTCAGCGGGTTGATCGACGGTAGTGTTAGAGCACGCGACGTACATTGTAATTCTCAGACGTGCGCCCTTAAACCAGAGTGCGTCTGTAGCAGCGAGGCATGCGCAAAGCGTTCGTACCGTCCGCGTCGTCGGCGCGTCCGCGGCCCCCCACCGTCCCTACACTCCGCGACCGGTCCACTTACTTGCCGAGCTTGTCGTCGTCGTTGCCTTCGTCCTTGTCGAACACCTCTATATCCAACATCTGACCGAGGGATTGCATTATACGCGCCTTTGTGTGAAACGCGCACGATCCGAGGTTCACATACGTAAGGAAAACAAAATCTTATTTACATCTACGTACTTACTAAAGTCCCTTGTTGGCGTTTAACATGAAACGGACGGGACCAAAAAAAGCATGCTCATTTCAAATAAAATCAAGCCAAATCTTTGTTAAATGTAGGTATATTGTAAAACGCTGTATTAAAATATTATATACACATAAGTAGCTCGTACCTATGTGATAAATTTAGAATTTAGTTTCTTGGCCAGTCACATTCATAATGATTTGCAGACTTAAAACGAACCAATCATGACAGCATAGAGTTTTTTATTTTGATAATTGACAATGAACGTGAAAACTGAAGAACAACTTCCAACAAAAATATTCACATTAACTTTAAACTTTTTAATATAAACTTATTTCGAGTTGAAACTTAATTTTGTTAAAAGAAAACATGCTCATACTGCTTATATAATCAATAATATGAAATAAGCGCAAAAAACGTTTTTCGTCTTCAAATCATGGAGACACGTTATGAGGCGTCCACGCTTATTCAAGCTTAGCGTCAAACTTATTTCCAATAAGCTTGAAGTTGTACGTGGTATGAACGAATTGATTGCAACCGAAATGGCGAACATGCTATGTGGAACAACATGCTGATAATTGGAACTCATACTTGTGTCTTCAAATGCAGTTTCGTTGTTGAGTATGGTATATTTTAAAAGAGGATCTCATTCCAATCCAACTTTTCGTACGAACGACATACAACTTTACAAATTAACAAATACTTTATAATTAAAACAAATTCAACTCACCAATTATATCCCAAAACAAACTACTCGTAATCAAATTTAATGAAACCAAAAAATTAGGTGCGCTGTATCAAGCCAAGTGTAAGATAATTAACGAACTAAAAGCTTAATTAAAAAAAAAAGTCTGATCGACAAATATTATTAGGCAAAGGATTCCTTAACTACGATCAATAAGCCTATTTTTAAAACTAAATACCAATTAAGTTAGTAGTTACATAAACGATACGTTTTCTTCGAGATAGTTTTAAATCAGACGGCACGGACTTACAGCATTACAATATGAGAGTTCATTCAACTCTTCGTCATCAACTGTTGTTGAATATTAAGTGTCAGTGCAATGTAATCTAAACAAAATTGTAATGTCATCCTCACCTCACACCAGAAGTCCCATCGCGGGTTCACGTTGTTATCAATGTGCTTCGTTTTCCATTGCTGGGCGCCCACAGTTATAACTGCATACGGATCTGACTTGCCTTTTCCTGTAAACAAAACAAAATTTCGGCACTTCGATAAAATGGCACGACACGAGAACCCTCTCATCGTGGCCGCCGGTAACTATATTCCCGATCCTGCGGACAGAATGGAAAGCAGTCGACGTCGCCCCAAACATGTCATTTCGGATCCTCCCGATCCACTAACGGTGCTTTTAGGTACCTCAAGCACCGGTCGTCGTTCTCGTCGAACCCGTCGCTTGCGACGAGGGGCTCGACGAGTAAATTAACCCTTAGACACAGTCCACTGAATTTCTCGCCGGATCTTCTCAGTGGGTCGCGTTTCCGATCCGGTGGTGGATTCTGCGAAGCACGGCTCTTGCTAGGGTTCGTGTTAGCAACGTCGTCAGGTTTGAGCCCCGTGAGCTCACCTACTAGTTAAGGTTACGCTGATATAGCCTCTCAAGGCTCTCAGCTTAGGTAGGAAAAAAAAAATTCGTAGTTTATTTAATACGTTCTAAAACTAACACGTATATATGTTTTGTTTTATTGCTGAACGTAGGTAGATAAATCCACTTTGAAAACCTCCTTCTTCAGAATCGGTATCATCATTTCTGAACGTTACGTCTAGTTTGAAGACTGTTCTCAGACTACTCGTTGTAAAATTGTTCTCCGCGCGTCTCCAACTTCGGCAGCTTTTCTGTATATTCTAGGTCTATTTATGTATTTAGACAGTTATTATGGGATTTTATTGAGTGCATTTGACCCTTACCTAGCATAGAAACATCTTTCTTCATGAGATTCTGAGCTTGAACCAAATGTATGCGAAGTACACCCTGGAAACATTAAATGGATTTATTTTACTTTCGAAGATAAATGAGCATACGGTCCCTGGGCGATGAGTATTCACCGACGCTCATATGAACTTTTCAGTATTGCCAGGGACACACCCAGGACTATCGCACTGTTGCTCTTAAGCCTCGTTTGAACGATAAACTGAAGAACGAATTTACACCGAATGTCTCTAGTCACCCAAAACTCGTAATCTACATGTTTCAAAACAAGTGCTGGGTCAAAACTAGGCTTTTTCTTCAGTATTTCTTATTCGTGTTCAGATTTTATAAATATCTTCAACTTTATGTCGGGTTAGAGGACTATAAGGCTGCCAACGTAAGTTAAAAGCATACAGATAAGATACAGGGTGTTCGGAAATATGATAAAAGAAGAAATGACACGATGCTGGAGTTCGCATACTCGTACCCAAGCTCTGTCTGCTCTTGTCTGCTCTTCTGCTGCGAGGCATTCACGCATTACGGTTATTGTAAGTTGGATCAGCGATCTATTTTTAATACGCTTTAATTAGCTTCAGACATTTGAACATGAATTTGACCCTCTCCAAAACGTCAGATTAACTCGAAATTTGGTATACTTATTAACGACCGATGACAATTCAATATTTAAAAAAATATTGAAAAAATTGAAATTCAACTAAAAAATGAAAAATAAATAATATGTAGTTTAAAAAAACAAAAAAAATACGCTTTTATAGAAAATCCAACTAAAAAATAGAAAATAAATTTTAATAAATTTGAATTAAAAATAGTGTAAGAAAAAATTTTTTTATTGTAAAAAAAGCGTGGGGTGCATAGTATTAGTATATTATAAATATTTTATGAACGGATATGAGTAGAAGGGTTATTTTGATGATATCCTGAAAAGCAACCCACCCACGCTTTTTTTTTACAATAAAATCATTTTTTCTTACACTATTTTTTATTTTCTATTTTTTAGTTGGATTTTCTTTAAAAGCGTATGTTGTTAGTATTTTTAAACTATTATTTATATTTGGTACACTACTATGTCACGAAAAGTTATTTCAGTCTGAAATATTCTATTAAAACGGCACAAAAATCAATTGGTTTCTAAAAGAAAACGCTTAATATTGTCAAAAAGAATGTACCGAATATTACCGAACTCTTTTTTTTTAAATTATCTAATTTCTTAAGGAGTAAATTCCAAAAAAACACCCGTGTATCTGTTTAAAAGTTTTGCGGAAACAAAATTCGATTTCATAGCAGTACTATCGTTGTTTTAAAGTTTATATTTACCTCCGGCTCGGGCATGCGCAGATCAACCGTTGGAATCTCATCGCTTAGTTTGATCGAAAGCTTGTTAGGCAGCACCATCATTTTCGACACTTGCTCCACGATGCATCGACGAAGGATGTCACTAAAAAATTAATTGAAACTAACTTAATCTATTTTAAAGCAGAGAATTGTGATCTTTTATTTGAAAACATTCAGAACATAGCATTTGGATTTAGATATTTTTGATTCTAATTTACAACAGTTACAGTTACCTAAAGCCTGGCATATCTAGTATGTCAGCTGCGCCAACGAGATTGAAGTCGATTGAGGGGTTGTTCAAAAAGAAGATCTGTAGTCCTCCGACTAACGGTATTTTAGAGATCAGAGGTTTCATTACAACACGTACCATGCCGTGAATCTGAAAATATTAACAAAAAATAGAAGTTGAATTTAGATAGATAATGTCGCTCATCAGCCAGGGGGATGTATTTAAGTAAAATGACAATTAGCATTTGCATTTTAATTATCATTAAAATAGCTTCGTGTACCTAATATGTTGAACCTTGTTGACTATGCGCCAATTCCAAGTAAATGTGCAAGGTGATGACGATTAAAACGAGATTCAGTGAATAAGGGTTATTTAAGTTTAATTTTGGCAAAAATAATATGAAAATAAAATAGTCTTCAATGATGCGTGTCTTCAATTTTTCGCTATGTATTAGGGTATGATAAACCCCAATACTATTTATATATTTTATAGCTTCATATGTTTACGTTAAGAAACTATGAACTGTAATAAAACTGTGTAAAAGTGTTTTTTCACGTTGTGGCAGGCGCCATCATAGAACACAAGGTTTTCAAGATAAGCTTTAATATACCTAGTCAGGTCATAAATTCTGTCACATGTTTAATGTAAAATAATTGAAACAAGTTTATTCATTATGTAACCATTCATATACCAAAATGAACTTAACAAAACATAGATTCTTACGACACTAAAGTTTATTCAAAATGACCTCCGTGATTTTGAATACAGGCCTTCAATCTGCACGGCCAGTCGTCTATCGCAGCACGAACGAGGTCCATGTCAATATCGGCGGCTGCCTTAATCAAGGATGTCTTGAGTGACTCCAAATTGGGATGAGGCTTTGAGCACGCCTTTTCCTCCAAGTGTTGCCATATCTTGTAATCTAACGNAGCAATATCGTGTATCGGCTGATATCGAAATATAGATTTCGATTCACGAATCGGTACGATATGCCGATGCGCATCACATCGAGCAATATCGTGTATCGGCTGATATCGATATATAGATTTCGTGCGGGGCGATATCGGATTCAACGATATTGCTGCGATATATAGATATTGAATCTATATACGATTTATATCACCCACTCCTAATTGATACGGACTCATACACAGTCGAAAGTCGCGGGATATACCTACTTACAAGGATTGTACATAATCGTGGATTTTAATTTACGTGTTGCAATAAAATTGTAAGCTCGCAAGGCTTCGTTTTATTATTTATTGTATGAAATGGACGAACGAGCTCACGCTGTTGTTAAGTGGTTGAAAACACCCATGGAAATCATCAATTTAATGCCCGCGCTCCCCAAGACTTGAGATGGAAATCTTAACAGTATTGTTTATTAAAGCTAGGCTATTCTATCCTTCGGTTCAGAATGCACATAAATACCCTCGTCTTCTCGTCAAAACTAAGCGAGATTGTGGTAATCCCTTATAAAAAAAAGGTGCTGGGACAAGGAATAATTTAGGACGAAGCTAATTTAAACGCAATTATGCTAATAGAGGTTTTAAATCGAATGAATAGCCGGACAGAAGACAGACCTCATTATAACTATGGAATCCTCTCTTCTATTTAATTGCAAAATGAGTCTTACACATGTAGGAGTTTATTTTCTGTTACTGGCCGCTTGGATGCCTAATCAGAAACATTTAATAAAGGCATATCTCCTTTTTTTTATATTGGAGAATAACATTTCTTTCTTGGCTATTTCAATTATTTTGGTGGCAATTCAATATTTCATCTGAATTTTATTTTCTTCAAAATGGGCAAAAATAAAAGTAATGACGCGTCAACTAATCAAAGAATTGTTAATTTACATATAGATCTTAGATGGGCGTACAGAATAATAGTCAGCATTTAAATTGTTCTGTTAAAAAAGTTTTTGATCATTATAAAACACATTGAACTGTTGAAAATGTTCTTAGAAAGGCTCGGCCAAGAAAAACCTCTCCCAAAGACGATACGCTAATCGTTCGTGTTGCTAAAAAAGACCTAATTAAAAGCTCCAACCAGATTAAAAATGATGTTTTTTCTCTTGATGAGCCGAGAAACATCTCGTCAAGACTGATAAGCCGAAAATTAGTGGAAGCTAAATGATTTGGAAGAACCTCTCGAAAAGTACCGCTTCTTACCAAGCAACACCGATAGAAGCGTTTCTATATTCTACTGGTGGTAGGACCTCTTGTGAGTCCGCACGGGTAGGTACCACCGCCCCGCCTATTTCTGCCGTGAAGCAATAATGCGTTTCGGTTTGAAGGGTGGGGCAGCTGTTGTAACTATACTGAGACCTTAGAACTTATATCTCAAGATAGGTGGCGCATTTACGTTGTAGATGTCTATGGGCTCCAGTAACCATTTAACACCAGGTGGGATGTGAGCTCGTCCACCCATCTAAGCAAAAATAAATAAATATATATATATATATATAATACATATATAGAGACATGTATTAATCGCTAAAAAATATGTTAATTGGACAGTAAGAGAATGGGACAGTGTTATTTTCATGACACATAAATTAATAAAGTAAATTCCGATGGCAAGCTCTACGTTAGACGTCCTGTAAAGAATGCTCTTAATTATAAATACACAAGTAATGAATGAACTGCACATAGGTAGTGGGATTTATAATTTTTCTAATAAATGATAAATCATTGAACGTATTGTTGTCCTATTTATTGCTTATTTTCAAGAAAAAGGGTGGCAGTGAAGTATCTCGCATAATGTCATGGACCGCTGGTAGGGTTTCTAATTATACGACCAGCAAAGTATGTATATTACAATACTATAATTAACTATATTTTAATGTTTTTGGGCATTTTGTACATTGCACAAGATTTTAAATCAGTGGATTTAACAAATATTAATACATTAAAGTACCACAATCATTATTTTTATTGGGTTATATGCTGTTATGATTCAATAAAAATCAATTATGATGGCAATTAAAATCATTTAAACCGACTGCAATATATATTATTTTATAAGGGAATACGCATAGCAAATACATAATGATATGGTTGATTACATATTTTAAATATCAAGATCGTCATCAGGATCTTCTTCATCCCAGTCATCAACAGCATCTGGCTCGTAATAAATCTTACTTTCTCCCTCATGAATCTTACTCATATATGGAAGCTTTAGATTATACTTCTGTAGTTTTTCTGTCTGATCCACTTCAATTTTAAAGGTGGAAAGTTTTTCTGGTGATGGTTTTTCTGGTTCATCATCTTTCTTGGTTTCTTTTGGTACAGGAGTCAAATTCAATGTTTTGGTCTTAATGCATAATGAAAAAATTTCTTCGGTTTTTATAAATTTAGCTCCTTTTTTAATATTAATCAATGCTTTCAAAACATTATTACTGTCGAAACTAATTACTGCATTAGCAATGTAATTCATATGTATTCTCAGCTTTGATGAATGTGCCATACAGTCTTTGTGTAAGATTATTATTATCCTTTCGACACAAGGATTACCCTGTAATCGTTTCAATAGCTTCATAAACTTGTTTGACCCCAGAGAATAAAACATTTGATGAACAGAATCTACTATCATAGTACATGGTATCTTTGTATATATGTCATATTTTTCATCTTGGTATTCTGAGTAAACCTTGACATTACTTTTGTTTTTAAAAGCTTCTTTCCACAACTCTTCCTGATGTTCATAAATGTGAAAATTTATCACGTTCTTTTCGTCTTCTAAAAGAGCGAATAATAATGGCAAGGTATTGACGTTAATATCATCTTCAATAAGCAAAATCGGCGCTGATTTTAGTTTAAACAAAGTCATTTTCAATTATTCGATTGAAACACAAACCAAATTAGGAAAAGTGAATATCTAAATTATGTCTATTTAATTGGTAGTACCTTTTGGTAAACCTATCCTTTTAAGGGATTTTATGACCTGGTAACTAAGACCTTTAGGTCATGTCTTATTTTAATTTATATTCTTGTTTTATGAAAAATGATAATAAGGAGTGAAATGAAAGGAAATGAAGATGATTAATTTGAGACATTAATCAACTGGGATGAAAATAAATGAAATATGATGAGATGAAATGGTGGTCATTTACTGAGAATTTTTGAAGGATCCCGAGAAGTTACGTCCAGCGCTTTGTTTCATTTTCCCACATTTGTGCACTTTCACAGATATTAAACAGTCAATAAGCCACCGTTATTACATATTTAAACCTGAAGAAACACTAAATAGACAAAATAAAAAAATTACACAACTTCAGTCCTCGCGTTCCCGCCAAAAATCGCACTAGGGTTCTGTTCAGTTGTGATCATAGATTTAAAGTTCTGACGTATCGATTTGTTGTGGTCTTAAAAAGCTTATTACACTTGGCTAAATTTGGTCGACTGAATTCAGTGAAGTGTAATGGCTCCTCTTCACAATCGGCCATGATGGGCCAACAAATGATCGTCCATCATCGCCGCCATGATCAGGCAACTCTCCACACAATCGTGAACGTTCATTTACTGACTGTCTACTGGTATGTTAAGACGTCTAGGTATCGATGATGGCAATCGAGGAGATCGCGGCTGCGGCAATATTTTTACTTAGGTCGTATAGTTAATTAATTAATGTACGCGAAAAAAGAATCGTGAAAACTTTTTAAGCTATTTTTTTATTGCCCTTGTAGACAGACGAGCATATGGCCCATCTGATGATGAGTGGTTACCGTCGCCCATGGATTTCAGCAATGCTAGGAGCAGAGCCAAGCCGCTGCCTACCGATAACGATAAACAAGATGGAGGAAGAGAAGTTGGTGGGTGGTGGCTATCAATTGGAACAAAACAAGGTTCACGCAACCATAGTTTTGTAGTCGACACAATTGACACACACTCGAGACAACTACATCCTGACTAATCGGCGCTGGTGTCGACGCTCACACAATCACGGGCCATCATTCCTTTGATCTACCGACACAACGCCGATTGCGCACCATCATACGCGATGATGGCCGATCACACACATTTATGCCCTCTATACTATCCTGAGTTTCTATAATCGCCTATCATGGCCAATTATAAAGAGGAGCCATAATAGCAGTCAGTAAGTTAGCCTACTAAATTCAGTGGCAAGAATGGTTTCTGACTGACTAAATCATTTAGAAGTAAACCTGTGTCAGTCAATCGTTTTCCATGACCCGGGTCGATCGTGACCGGGTTATAAAGATTCGATCATTTCAATCATTTCGGTCACAGTTCGTATGTATCTATTTAAACAAATGACCGAAGGATTGCGGGAAAAAACGGAGTCACAAGGCTTAAATATTAGGTCAAACGATCTCGAATCCATTCGTAGATAATTTTTGAAGTCTGCTGGTTCTAAATCACTCATAATGTTCATATTTGCTAACATTCCGCGCAGCAATAAATATTTCTTGCCCGTTTTTTTTTTTTTTTTTGAAATTGTTNTTATAAAATTTTTTTTTTTTTTTTTAAATTTTAAATAATTAATAATATATACATATTTAAAGTTAATAATTTAATAATATTTAGTATGAATTATATTAAATAATAATTTTGTCATTTATATTACTAAAAAATGAATGCTAATATGTAACACATTTTTTTACGAGTGTACATGCGCGAAAGTTCACCTGCGGCTATATTCAGACTCGCCAAGTTACGTCGGTCGTATTGTAATGAGCGATTTAGTGGGCAACTTCATTTCTATTAATTTGCGCGCGCATTGTAAAATTTCACTCTCATCAATTTTTCATAACGCACCTAAAGAAGTACCTATAACTTCAAAAAAAATTTATTGTCTAGACAATACTGGGGCCGTCTGGGGCCATCTTCTTACCCACGCGACACGTCTTACTTCGTCGTGCTTAAACTGACAATTAATTCGGTAACTGAATTTAGACCAGTGTAATCAGAAGCTTCTACTTGCTTTTACTTCTGAAATCAGTCGGCTAAATTTAGCCAAGTGTAATAAGCCTTTAACCTAAATCATAGATTATTTCGTACTTATTAATTGACCTAAAAAACCAATGAAGTAGGAAACCTAAGGTCTATGTAAAAAACACACTGACTGAGTGACTAGTTAAAGTTATTTTGTTTGAAGCAATTGGCAATATGTTAAAAAGATTTATACCGTTTAATAATAACGCTATTAGCAGACACATAGTGTGTGTTCCGAAACATAAACCACCCGAAAAAAAAGATTTTGACGTTTTGAAAGAGTTCTTAACAAACCATAACAAAATTTTAATTTTGACTGGTGCTGGCATTTCTACTGAATCAGGTAAAAGTATTTAGACGATAAAATTTTCATTGAACGTTTTTTACACTACGCACGGTGTCCTCTGTGAAGTAGTACACTAATAAAGTTAGTGGTCGTTAGGTATTCCTGACTACAGATCGGAGGATGTTGGTCTGTATGCCCGTAGTAATCACAAACCTATACAGTATCAAGAATTTGTGAAGTATCCGAAAGTAAGGCAAAGGTACTGGGCAAGAAATTATATAGGTTGGCCGAGATTCAGTTGTGTGCAACCGAACGTCACACATCTCTGTATTCGAGAACTAGAGAAGGTATATTAAAGGAATCAACTACATCATCACTTTTCATCAACATTCGGGTATAACTATTATTTAATCAGTCAAATGTAAAATAATAATTTTAATTAAGCCAAAGTAATGTATTCAAAGTAAGGGAATGAAGGAATCCTAAGAAAATATGTCATTAAAATGTTATTGTAGTTTACAATGTTTAACAATAATCACCTGAGACAGAGAACAGAGTTTTTTAATTTACTGCATAAATGAATGAATGATCTTACTTTCTTGTATTAAACGGTCATTGGTGAGCCATGTGAATACTACCTTGAGACCTGACATTGTAGTTTCAATCGTGTAGTAGAATGGCTGTGCTAACATTTAAATTTTACTGCATTGTCACACAAATAGGCCTATAATGAAGCTACTGAGTTATGCAGACTTACAATACATCATACCACTACATTTCTTTATCTTTCTTTTCTCTTTTTATCTTATTTAGTAGCTTACAATTAGTTTGGTATATTCACACCCCAACTGATGTTAAGTGGTTTCTTGAACCAATGTATGTCACAATGTGAATACTCAGTAAGATGATCAATGATAGAAATTTTTTATATATATATATATGAAAACAGCTAATGAAATAGTCATCTTTTTATAAGTTAAAAATATACTGTAAACACCTTCCCAAGCTATTGTATAAATTATAAATTAGTAAGATATAAGTATACTGTAATAAGTAAACCTTATTCACTCCATTAGAATTTTATAAAAGTATTATCAGAAACTTATATAAGCATGATGGTCAATTTGGATTGATCACATTCATTTCAAAGCTTTTATACCTTTAAACTAAATCAGATTAGTTTATCATTTATCATTGCAGTATGGTATTACTGATAATCATATTATTATAAATATATTTTTTATCCACAGAAGGGAAAAGTGACATCTATAGTGACACAGAATGTGGATAGATTACACCACAAAGCTGGTTCTGAAAAAGTGATTGAATTACATGGGACAAGCTACTTAGTTCAATGTCTCAAATGCCCCTATGAAATAGACAGACATGAACTCCAAGAAATATTAACAGAGAATAATCCAGATATGGAAAGTAGTTTCTCCATGATAAGACCGGATGGCGATGTTGAATTGTCAAGGGTAATTTCTATATAAACATATCAAGCGGTGAAAGGCTATTTGGTATAAGCGACATTTTGGCAAATTTACAGGAGAGCCAATTAAAGTTTAAAATTAAGAATAAATATCAAACGAAAACCTTCTTCAGCTATTTGAATGAAGTAAACTTAACTGCAAACTTAATTGCAGCTCAATTATAGTTCACCTGTGGGTGAATTTGTGGGACATTGATAGCTCACCGAGTTTTTCGCTGGATTTTCTCAGTGGATTGTGTTTCCGATCCGGTGGTAGATTCTGCGAAGCACGGCTCTTGCTAGGGTTCGTGTTAGCAACGTCATCAGGTTTGAACCCCGTGAGGTCACCTATTAATTAAGGCTACGTTGATATAGCCTCTCTATGATAATATTAGAGAGTAAGCCAAATTACTTCACAATTCAAGTTTCTAATGAGTCTTCTTAATTTTAGGAACAAGTAGAAAAATTCCGAGCTCCACTCTGCCCAAAGTGTGAAGGGCCTTTGAAACCAGACATAGTGTTTTTTGGTGACAATGTACCCAAATATCGCGTGGAACAAGTCAGAAAAGAAGTGACTAGCAGTGATGCAATATTTGTAATGGGATCAAGCCTCACAGTTTATTCTAGCTATAGAATTATATTGCAAGCCAGAGATGAACACAAAAACGTAGCTATATTAAATATTGGACCTACTAGAGCAGATGATATTGTTAATATAAAAGTATCTACAAAATGTGGTGATGTTTTACCTGAATTATGTAAATCTTTAAATTAAATATAATTAGCACAAAATATACAACTCTGACTAAAATTTCTGACATGATCATAAAATTCATTTTCCATAATATAGATAATTCAACATGGACATGCCATAGTAGCCTTTAGGCCTTGAAATGTACATATGTTAAAATAGCTATAAGAAGAGTTATAATGTATATTTTTGTAGTTTTGTTGTTTTAACAAAGATTTTGAGAAAATAAAAAAAAATTAACAAAATTTTATTTTATTTGTTAGATAAAAGAACAAATGAGACAAGGAAATTGCTTTTTTGTGTAAGATTTAATCTTTAAAAGAATTTATTTTATAAGGCATACGGTCGTCAGCACGTGTTATGAATAAAACCTTTATTTTAATACTGCCTTCTGCTCGTTGTAAAACTAAAAGGACAAGTAATAAATATATACATCTTTTTAACTTTTGTAGGTAGACTAGCATATTGCCCACCTGATGGTGACTGTTTACGGTCATTCATGGACGTCAGCTATGCTAAGAGCAAAGGGAAGTCCCTGCCTACCACTAAGTACTCTTCACGAACTTCGTTCGAATTTCAGCATAATGAAAAAAGGATCCTTCTTCGCAATATACCTACGCACAAACTTCGTCTTAAATGGGTCGAACTGAACTAAATTCAATTAACCCAATCGGAGACCTGCTCCAGAGTTCCCCTTCACACAGAAATATTGATCGTCTCTCCTGCATCAAACGCACAGATACTGTAATGGCTGATATATTGCATTTCCGTATGCGCGTGCATACCTGCGTGTGTATTATTCGCTAAGAAAGAAAGAGAGAAAGAACAGAAATTCATTTAACTATAAATAAAGAAGAACTATTCATTCCCAATTACGTTTAATAATATTATCTTCAATTCGATAATACTACTTACTTAATCTAAGGTTTAAAAACAATGTCGTATCTGGTATACATATTATAGTATAATAAATTATAATTAATCATGTAATAGTCTCTTCCTCTTAACACGGTATCAGTTGTATTAAATGAACGCTCATGCAAATTCGCGTGAATTAAAAAATTCTATTAGAAAAATTACAGTTTATTAAGGAGAATGTCACTAATGCCATCTACCGCTGAAGGCTTTACTTAAAACCTGTTTAAGGGCATACTGTAGCTCTCAGAAAACGGAGGTAAAACTCATTAACGGTAAACGTTTTTTTCTAGAAACATTATAGACTACCCACAAGCTTAACGAACTCTTTGACCTGTCACCACAAAAAAGTGTTTAGTGATGGAACGCTCCCCTAGATTGCTTTGGAGCCCTCCGAGATTGCAGTTCCATTTTTAAGCGAGAATTACAATTTTTTTTTGTAAATGCTTAAAACTGAATCAGCGACAGTAAACGGAGTGACGATACTAAATGAGGCTCAGGGGCTACGAATAATAAAACTATGGAACAGTAACTCGCCTACAATTGCACTTTAAAAAATGGTTCCATTTACGCTCACAAATAAAAGCAAATACAACGAACACTCACACTCTTTCATAAACAAACGCTCGCACGCGATTGGTCGCGCCAAGGTCACGGTTCGTAAGCTCCACCCAGCGCACCCTTATGACGATGACGTTGTGCAGTAGTAATGAATTCATGAAATATTTTCTCGTTTTATTATTAAATGACTTTATTAGTGCAATAAAAATAAATGCAGTTTATAAGTTAGTACATGAGATGAAAATATGATAATTAAACTTATAATCAATGCTGCTACTACTACTACTACTACTAGTATACAAGGTGTAAGGCACACGACTTCCACTTTCAAGTATGTATACATGGCCTCTTTTTGAAAGTGTATGCTGCATATTGTGCTATTTTTGCAATGCGTCCAATTTGTTTCATTTCTTTCCAAGCGTACTATCACAAGCGGCTATCCGTTTTTTACGTTGAATTTCATTTGTCGGAAATCTGCAGTAATAAAATCATTTGTTATCACTGCATAATATCATACTTGTTACTTAAATAAAACTTGTTTTATCTGAGCAGTATAAAGTAGTACTACTGCATAGTAAAAGTAAGCGTACATATTGCATAACACTATCCATCATCAATATTATGAAATTTTACGATGTTTGTATACTTAATTATGAAAGCTAATTCCACTGTTTTTCATATCTGTATGGCTTTTACACCATTTCACGACATACGACTGCATACTTGCAAAATTAAAAAGCGCAAAATAATAATTATCTGGTCAACCGAAAACTGACGCAACACGACCGCACGACACGAGTGCCACAGCGAACTGGCACGCCGTTTTGTAGCTATTTTAAGCGCCGCCCTCCGCGGTAGCTATTTACGTGGAACCATTTTTGAAGCGTAATTACTTTTCTATAGTTTTATTATTCATAGCTCAGGGGGTTAAATGAGCCACGGATAGTCTACTTCACTCTTTCCGGGACGACATGACTCTAAGCTTCAATATACAAAAAAAAACATCTTCAGGTCTTGAAACCTACGCTACATTACAATTACAAAAATGTATTATTGGTTTTGGACTTCTTAAAATATTTACCTTATAGGAAGAATCCTTATGGCAGTGTACAATTTAGAACTTTGGGTTGTATGATTTTTTATTTTAATCTTAATACAAGTATAATTCAACAAGACTTGGTCACAATAAACTTGCAAAATTTATAAAATTTGAATGAAAATAACATATAGTCATATTATTCTCAGTTACAGCTAACTAACATTAGATATCTAACTTTTATAGAAGTAAATTCTTTAGAATATTTTATTATTATTAAATGCTTTCTTGATTAAATTGTTAAATGTGAAATATGTAATTAATAATTTTATATTCGATCGTTTAACTTCACCATATTTATAGCTTTTTCCACGAAACAATCTTGCTGCGTATGCAGAAATTTGATTTATTGTAAGTTAGATACGGACAAGATGAAAAATAACGTTTGTTTCGAAGTAGAGCCGTGTCAGTGTGCTTAGTGCGAATTTTTTAACGTTCTCGATAGCGTAAAAGTTGACTCAAATTTAATTTTGTACCTATGGATTTGGAACTATTTTTGCCTATGTTTGCCGCTAGGGGCGCTGTTGTATTTTTTTTTACAAAACTTGGGATTTACAAATCAGTCAGGTTTACAAATCTAACAGAGTGAGCTTAAAATTTTAATTGTTCTATACTCTATGATACTTTTTTAATATAATTAATCTGTGTATTTAACGTGCGCTACTGTACGCTATACATGTGCATGAAGACCTTAAAATCCTCCCTTTTGTGACAAGGCTGATGATAGTATATACTTTTTTTATGAAATGTAAAGTAAATTAATTGAACACGCAATGGATCTGAAAACAAATTTTAACATCTGCTGTCTGCAGCAAGATACCATTAGATTTACCTTTTAGGATTACTGTGGACATATTTGTTCAAATCCAAGCGGTTTCCAGTATATGTTATCTACACACAATTTTCACATTCTCTCTGAACTGAATAGGTGGTCTGGTGGTAGGACCTCTTGGGAGTCCGCACGGGTAGGTACCACCACCCCGCCTATTTCCGCCGTGAAGCAGTAATGCGTTTCGGTTCGAAGGGTGGGGTAGCCGTTGTAACTATACTGAGACCTTAGAACTTATATCTCGAGGTGGGTGGCGCGTTTACGTTGTAGATGTCTATGGGCTCCAGTAACCACTTAACACCAGGTGGGCTGTGAGCTCGTCCACCCGTCTAAGCAATAAAAAAAAAATTTGTACAAAAGGTTTACAAAGAAAACTGTTCTTACAAAACATATGATGATAATTTTGTTTTGCTTGTTCATAGTTCGAAGACTTGTTTGGCAAAGGACATTTAGGTACGTACCTAACTTCAGTGATGCCCCAGTGAATTTAAGTAGGTATATGCATTATAATACTCAACATCATTTCGTCAATTTCGTTTAAATAATAACCTTTTGAATAAGAAAATTAATACATTACATGTATTAAGCTATTTAAATACTATTCACTAATTTTCGTTATTTAAACTAAATATATTCAGAGATAAAGCGAAAATTACAATAATTTAAATACATAAAAATAGTAAACCGAAACATTATTTTGCTTCAGAAACAGACTTTCAAATATAAAAGTTCTTACACCATAGTCGTACAAAAAAAGATTATTAATTTTCGACAAACTAGATGTTAATGAATAATTATACCGAAATTTCTCCAAAAAAATCCGTGCACTTTATTTACCTAATTCTTTATTCTAACTAAATGCTAAAATGCTATGCTACGCATCAAACATAAAAATCGATAATTTAAATGCCATAATTTTCTCGTAACTTGAATTACCTTAGCTTTATATATATATGAAGCTAAAAATCCTCTTAAGAGTAATATTTTGTTCAACTTAATTTCTAAATTCCTTGATGTTATTAGGAACAAAAATAAATTGTGAAAGGAGATCGTAACAAAAACCGACACTTTCATATAAAAAAAAATTGCTTCGAAGCACAAACCCACGTTGTTTCAAACCCGCGAATATTAAAGTGAAAAAAAGTGTAAAACGCTAATTTCCTGCGCGACCTGTCGACCTTACTTGTCATTTGGTACCTACCTATTTAATTGTATGGACACACATTGCGAAGTTTGAAAAAAAAAATTAAACTTTTTTAGATTAGCTTAGTTCCGGTGCTATTTCACCGTAAGGGCCGAGTCACACCGGAATGGCAGCGATGCCAGCGGCCCCCGGCGTCGCCGCTTGCAGCCTCGGCTTCCAGACTGCACGCGTAGTCTCCTCTCGACTAGTTTAGTTTTTTCATTCGGCAATGATACTCGTGTGTTTGAAGTGAACATGATGGAATTGGTCATTATATATAAACGCGGTGCCGCGAGCGGCCTTATGTCGCCGCTGGCAGAACCACCGAAAAGACGCACATGGCGCGCGGCTGTTCGCTTCAACGCAGGCGGGCGCCGGCTGCGTCGTGACCTTTTCAAGCTTTTCAAGCGATACTAATCTTTTAAGTATATAGATAAAGTTTAAAATTATTTCACACTGAAAGTGCTCGCCGCGACACTTCCGGCCGCTGCCAATCCGGTGTGACTCGGCCCTAAGATACCACTGTGCTTAGTGCGAGTTTTTAAACGTTCTCGATTGCGTAAAAGTTAGCTCATATTGGTGGGATTGTCATTTTACTGGGATCGTTTGCCCACGTTTGCGTTAGGGGCGCTGCTCCAACTGCATACAAAATTGGGTTAACTTTTACGCTACCTTGAACGTTAAAAATCTCGCACTACGTACACAGATTCATAAATATAAATCATTACAAGTCACTAATAGGAAATCGAACAACTCATGTTTCGAAATTGCCTTTCAAATTACTAAGCTTGGCTGTATGCAACGGGCGCCATCATTTCGCGCACGAAATTCGAAACATTTTTTTTGCAAGTCGAATACCCGAATTATTAAATTTGTTTCAACTATTTCAAGCAATTCATTGATGCTTTACAACTGTGAATTATGTTCGTTTTTTTTTACATCTACGTAAATTTTAATTGTTCATTACAACTTTTCAGATGTTTTAATTTGGCAATAAAATGTTTATACGTTTGTCTATCGTTGCACAGAGATTTAAACTACTTAACTACCCACTTATTAAAAAGTAAAATATTGAACAGTTACATATGAATACCAATTTTTTTCTTTAAAGGTCCTATAGATACTGTGTGTACTTTGTAATTCACGAAGAACAAAGTATAAATAAATGCCTATGATTCTTTCGTTCATAAAACTAATTCTAAAACGCTACGATTTTAACTTGTATACTTATTCTACTATTGATCAATTCAAAGGAAATGAATTTTTAGACAAAATCATATTTTATTTAATAATATACTGTATAAAGGAAATACTTGAATGTTTTTTGTTTTTTGTTTTATTAACACAGATTACTTATTAGCTAAAAGACTTACTTACAAAACGAAACTGCTATTACACTCTCGCTAAATCCAAAGTGAGATCACCACTAAAAACTTAGAAATTCACCAGTCAAATAAGGAATTATGAACATATTTTAAATAGGAACTACTACTTGGTGAACTTACACTTTTGTATTTTTTCTTGCATAGATTGATAACGTCCACCTAGTATTAAGTAGTGACCGGTGACCACAATAGTGGTACCTACCCTAGCGGGCCTACTACCCTGGCACCGGAAATTACGCAAATTTTGAAAACCTTCATACTTGGTCTTTATTACACGCCGATATACCTTCATCGTGGAAGGTGTCCGTGAAAGCGTTAAGTACGCAGTTTCTAAAAAAAAAAAAACTGCCCACGAGATTTGAACATCGACATAGTCCTTTCGCTTAATATTAATACCAATATGGCAGATGTCTTAACTTTTAGGTCACGATAATTATGTGTCTGTGACAAAATATTGTTTCATGGTAAATTTCGATTGTAGTGTGCTAACAACACGTTACTTTAGTTGTAGTATAGGTATGACCATTGTATTTTGTATTAAGTAATTAGTAAGGCAGTCAATAAACTATCGTCGACCAAAGCACTCGTTTCATTTAGATAGCCCACACATCACACGATTCTGCTCATGACGATATTTTGTAAATTACCAATTTTTATATAAAATCATCACTCATCAAACTATGCTCTGTTCTGTTCAGAAAATTCTATTTTTGCGGTCATATCTAAACTATGCAAATAAACTACTAGGTACTAACATAAATGGAAAACAATATTTAAAAACAAAACCTTTGTACAAACATGGAAAGTTTTTTTTTAAGCCAGCAATGTTATGCAAAAGCAGCTGAATGACGAATCTACGTCTTTTCGTGGTCGTTATTTTAAATTGTGTTACACTACGCATGACGCTATAACACTTTATAATTATTCGATAGCATTTATTGACGAGCTTGTAGCAAGGATCAAGCCAAAATTGGCTAAATTAATCGGACGACATAAATGTAGCATCACCCGATATATGCTTAATCAAAACACCCACTAGCTCAATCATTCGTGTCACAACTCGAGTAGTCTCTAGAAGAAACATAACAAGAGATAACACAGTTATTACATAGACAGCATTAACATTCAGTGAAAATTCAGCAACATTTTGAAACATAGCAACAATGAAATAAAATTCGAAATAATGAATTAGCCCCCATTAGCGACAGTGTAATAACAGTACTTCACAGTAATACGCGCGCAATGTAATTTAAAAATTTAAATCATTAAATAAACATACCTAAATGACATTTTGAAGTTGATTTCTTCTCATACATTATCAATAAAATTTTGGTCATGTACATCACTTGAATGCAGTAAATCGTATTATCTGCCATCTCTCTATTGAATACATAGGTGCACTTACACTATGAAAACTAATTTTCGGACATTTTCCTTCCAATAATGCATAAGACAAATCACTTGTTCACAAACATAGTCACATCATTAACACTTGCCAGTCTTGAAATCACAAAAACAAATCTCTACATTAAAATTGTTTCGTCACTATATATATTATATTAAACCGAAATACAAGTTGTTCGTTTCAATTGTCTATCTTACAGGAACATTATAAGAAGTATTCGGCTAGGGGTTTCTTTGATGGTACTCCTCGAGATTCCTGCGGTGCTGCCTCGAATATTGTGAATTCACGTTGAAGATTTTCGTTTAACTCTAATATAGCAGCTACGTTTCCGCATCTGAATCAGAGAAGGAAAAACAGTGTGATTAGTGAGCACATACAGGTAACAAAAGATTTAATTTTCGAGTACAGTAATACATTAATATCTGCACACAATGCTGTATCCAGAAAATTTAAAGGCTATAATTTATGAGATTCCTTTATTTGGGGTGACAGTTTTCGGAGCTTAAGGTTATGAAGAGAGTACCGTCACCCACCTTGAGAAGATGAGGTCAAAATCTCAATTGACTTATAATAACTCTTATCGCTGTCCTAATCTTAAGCCTGGAAGTGAAATGGTCAAAATGGTCAAAATGGTGAAAATGACCTGTGATCTAACACACTCCCTAACACCAGTATTCAATATTTATCGCTTTAATTGTACTGAATAATGATATTAATTTTAAAATGAGTCTATTAAGTTTACTGAATTAAAATTACTTTTACAGTTCGATTTCATGTTTTGCATGGTCCCTAAATATTTATGATTGTTATATTTTCATGGTAAAGGATGACCGAGTGAGTTGTCACTGACATTTTGTCAGTGCCAAAGAAAACTATGTAGTTATCAAAACCTTGAGAATAATATGATACACTGAATTTAGGCAAGAATCTGTGGTCTTTTGTCGACAATAAATACCTGTAACAATAATTAGGTGCAGACCATACAGTCAACACGGTCTCGTTGAAATGCCATTTGTAGCCCTCCATGACAAGCTGATGAGCTCGACAGATCATATCAATATCATTTGACACGTTGAATTGAGCGACTACATCTGAGCCAAAGAGATAGCCAGCTCCTCTTGGTGAAACACCCCAACCTTGTGTATCTGCAATAGATAAAACCATAATCTCAGTTCTTTAGGTAAAGAAGATTAAAAATATTTAGAATTAGATTTTAGTTAACTAGCCCAAGGATCATAATAATAATTCTTTCTTTACATGTCACCATTTTATTTCCCCTCCATATTAATCCCCAGAATATAATAATAACTACAAACCGAAGATACAAGGAAAATACTGTCATGAAAATTTATGATCGTTTTCCTCTTTTGAGTTTATGGGTTAATTTATTTTTATCACAGAATGTCATCTGTTCATCCTTCACCATCGAAGTAAATGTTTTGCAGTTACCTGCCAGAGGAATTGTACTCAGATGCGGTTGCATTGCTTGATCAAAGTTGATTGCATGATTTACCAATTACATCACTAGGCACTGATCACATTATGTAACTTTAGGTAAGGTGGATTTTCACAAATGTTCTTGGTTCTATTCTATATTCTAGTTCAGGATACAAACATCCATACAAATATTTTAAATGTGAAAGTGTTTGTTTGCCTTTTTTTACGTCGCCAACGAAACAATGCATTCACATGATTTTTTAAGGTCAGGAGTATGACATAGGCCACTTTCTAACCAGAAAAACATGTTTGTCCCAGGGGAAACTATACTGGCACTTTTCCTTAATCACGCGGACGAATCCAAGAGTGACAGCTAATCATTGTTTCATATTTACCTTCAGGATCACTCCACAACAAGTCACACATTGGTCCGTCGTGAGGAACTTCCTGCTTTCGATCAATAGTACGAATCTGATCTAGGGTGTGTATCGACGGACTTAGACCGCCGTGTACGCAGAATATCCTTCCATCGATAATGGCTGACAGTGATAAATAGTCAAATATTTCTGTACAGTATCTGGAATAAATAGCATTTTTCCTCTATAGATAGATAGATTTTTAAGAGTTGATTGTCAACAAAGAAATCTGAGCATGGATTTGAAATCAGAGATAATAGAATCATAATTAGAAAAAAATCTTTTAATGAGTTTTAGTCTAAAATGTAAAGTAGTTCTTTCCACTAACAAAATCAGTACAGGGATCTTATTAGGAGATTCTTGCCCACAAAAAAAGGCTAGCTACATTCACATCATCTTGTCAATTGTTATTGTGTGAATAGAAAGCATGATTTTGCTCATGAAAAGGGTTGTTTTTCTTTTCAAAAGATGTGTGAACAAACACTTCTTCACAGCATTTCTAAGTGCACACCTGCTCTTAAGTGATTACTGTAGCCAATACACATCAGAAAGTACATGTCACCATTCACCTTGATATATGAAATGTAAATATCAATAGCATAATTTAATGGCCATATTACTATTCTAACCTACCTGTGTGGACTAACATGACGTCCTAACACTAGTAATTGTGCAGTTTATTACTTTTGCAGGTTTGATTTTGAGCACATAATATTACTTTTTGATAGTGGTAGTCAGTTGCAAACATATGTTAATAAGTAGCATCCAATGAAATTATGTATTTTGAATATCAGCCACTAACCTCCACACAGTGATGGAACCATATTTCCTAAGGCACTCATCGTAGAAACCATAAACCTGTGTGATTTGTCTCGATTCATGATTTCCTCTGATGAGTGTTATGCGATCTGGATACCTAACCTAAATTTTAAATATAATACAACTTTAAAAATTTAGTTTAATTCAGTTAGTATGTTATTTTTTGCTATTTAACCACATCTATCTAAACTTTTCGAGAGTCAGAGGTTATAAGCTTATATGGTTTAGTCTTGCATATTACATTGTCATTATATTATTTCCAAAGGTTTTCATGGCAATAAAAAATGAGAGATTAAACCTTAGAAGTAGTTTCAACAATATTGATATAAAAATTTATGTATTTTATAAATATGAAAGTGTTTGGGTGGTCCGAAATTGGTTGATCATATTACTGAAACTATTGATAAGTCTGTTCTATCTTCTTCCCAATATTATAATAAAAACTATGTTTCAGGTACATTTTTATGTTTTCTTAAGGCAAAACTAGCTTTACTGTATTTTATTTACTATATTTATTATTTTTGTTGCAGAGAAAATAAGTACTGTTGCCTGAAATGCAAACACTGTTTTTCCAATTCTTTTTGAATGAAATGTACAATTCTTCTATGGACTTAGCTTAATATAAGACAGGCCAGTGTCAACTCAGCTTCCATATAAGCTACTACCATTTTATGACTGCTACTTTAAACAATCATGTATATTATATGATTTACTTTAGTAGACATTAATAATGATTTAAAACTTGTGGGCACTCATGTATACTTTATATCCGTGCACAGTGATGAAACATGGGAGCCACTAAAACATTCAACAGGTATCAATTAGAAGCTCCTTAGAGTTGCAAGAGGTCAGTTTAGTTGCTATGGTCTTCTTCCCTTTTATATAGAGTACTATAGTATTTTAATCATACTGGAGAGAACTGGATGAGTCATGACTCAAAGATTCATGGTTATAAGCAAGGTGAATAAATCGTAAAACACAATCTGAATCATTAATTTGCATACGCTTTTCAAACAAGAGCTCGAGGCAAGAGAACAGGCAACTTCTGACGTATCAATAAAGATCATAATGTTCACTCTTGAGATACTAATGCAATGTAATTAATGTGTGATTATTGTTCAATAATAATGTTAAAAATTACCTTTAGTGCAAGTAACAATAAGAAAGTTTCAACAGAATAAAATCCTCTGTCCACAAAGTCTCCCATAAATAAATAATTTGTTTCGGGTACATCACCTCCAACTTTGAAAAGTTCCTTTAGATCATAAAACTGTCCATGTATGTCTCCACAAACCTATGGATAAAATATATTATTGTGTCATTTCCCATGTTCATGCAGAGGATTTACTTATATGTATATTGATTTGAATTTTCTGTTACATCTCACAAGCTTTCATGGTTTAATAAATTTTGATTTCACTTGAATATTTGTTCACTTAATAGTTGAGAATGGTTTATTTTTTATAAGATACTTATAACATTCAATGTATACTAAGCAAACGTAACAATTCATTACATTTACAATTACAATTTCTTTATTATTACGCATATTATTATGATTCATAAAAGAATTACTGCAATTTGATATGTTGTTATGGGTTATAAAGAACTTATTAACATATAAATATGTGTAATTTAAATTTGTGAAATCATTTGATAGCACAATGATAGCATTNAGATACTTATAACATTCAATGTATACTAAGCAAACGTAACAATTCATTACATTTACAATTACAATTTCTTTATTATTACGCATATTATTATGATTCATAAAAGAATTACTGCAATTTGATATGTTGTTATGGGTTATAAAGAACTTATTAACATATAAATATGTGTAATTTAAATTTGTGAAATCATTTGATAGCACAATGATAGCATTATTATTTGAATATATTGTGAATATTTACATAATATACATTACCGTTACGGGCGAATCCACTCTTTGAACGTTACTTTCTTCTACCAAAATTTCTCGAGCTTTAGCGCATAGGGCTTTTACTTCTGCTTCCATTATAATCTCACATCTTTTCAGCTGTTCGATCTGACGATCGAGATCGCTCGTATCAGACATGTTAAAACACTCGGTCACGTTACCTTAAGAGATACACATTTCAGTTTACATAGAAAAATTGGGCATTCTTTCAGTGGGGATAAACCAGAACACAACGAACCACCAAATTGTTAGGTTATAAAGACAATGAAGATAATTTTATTGTATAGTACTTACAATGTCTATTTCAACAACAGTTGAATGTTTTTATCTAATTTCGTTACTGATATCTCAATTATTACAATACTTTCGTTCGACAATTCTAACGCATCCGCCATTGACCGTAGTATATAGAATTGTGTTTAGTCTATGGCTCAAATATATTTACTGTATCAGATCATAGATACCNTTTTCAGTGGACTTTTTGGAGGATCCCGAGAAGTTACGTCCAGCGGCTTTGTTTCATTTTCCCACATTTGTGCACTTTCACAGATATTAAACGGTTAATAAACCACCATTATTACACATTTAAACCCGAAGAAACACTAAATAGACAAAATAAAACAAATCACACAACTTCACTCCTCGCGTTCCCGCCAAAAAGTCCGGTTGGTAGTTTAATTCAGTGGTTGGTAGTTTATACAATGTACCTATACCGTACTATTGAATTTGACTCATTCATCTAATGTTGAAGAAGTGGATGAGGAGAGCCGCAGACCGGGCTCAGTGGTGTGGATTGGGAGAGGCCTATGTCCAGCAGTGGACAACTGTGGGCTATTGATGATGATGATGATGATGATCTAATGTTGCTATGTCTAAAAACGGATTGACGAATTTGGTACCACCGTTCTACATACAGGGTAAAGTAAGAACTTTCATTAGAACGTTCGTAAAATTGATTATAAACCATTTAGCATTTGAATGAGCATAATTTTCTTTTTTTTTAACGATTGATGGATAGCCAGTGGTCCGGAGGCCTTTCCAGTTTTCCAGTTCCATCAGGATAGCAAGGGAGGAACAAGGGTTCAGCCCGGAGGGCTGGGTTTTGCTAACAGCTACCCGAGCGAGTGCCTCCAAAGGAGACCTAATAATTCAAGAGTAGCTGTTTCGCGAATTATCTACTACCGGATCGGAATCGTGACCCGCTGAGAAGATTGGACTAGTGTTAGAGCTAAAGGCGTCTAATGTTAGTGTTATTGGATCTGATGGATCCATAAAAACGTGTAGAGCACACCATTCTCTCTCAAGTCCTCTTTGAGACAGTCCATCCAAGTCTTTTCAGGATACCTCCTCCTCACATCCTTAACGTCTACTTTCATATTCGAAATTTTGGAATGTTTTTTTTTATTGCTTAGATGGATGGACGAGCTCACAGCCCACCTGATGTTAAGTAGTTACTGGAGCCCATAGACATCTACAACGTAAATGCGCCACCCACCCACCAAATCTCAGTAAATTCCCAATATTATACTGAGATATCTCATTTCATTTAATTGAATCTTTAACACTTAGAATAGCACTGCAAAAGGTGACCAGTCTTTTAAGTAATAATATTTCCGCGCTGTCATATCTTTCGTTCACCCTTATAATTTACCAATACGGGGTTACATATAAATATGTAGTACGGGCCAGTAGATTATGATTTGCGAATGATTCGTTTTGTTTCCATTAGGACGGTTTTGGTTTCTTTTCCTTGAGCCTGATCATAATCCTGATGTATATGTGGACCGACTTAAAGTCGCAACACATTGCTGTTGGATTGGTAGGATGGCCGTTTCTTTTAAACCACCTGATGGTTTGTGGTTACCGTCACTCACGGACGTCAGCAATGTCCAGGGCAAAGCCAAGCCGCTGCCTACCATTAAATATACAATTCAACTAAGGTGTTCGCTATGCGTATCAAGTGGTATGGTGGTCTATGGTCTTTGATAAACACTTAAAATCATAATAAAACACGAAAAACTTTATTTTCTTTTCTTTTTTTGTAGTAAATTATGATCTTATCACCATTCAATTTGCCTATAATTTGTGACATTCGTCTTGTAAGGGTGGATGGTTTTTTTGGCGGGAACGTGAAGAGTGAAGTTGTGTGATTTGTTTTATTTTGTCTATTTAGTGTTTCTTCAGGATTAAATGTGTAATAACGGTGGTTTATTAACTGTTTAATATCTGTGAAAGTGCACAAATGTGGGAAAATGAAACAAAGCCGCTGGACGTAACTTCTCGGGATTGTCCAAAAAGTCCACTGAAAATTTTGAGTAAATGACCAACGTTTTACTGAGATTATATTTCATTATATCATCTCATCTCATTTCATTATTTTCATCCCAGTTGATTAATGTCTCAAATTAATCATCTTCATTTAATTTCAGCATCATCATTATCATTTTTCATAAAAATAAGAATATAAATTAAATAAGACATGACCTAAAGGTCTTAATTACCAGGCTATAAAATCCCGTAAAAAAAAGGGTGGGTGGGATGGTGAATGGGTGTAGTTATCATTAATGACATTCATTCGGTTCGTTCATTGTCACTGTTGTTTTTATATTTATTGATTTTTCGGTAAATTAAACAAGTTTGTTATCGTTTTAGTTGTGAAGTGCAGTGTGTGTATCGTGAAAGTCACTGTAAAAGGATTCAAAATGGGCAACATCCACACTGTCGGTCCTAACGAGGCGCTAATAGTTTCAGGTATGTCATATAATTCACTAAAACCGAACCATTTCTGTTCATATTATCTTAATATTAAGTGCGCCTAATTTAGTTTCACAAATATTTCAGTAGGTAATAGTAGGTATTATTCACTACCTAAATTATTACAGCACTAAAAAGTATGTAAGTGTTAAAAAATGACATAAACAGATATCTAACATTTCTATTACATTTTTGTCCTTGTATACTGAATTTTATTTTCAGTGTTTATTTTGTAAAAGTGATTTCATTAGATATACTGTATTTAAACTTTTGGTAATCAATACTAATTTACTCCCACTTTTCATCATAAATTTAATTAATTTTCATATAACGTACATTTAATATCATTGAATTTCGTCAAATTAGATGCTGTAAGGAAAATTGTATCAGTGTCATTAGAAAAAAACAAAAGGAAAATAGACAAATTTATCTTTATCATTTGTGTTGATTAGACCAAAGAAAAAATGACCTAATACATGTTATTTAATTTATCATTAATATTTTTTACCTGTCTGCCCAAATCTTATGCAGCTGAGACATTGCATTCATGATGATTTTGATTTTTCTACGCATGACATTTACCATTTTTATTTTTTCATTGCCTTGTAGGCAGTAGGCATACAGCCCACCTGATGGTGAGTAGTTACTGGAGTAATGGACCACTACCGAGCTGCTGCCTACTGCCTGGTCACTGTAATTCTAATTTTGGTGTGGCTTTAGTGTCGTATGACATGAAACAAAAATAGAGCAATAATTGAAAATAGTAAATTTGGATCAAGAGTAAATTTTTCTGTTTCATATCATACTTTTGATATCCTTATCGATTTCTAAATCTGATGTTAAGAATTTTTTTTATTATGTGCATTTGATATAATGACATTTCCAAAAAATGACTCTTGGCCCTTGCTATTATCCAGCAATGTAACTTCTTATTTCTTAATCTATAAACGATAATTAATTATTATTTATTGCTGAACAACATTAAATAAATCTTGATGCAGGCATCGCCACTTATCATAATATAATAAGACTCATTTTTTGCTGTAGCAGGGCAGACAAGCTTAAAGCCCACCAGCTGATAAGTCATCACAGTAGTTTTGGTAGACAAAACAACCCAAATACTAACCTGTGAGAGGAAGATGAATTTAAATTTAATTGTTAAAAATCTGTCACACAATTCAAATTAAAACTCATAATTACTCTGTCAAAAATAGGTTGATTGGGGCCTCAGAATATACAAATAATTTTCCTGTTAAAAGAAAAATATTGCATTAAGTTAAGAAATCAGAATATATCAATCACACATCCAACTTATTAACTATAAAAAAATTAGTTCATTTAAATTTAAATTAAAATTAAATTTAGCCCACTGAAATCAGCTGATTGCCTGGTACAGTGCCTTCCCACTAGTTGTGATTTATTTTATCTTATCAACTTGCTAAAGCATAATAAATACATGTTGGTATCATTACTGTTAGTGTCACTTAGCTGAACTCTATAAAATTGTTCAAATTAGCCTTTATTCCAATAAGAATAGCGTTCAAATCTAAATGATGGCGTGTACCTTAAAACGTGTTACTAAACGTGTTCGGAAATTGATCTTTATTTTGAGGGCTTTAAAACTGTTATTTTTTTTTAAATGTCCGTGTCCTAATTTTATCTAAAGCGTAAATAAATACATTGAAGGTCGGACTCATTTGTTTGTTCTAATGTCTAAATGGTTTTGACGTCATAATACATCTTACTATCTAAAATACAAAGTAAATGATCACTAAATGCTTTTCGAAATTTCTATGTTGGAAAAAATTTGAAGCTCGTAAACATGAATGCGAATGCCGCCATCTACCTTGAGATATAATAATAATAATAATAATAATAATAATGTTTTTATTTCAAGTATCCATGACTCATATGAGTTTGTGGTTTCAATGATATTGTATAACGGCTCTCCCAACCTTCAAACCGGATACCATGACTACTTCGCCTCAAAAGGCAGAGCGGTGATTCCTGGGATAATAGACAATACTGCTCTTCATTGTATAGAGAATCAATTCTTCTTCTTTCATTGCCTCTTCAATCCTGAAGGTTGGCCGTTAGCTTCCTGTATTCATTTCTATCAGCAGCCAGCCGGAACAGCTGTTCGACGGAGGCAATACCGGTCCACTCCCGGATATTCCGGAGCCATGACTTCTTTCTTCGCCCAGCACGTCTCTTTCCGTCCACTTTGCCCATCATTATCAACTGCAGCAGCATGTATCTATCGTTCCTGAGCACGTGGCCGAGATATTCTATCTTGCGCTTTTTGATAGAATGCAATATTTTCCGGGACATATGAACGCGCAGAAGCACAGTTTCGTTCCTGACCCTCTGCGTCCAACTAATGCGTAACATGCGACGGTAGCACCACATCTCGAAAGCCTGTAGGCGTCTTGTAGTGTCCTCTTTAGAAGAATCAATTAGTCATCTGTAATTTACTTTTAACCATCTTACTAATTTATCAACTGTAATGACACAAAAGTTCAAAATTGAACAAACGCTATTTGCGGAATTTGAAATAAGACGTTCGTTAAGATAAATCGCGCTTATCATTAACATTGTTAACTGTTATCAGATAGGAAATAGTAATACATACGTTGACATGACTAGGATGATGTAAATTTGTACTAAGAGATAGTGATAGATGGTTCATCATTCCGATCCGGCGGTAAATTCTGCGAAGCACTACTCTTGCTAGGGCTAGTATTAGTAAATTATCTCAGGCGTGTCCATGAGCTCACCTAGCCTCCGCGAGAAGCTGGAGTAACCCTCTTAGGCTTAGGCTACAAGCGAATAGGTAGGGCCAAAAAAAATTATATAAAAAACCTGAAGATGCTTAGTATTATGGATTCATAAAACAAGTTCTTAGTGTTTTCCTCTTTATTTTTCCTCATCGACTCTTTATAATATCATTACATCACATTAATAGTTCTACATTGTTAGGTTCCCCTTCAACTCCAATTGAAACCGCCGTGTCACTCATAAAAAGTCATAATGATTTAAATTACACGTTTTTTTTAATGCCCTTGGTGAACGGTTAACGTAGCTCACGGACGCTAGCAATGTCAGGGGTAGAACCAAGTTCCTGCTTACCGATTTTGATAGACGATTTATAGAAACGTGGTCTTCGATTAAGTCATATGTATTAAGCGCCCCACGAGCGCTATAAAAATTAGTAAATGTGAAACTGAAACACGTGGTCCCAAAAAAACCCAGTTCAAACATATTTTCTCTTTCCAAGTAGGAGAAACACAACATTCAACTAAATGATTTCAAAAGCGGTACGCATCTTCGTATACCTACCACAAAATGATGCGCCTGCCTTTGATTAATTAGCAAACTTTGGTAAAACGCTTGTTAGTACCACCTTAAAGTATAATATCGAACAAATACTCATGAAATGCAATATTAGTGACAAATATGATAAAAGTATTCTATTACGAGTATAATAAAAGCATATTGAATACTAGACGTGAAATGGATTGATGATATATTAATATTTGATTAATATTATTTATCTGTGTCCAGCACCATTTTATCAATCTTTCAGAGGTTAAACCTGACACTGAATCACAAAAGCTTCCACGATTTTTTAATCAAAGCCGCAGCTTTTTCCCCTATCATGATTGCTGGAGCATTCGTATGGGCCGAAATTGGCTTTGGTATAATGCTACTATCGACAACTCTAAGATTATTTACGCCGTGCACTTTCAATTCGGGATCTACGACGGCTTCAGGATCTGATGATGGTCCCATCTTACATGTTGCAATCTGATGATGTAACGTAGACGTGATTGTCCTCACCGCACACTCCCAATATTTATCGCTTCCAAATTGATAATGTTTACATGTCGAGAGAGGCTTTGTGTATAATTTTGCTCCGTATTTGTGGAAAGGCGAAGTGTCGACCAGCTTTATAATGTATTTAATCGCTTCTACCATAGTCGCCGTGTCATCTGGATGAATCATGTAATTCCCGTACAACTTGGGATGGTCAAAAGGATTCGTTGAACGTAACTTTAAATGACCTTTTGATTTTGGGTGCAAGAGCATAAATAAAACAGTAAAACTTTCAACATTTTCGATGGGTCGATAAATGTCTTGATAAAGCCAATCAGCCAGGTGGATTCCTTTCGCAACAACATCGCCCTCATCCGAAGCTAGCGAAGCACAAGAACCCAACAACTCTATATCAGGATAGTCTCCTGGTTCTTTAGAAATGTTCGTTTTGATATAACCTATAGTTTCTACACCCGCAAGTGAAGACATTGGTCCATCTCCATATTGTTCTAACTGTAAGACATTATCTATTGTTGCTATTTTACGCTCCACCAACGTTAGTTTTGTAGTGTTAATCGTAAAAGCAAGACCAGGATACGAAATGTGATCGTACAGAGACTCTCCCACTTTTAAATCTTGGATAACCGGTATCCCAAAGGAATTGAGATGGTCTTTTGGACCAATACCAGACAACATCAGCAAATGCGGAGACTCGATTGGTCCTGCTGATAATATTACTTCTTTCTTGGCATTTATTTGGTACACCCTTCCATTGCGATGAAACTCAACACCCGTTGCGGTTTTGGATAAAGGATCTATCAATATCTTTGTGACGGTGCTACTATTTAAAATGTGAAGATTTTTTCTCTTTTTGTGGTCGTGTAAAAAGGCTTTCGCACTGCTGGTTCTGTGACCGTGACTCATAGTCGCTTGGATGTAGCTGAATCCGAACGCATCGGGACTGTTATAATCGACTCTACGATGGCCAAATAATTTGGCGGCGTCGAGAAAGGCCTTCGATAACTTGGATCTAAAAAATTAAAATAAGTAATTAGTGGTAATAAACTTTGTAAAATGAGTATGAAAGATATTATTCATTTCTTTTTAACGCTCTACTGTATTTCTGTTTAACGGTATAATATGCTAACGATATTTTCAAGAACTTTCGATTAATTTGAAAATCTGCAGGTGTAGTCAGAAAGAACTGATGAGTATACAATAAATTTTGTTACATTGGCCTATTATTTAATCATTCACCAGGATCACCATTATATTATAGTGCAATGTTTTTTTAATAATTTATAGTTCAGCTTTGTATTCAAGTCTGATTTTTTGTTTTTAAATGATTTCATTCAATAAGGACTTTCATGCTTACTTGAACGGTACATATTCAACATTAAGCTCCCCGTCGCGACCATGCCAAGGTGAATCGGCAAGTCCTTTAAGATAGGCTCGTTCCGACTTCATGTAGTATGGAATAACATCTTTGTACGACCTACCGGAAAATTCACGTTTTGTATATGTTAACTTAAGCACTAAAAAATATCACTACGAAATTTAATACCCAATGTGAACGCTTAAAGAGCTTGCTACGAAATGGAGCGTTTGTGTTTTGAATATACTTGAAATCGCAAAGCTTCTGTGACTAGTATTAGTAGGTGGGGTACAAGCCCTATTGAGACAAGAATAAAGAATCATACAGAAATGACAAGGCATTTCAATATCCTTAATAGACTGAAGGAAATATCTTCCCTTTTTTATTATGTAAAACCGACCTACTGGTATTTTCCTAGGGTTGACCAAAGTTGCAAACATGATGGTAAAAACTTCCGAGTGTCCGTAACCATGAAATCCATGGCAAAGATTATAAAAATTAAAAAAAATAATTGAATTTTAAAACAAATACGAAAATTTATTTGTTTGTATGATGTTGACCTAGAGTATGTAGCACCATTTCATCTCGTCCTATGGTTGTCGTGAAAGAAGCCTACTCTGAGTATTAAACCAGCGTACTGTGATCGGTACCCGGCAGCTACTGGTGGTAGAGCATAGGTATTACACGGATAGGTTTTCAAAGTCGTCGTGGCCTAAAAGATAAGACGTCCTGTGCATTCGTGTTGAGCGATGCACCGGTGTTCAAATACCAAGCGGGTACCAATTTTTCTAATGAAAAACGTACTCGACAAATGTACACGATTGACTTCCGCGGTAAAGGAATAACATCATGTAATAAAAATCAAACCCGCAAAATTATAATTTGCATCATTACTGGTGGCAGGACCTCTTGTGAGTCCGCGCGGGTAGGTACCACCACCCTGCCTATTTCTGCCGTGAAGCAATAACGCGTTTCGGTTTGAAGGGTGGGGCAGCCGTTGTAACTATACTTGCGACTTTAGAATTTATATCTCAAGGTGGGTGGCGCATTTACGTTGTAGATATCTATAGTAACCACTTAATACCATGTGAGTTGTGAGCTCGTCCTCCCATCTAAGGCAATTCAAAAGCAATCATAATGATGTAAAGAGAGATAACGAATTTAAAATATGCAGGCATTCTTACCATCCGTAGTTGCCATCAGCAGCAATCCTATTCCAGTCTTCGGCAAATCCTCTGGTATAGATCATGTAGTTGACGACGCTCGTGCCTCCCACAGCTTTCCCTCTTGGCCAGAAACATCTTTCATCAGTCATCCCTGCGCCGTCGTATGACGAATAAAAGGCACGAATTAATAATTGAGATATATTTTGACTGTATTGATGGGTGAAACGCCACGGTCCACAGAGAGCTAGGTCGTTACCGGAACTTAGAGACATCACAATGTGATTGCTTTTGAGACCCGAGGTTACAGAAAGTAGTGGCATTCATCTGGTCTCAATGACCTGTGATAAACCTTCGACACTGGGTGAGCAGTGAGCTCGTTTATCGATCAGTATGCTTAAGAATAAATAAAATTAACGGCCGTCTGGTGTAGTGGTAAGTGACATGGTCACTACACAAGGGGGTCGCGGGTTCGAATCCCGCCAAGGGAGGATATTTGTATGATAAATATAAAAATGTCTTTTCCAGGGTTATGGATGTATATTATATGTGTATGTGTATAATAAAAATCTTACATTTATTTCCGTCATCTGGTACCTGTAACACAAGTTCTTTACGAACTTACCATGGGACCAGTTAACGTGGCGTGATTGTTAGTAAATATTTATTTATATTTATTTATTTATATATTTATTTAAGAATAGAATTTCTGAACTAAAAATGTATTTTACCAACCAACGCAAATCCCAGGTTGAAACTCCATTTTATAGGGCCACACGTATTCTGTTTGCTGGAGCAGAGGCGCCAGTATAGGTACACTAGTTATCAAAGATTCTCCAAGACCCGCTTCCAGCAATAATACTGACGCTTGTCGACCTTCGCTGAGTCTTGCAGCTAAAACGCTTCCCGCCGAGCCGGCCCCGACAATAATGAAATCGTATTCTGCCAACGGTCCTTTGAAACCTGAAAAATTAACGCATTTTTTTTAGGTCGGTGGACGATATATGAATAATAGGATATAGCATGAATGACAGTTTAATCTAATACAATATTATCTAAAAAAACATTATTAGTTGTCCGTGCGCTTCCAATAAAGTACTCGGGGATATTGTGAACGCACCGTTGTGCATAAGAAATGACGATCTCCACCTGGACTTAATTGTTAAACACATAGTGAAGTAGCTGAAAAGTACGCCAAAACCAATAAACACAGGCTTCACCGTGATGTGAATGTGGAGGCTGTCCAACTCCTCGACGACACACTTAGTGAGAAGACTCAAGAGGACTAAGTCTTTTGAGTTAGTGCAGTGTTTTTTCTTATTCGGAATAGTGTTATAGCGATAGTGACGTAACTAAAGACACATGAACAAAGTGCCTTAATAGACACTAAGTAAGGTCATTGGACTTTATTCTTAGAGATATTAAAATAGTAGCTCACGATAAATTAAAATTACTTATTTTGCCTTATTGAGCTAGAGTACTGTGCCACACCTAGACTTCGGTATATTACATAAAAAAAATAATTAAAAGTTGTCTGTGACCACGAAAACTGTAAAATATTCGAAACCTCAGAAATATAATAATATTATATAATAGTATGTAAATTAGTAAAGTAGGTAAATGGTAATTAAAACTTAAGGAAAACTCCTTTAAAATTCTTGTAATAAAGGGAAAATTAGTTGTTATTCGTTATAAAAAAAAATTATTGCCTTTTTAGACAGACGAGCGTACCTGATGGTAAGTGGTTACCGTCGCCCATGGACTTCAGCAATGCCAGGAGCAGAGCCAAGTCGCTGCCTACCGCTTAATACTCTCCACAAGCCTCGTTTGAAGAAGGACATGTCGCAGCGCTCGGGAAACACCGTGGAGGGGAGCTCATTCCATAGCCGGATGGTACGTGGCAAAAAAGACCTCTGGAAACGCACTGTGGATGACCACAGTGGCTCCAGGTAGTGTGGATGAACTCTACTCCGGTGGCGGGCGGTGCGATGGTAAAAACGAGACGTTGGTATCATCTCGAACAACTCCTCAGAGCACTCCCCATGGAACATGCGGTACAAAGTACGTACCTTGCATTTTCTTAAAATTTTTAAAACTATGTTTTTTCCGTAATCTATCATAAAATTAAATATAATATGTAGCCACCAGCTTATTATTTTTAAGGCTCGTTTCTCTAATCTACCCGTGCCAAAATAAAGCATGTTTTTTTTTTAATTACAGCGTTTCACTACATTTTTTTTTCAATTTCTTAGATAGATGGACGAGCTCACAGCTCACCCGGTGTTAAGTGGTTACTGGTTGCATCATTCGAAACGAATGCACCAGTTGTCTTATCCTTTAGGCCACGACGGCTTTTAAAGAAAATAATTAAGATTATGACAAAAATCTCGATCGCTCTAAGCATTTTTTCGCGATAAATTTGCATATAATATGCAAGTCCCGAACCACAACATTGGGGCCATCATACCACATCACGTCGGACTATCAAGGAATATAATCTGCAGGGTGGAAGACTGTCTCTGTCGTTTTCCCCACAAAATGAGTTTATTTTTTATTTTTTATTGCTTAGATGGGTAGACGATCTCACAGCCCAACTGGTGTTAAGTGGTTACTGGAGCCCATGGACATCTACAACGTAAATGCGCCACCCACCTTGAGATATAGATACTAAGATCTCAGTATAGTTACAACGGCTGCCCCACCCTTCAAACCGAAACGCATTACTGCTTCACGGCAGAAATAGGCAGGGTGGTGGTATCTACCCGCGCGGACTCACAAGAGGTCCTACCACCAGTTTCTGATATACATGACAACGCATTTTGAATTTGTCTTGTAAAATTGGCGTTGTCGCTACCTTCCAGTCGAAACGCCAAAATACGAACTAGAAAGAAGCAGAAACATACGTTGTTTGCTCTAGCAATAACTAAAAATCTGCTGTTTTGAATGCACCTGCGATCATTGCGCTTACACCAGATTCGGAATAATGGAAACATCACTAATATCCATATCGCTCTAAGAACTTACCTATTGGACCCTATTCCCAATCAAATATCCGGAGTCAAATAATATATCTAATAGATTAAACGAATGAATAATTGTTTATTCTTGATATATGCGCTCGCGGGTGGGATATTAATATGAATTTTAAATTCAGGAATTCATAAAAATTATATATAAGATACATAAGTAAAATGAAATCAGAATAAGTTATAATACGTCTTCTAAGTATATCTCGCCGGAATGATTTTGAAACATTAAACAAGAAGCGTATAATGTAATTACTTAATTTATGTTTATAACACGCATAGTTAGTGAAAAATTAATTTCTGAAGTACGTGTAAAAAAAACAGAGACGGCAATTGTTTGTCGACATTGAATTTCAAATTTATCTTGTCCTTACATTTTTTTTTGTTCATTATTATTCAGAAAGGATTTCCTATTCAGAATTTGACGCTAGCTAAAATGTTAAATTACCTTTTGGAAGTTCGTATTTGTCCCTGAGAAACGACAGGACGTCAGGTTCGGCCGGGTCCAGATGCAATTGCGGGGTCTTCATCATAACATCTAGGATCTTGCTTTTGACCGGAGAATTGGCTATTCTTTTCTCTCTGACACCATTATCGCAGAACTCCCTGCAAGGCATTGGTACAGCGTATTCTTCATCATCGATTGATACTGTCACATCGTCATCACTATCTCCAAATATTCTAATAAATAAAATTGTAAATAATGCTATGTGTATTTTCATTATCACGCTCCGTACACGACTAGCAGAAATGTTGTATTTTATTTAGATGTTTCTCTAGTGATACCGGTTTGAGCAGGCTTCCTATGCTATTCTTTTTCTAAATTATTTACCGGGCTTTGACCTTAGATGTTTGCACCTGATATAGTTGCGTTTATGATATATTATAGTTGGGATCACTACATAGTATAAAACAAAGTCGCTTTCTCTGTTCTTATATCCCTATGTATGCTTAAATCTTTAAAACTACGCAACGGATTTGAGTGATTGAAGAGGAAGGTTTATATGTATAATAACATCCATTAAATAGTGAAGAAATATTGTTATTTTTGAGGTTTCTTATGTGCTTCGCCCCGCGGTGTCACCCGCGATACGACAATAACCGCGGGTAACATCGGGGCACTCGGCTATCAATAATAAAATTTAATGTTTCCGAAGCGAAGCGAGGGCGGGTCGCTAGTATTATATAAACTAGTGGTCACCCAGTAGTCGAAATTCGAATATAATTAAATTAAATTGTAAATTTGAACATTATTACGGTTCTACTGTTAAAAACACCAAGCTTGCCAAGGCAACACTAGAGACATCATAATATGAGTATATTAAACTAAATCTATTCTCAATTTGACCACCGAATTGAAACAACAAAAGTTTGACAGTAAACAAAGAGTAAAGAGTACATATATCTGTTGTGTCAAATATATGGTAGTGTGTGTTTAATGTTTTATTTATGGATTTAATGTATTTTTTATGCATAATTAAAATATTAACATTCTGCACATCTCTATATTCTCTATAGACGCAATTTTATTTTTGGGACATGTGTCAATAGAAGCTTAACCTCAAGTTTGTGGGGTCGCCACCCTTGTCCCCCGGCCGCCATCTTGGAAAAAGGAGTGAAAACACATTATTCGCAATATCTCGGAAACTATGCGTCTTACAAAAAATTTGTAAAGTCATAATTTGTAGCAAATTATTTCGCCTACAAATATGTTTATATTACTTTCTGCTCTAAATTAAAAATTAAAGAAGTTATAAGCAAAAAAGATTTTTTTATTAAAAATTTATTTTTTGCTCTATAACTTTTTTTTTTACACATTTTACAAAAAAAAAAATACTTCAGAACAATCTTGTAGGTGATCGATTGAGGAAAATTTTTCCCAATTTTTTTTTTAATTTCATTCATTTAAAACGAAGTTACAGCGCTCTAAAGCTGACTTGGTTCGTGAATGATCATGAGAATCCGGTCGAAATGAAATGTTGAACTTATTTTTGTTTTGTATTTTTATTGTTACTATATTTTTACAATTTTTTTATTGAATTCGTACAACTTTACTTATTCATTCCTAACTCTTTGGTTTTGGTTTTTCTGTCGACCAAGCTGAATTAGATGCAGATTCAATTATCGCCTCTGCTGCGCTTACTGCATCCCGATCTCATGGTTCTGTTATTATTGTGGCAGAGGACATTGACATTCTTGTATTGCTCATGGCATTAGGTACAGTCTAACATTAATTTTTTAAATCTTCAAAAGGGCGCACATCTGCTCAGTTGTATAGCCCTTCAAGTTTTATGTATCGAGATCTCATAACACAGAATTTGCTGTTTCTTCATGCTTTTTCGGGATGTGATACAACATCAGCAGCCTATAATATAGGGGAAATTAAAATTTATAAAAATTATAGATAAACATCCTGAACTGATTTTGATATCTTACGAGCCACGATTGGACCTGGTGATATACTCTGAGACCTTGAAAACAGCAGCATTTTGTGTTGGAGGCAGCGATGATAAATTAAATGAATTTTTAGTCAAATCATTTGTATCGCAAGCCGTCTAGTGAGTCTTTTTTATTATTATTTTATTGCTTAGATGTGTGGACGAGCTCACAGCCCACCTGGTGTTAAGTGGTTACTGGAGCCCATAGACATCTACAACGTAAATGCGCCACACACCTTGAGATATAGTTCTAAGGTCTCAGTATAGTCACAACGGCTGCCCCACCCTTCAAACCGAAACGCATTACTGCTTCACGGCAGAAATAGGCGGGGCGGTGGTACCTACCCGTGCGGACTCACAAGAGGTCCTACCACCAGTAATTACGCAAATTATAATTTTGCGGGTTTGATTTTTATTGCACGATGTTATTCCTTCACCGTGGAAGTCAATCGTGAACATTTGTTGAGTACGTATTTCATTAGAAAACTTGGTACCCGCCAGCGAGATTCGAACACCAGTACATCGCTCGATACGAATGCACCGGACGTCTTATCCTTTAGGCCACGACGACTTCAAGTCGTCTTTAATACCGCCGTATAAAGCTATGAATGTATTTGAAAGGAAAACCGTTAATATAATGGACGTAACAGTCTTGGAACTAACAGTAAACGAATATACCGTTGTATAATTTATTATTATCAATCATCTTGATTATTACGTTGTTTAATTTTAATAGAACTTGTTTTTCTTTAAGTTAACGATTGAAAAACTGTCAGAGTCAGTTTAAAGGAGATTGCCCATTCTTCTATGGGCCGCCGCGCCGTTGCGCATTTTTTTTTTTATATGATAGCATAAATTTTATATAAGAGAAGGGAAATATCACACTTTCAAAGGAAATAAAAATTATCCACATATTCTGTGGGGTTTTTGTTGTTCTTTGACTTTTTGCTCAGTTTTGAGGTTATTTTTGTAACAAACCTTCTACCAAAAAACAACCACTCCTTACTACGATTATGATTTGAATTCTCATATGACAACAGAAAATAGTTCCAACAAACTAATGAATGATCCCGAGTAAATAATATTACAAATAATAGTAGGTCATGCTAAATGTAGATGGTGTGTAGGTAGGTAGGTAACTATAGGAAATAGAAAATAATAATGCTTGAATCTAAGAATGAAATAGTTTTATTTTATTTTATATTTTTATGTACCAGAGAAAGGGCACAGTTCACGCAGCGTGACATTTTTAACAGAATCGTCGACGTTTAGAACTAACTTTGATTTGACGTAAGTCAAAGAGTTAAAAATTTTACAAACTTTACAAGATAAACGTAATTCGATTTGCTAGTAAAGCTCGCATCTCGAGGATTCGACTTTCTACATTTTTATTAGGTACTTATAAACTACTAGCGACCCGCCCTCGCTTCGCTTCGGAAACATTAAAACACACATGAAACCAAAAAAAAAATCAAAAAAAAATTAAAAAAAGTAGCCCATGTTCACCAGGGACAATGTCGGCTTCTAATGGAAAAATAATTTTTCAAATCGGTCCAGTAGTTTCGGAGCCTATTCGAAACAAACAAACAAACAAATCTTTCCTCTTTATAATATTAGTATAGATTTGAGAAAAAAATATTTGAATTATAAACACATAAAATTTCAGGGATAATTCTAGACTTCAATAGTACAATTAGTATCAGTAGTAACAGCTAAGATTCCAAATATAAATAATTTCTAAAACTTATTTCGAATTTCTTGTAACCAAAACACTTTTCACATTCCAATAAAACTACTCAATATTTAGTTCAATAATCTAAAGTTTTTGTTTAGAATTCTTACTTGTATGATGAAAGGTCCGAGCGACACATATTTAAGACGTTACAACTGACAATTTTTTAGTATTTAATTAGAAATCTCCATTTAAAATCTGAAGCATAATTTAACTAAATACATACCTACTCGCAGGATATGGCTGGACAGAATATAATATAGTGTGGGTAAAATCTTCTGATCCTTAGAGACAAATAAGACACTAATAACTATTTTTATGTTGATGATTATTTTCATGATGATTATATTTACTGGTGGTAGGACCTCTTGTGTGTCCGCGCGGGTAGGTACCACCACCCCGCCTATTTCTGCCGTGAAGCAGTAATGCGTTTCGGTTTGAAGGGTGGGGCAGCCGTTGTAACTATACTTGAGACCTTAGAACTTGTATCTCAAGGTGGGTGGCGCATTTACGTTGTGGATGTCTATGGGCTCCAGTAACCACTTAACACCGGCTGGGCTGTGAGCTCGTACACCCACCTAAGCAATAAAAAAAAATTCTTTTCACGGCACCCATCCAATATTTGTCATTTCAAAATTAAGAACTATCGCAAGAAGAATCTTTAGGGATAGAGTTTCGCTATATATGTATTTGTGAGTAATAACAAGACAGGGTGTACAAGAATAAATTAATTCTAGAGGAATTAAATATTTTTTCTATCTATTTTTCTTCTTCTTTTCAGGTAATTTCACCATCAATACGGTTAATAACTTAATGGTGCAGTAGCTAGCGTCCCTGATACATTCCGAGTTTAGATCCGATTCCCACATCGGGCAAACATTCGTGTGATGAAAAGGTTTGTTTGCTCTTCGTCTGGGTGCTTATTATCTATATATACATAAATTTAAACGTATATCAATGCTTAATACTCATATAAAAACTTATTTACATATGTATTAGTATTGCGTATACCTTAGTAGACCCATAGGATTGGGTCGGTTGATTACTGTATTTATTAAAATCTTAATATATATACATTTCTTTAAACAAGAATTAAAATTTCAAAAAGTCTGTAAAAAATAGCTTGCGACAGCCACACATGTCCTTCTTCGAACGAGGCTTCTGGAGAGTACTTAACGGTAGGCAGCGGCTTGGCTCTGCCCCTGGCATTGCTGTCAATGGCAACCACTCACCATCAAGCGGGCCATATGTTCGTCTGTCTACAAGGGCAATAAAAAAAAGCCACCAGTAATTAGTGCACCAGAGTCAGAATCATCCTCAAAATACGCGCCGTATCAAGGATAACTAACCGCTTTCTGCACCGGGCTCCTGACCGAACTGTGTAATGAAAGTTTCTTAAGTCGAAACTTTTCGCTATTAAACCAGGCACCGATCAATAATAATGATCGGAACCATGATAGTTGAATCAACATACCACCTGCGGTAGTCTCGTGGCGTTGTCTAAAAATTTTATTAATTTGTCCTTTTCTTTTGTATAATATTATATATTCTA